ACCACTGACCAGAGCAGGGAGACGAGTCGAGGTAAGGTGACTGGAAAATGAGAGACAGTCCACAGATGAGAGAGTGAGAAAACTGAGAACCAGCTCGTGGGCCACAGGCAAGAATTTGATCCAAGACACCGAGACAAGGATCCAAAGAAGGCACTGCCTGGAGATGAATGAAGTGAAATGAAAGACGAGCAACAGATCGAATTGGCACGCGCAAGTGGATTGGAAAATGGCAGCGGGAGGCTTGTGTTTTGGATGTTCATGAACCAGCCATTTCGGGCATGGATCGATGCTCGGATAGGGGGGGCCTTGCCAACGGACGACAGTGCCAAGTTCTGCGATCTCCACCGCGCTCTGGCCCCGATTCCTTGGCCCGAAACGAGATCTGGAACTCACAAGACCTCACTTTTGTTTGTCCTGTTTCACTGCGTGCGGTGGCTGCTGCGCAGACGGGTCCATGTCCTGGTCAGGCGTGGCCGGGTCCCCGCTGTCCAGGGCATGTTTGTTGCTGGCTGGCTACGTGGCCATGCTGCCAGCCTCTCTGGAAAATTCTCGCGGACGCATAGGAAGACCAGCGTGTGCTAATTGTGCATGCCAGCTACGTAGTACGATGCTGGTAGGATTCACTGCCTCGATTCACTACGACGATAGATCGAGCTGGGCGACTGCGAATCTGCTTGGAAGCGACTGGAGCCCCTGTCGGTCTGTCGGCAGACAGCGATCCCTGGCAGCCGCCAACCCGGAGCACAGAAACAGAGGAGGATGTTTTCATGGACGCTGCATGACATGGCTGGCTCTCCATTAACAAACGTCGACGCAACAAATCTCTGCGGTCATCGAAGAGACAGCTGCTGTGGTGCCCGAGTCTCTCAATGTGAAACACCCGTTCAATGCGCGTCGTCCAATCACGGCCTCCGCCCTGGCATGCGCGGCTCTGCGCCATCTCTTCGGGCATACTTGTAACTGGCAGTAACCGCCAGCCACCACGCACTCGGCCTAGCCAGGGCCGTGGCTCTTGGCCTCGGATGCGCAGCGAGAACTTGAGAATTCTGCACTCAGGGTCTGCGCTCTAATTACAGTAATTACGTAGTCAAGAGACGCTCGAGCTTGCAGTACGTATGCTGTCATTGCGTACGAAGTTAATATAATGACCCTTGGTCAACGAACCAACACATGTATATGTATGAAACAGCCCGTGAGATGAGCGTGGCCCGCTCACGCTTTAAAGTTCTCCGCATTACGAGTGTACCATGCTCTCTCTGAACCCGGGGACTGTCAATGTCATGTAACTCATGTTTGTACATTATTAAACAACGGCATGGGAGCCTTGTCCAGCCAAGTTTCCGGGATGAGGGCCGCTATCTGAGTCCTGAATCCTGACAAAGGCTGACGAACGATCGCCATGGTTTGATATTGAGGGGAAGCGTCATAACACGTCCCGGTTTTCAAGAAGCGCTGCGAGTCCATTCGCCTATGCCGTCCTCCCAAACCCAGCCTGGTGGTGGTGTCCACGTCCCAGCTGCGGGAGCGCCAGCAGCCCCTGGCGCGTTATTTGAAGCATGTAAAACGAAACCAAAGTCTCTTTCGGCCTCATCAAGCCCCTGAAGAAACCATACCGGCAATTGCTGCCGATTCAATCCTCTGGAGAACTGTACAAGGTCAACGTGGGCATACGAGGCATCTTTCCCGCGCGCCAACACCCGGCCCATGGCCCGCATCAAACGCAGCGCAAGATACAAATACTCGTCCTGCGTTTCTGATGTAGTGGTTAGGATGTGCGACACTATCTTTTGTGCATCAAACGCACAATGTTCGGAGTCGATGCAGGCAATGAGTTCGGTGAAAGCAAAAAGAAAGGCTCCTGGGCCTCTTTGTCTCAGCGACTGCTCGCAGGAACGACCGGCACACCATCTCAGGGCATAACAGAGCCGTTTGAAGGGGCCGCTTTGCGCGGCAGAGCTCTCGCTTCTTCTTCTATTAGCCATGATGGCTGCTGTACCCAAGCCTGCCGCGATGCGTACCAGTGTCTGGTAACGGCACCCGCCTCTCTCGGCGTGCAACCGTGAGCTGTTGCCATGCATGGCCAAGTTGGCGCTGAGAGCCAGCAATTCAGCCGCCGCCGCGGCACATGGCCCATCTCTGACAGCCTTGACGGCATATGTGAAGACTTCGGTAAAGGGGCCTGTGTGGATCCACGACGGGGGGAGCCGTTTCTCTTTGAGTAGGTTTGAAACATGATCAAATACGAGTCCGCACCGACGACCGCTCCGCTCATTTAGGACAGACAGCAAGGCATGGGTTGGTAATGACCGTGAGCTCTCAGCCAGGTAACTCGTAGCCTTCCGTGGCCGTGGTAGTGGCCATGCCACTGCGCTGGTGATGCGCACAGCTTCGCGATCGCAACCCATGCTCAAGCACAAGTCCACGAGGAGACTGATGAATGAAGGGTCGAAGAGTCCTTTTCCGACGCTCTTCGCTAAAATGAGCACGCCATGAGCGCGGATGGCGCGTAACATGAGAGCCCGGCTCCACGGACCATAGCCGAGTGTTTCCAATTGAGAGTAAAGAGCCAAACTGGCGCTTGGGCAAGAGGAGGGCCTCTCCATAGGTTCAGCAGCGAATCCTTGTCTCTCGTATTCTTCAATGTGCTCAGCATATTCTGGCACCCGCCGCAAGCACATGCTCAAAAGTGACTTTGAGTGAGGGTCGTTCCACGCCGCTGCTGTCGCCAGAAAGAGATCCCTGAGCCAGTCAAAGATGGTGCTGTAGATACGGTAGCGCACCTCGCCGATGCGGGCACGGAAAGATTGAAGCGATTCATCGAGAGGACATGATGGCTCGTCGTCGTCGAGAGGCTCGGGACGTTGGTTCTGCGTGGTGTAGGTTTCCGATGGATGAGCAATGATTCTGCGGTTCTTTGCGCAGATGGGCGTGATGACAGCCAGTTGGTTGGCGGAAGGGGACTGCTGACTTCTTCTAAGCTCTCCATAGACACGCGACTTGCGTGGAGGCGTCGCCGCTGTGCGATGGGTGCTCTGTTTCCTCTTCCGGATGTGATCAGAGCTGTAGGTTTGGTAGACTCGTTTCCTCTTGGCATTGGGCAGTATCGAGCCAGTCTTGTTGGCGTTCGGATTCGTGGGGGCATGTGAGCCAGCGTTGGACGTACAATGCTGTGTCTCGCCAGCCAGTCTGCGCAGAGCTGCGAGCTGCGACTCAAGCTGGGCTAGTAGGGCCACACAGCGTTCAGCAGTCCAGATTCCATCTCTTATGTCGTCTGCGAGAGTATATCTGGTCGTTAGCAGCGTGGGAGTGGTAGAGGTCGGGCCTTGGGAAGCTGCGTCTCGACGCGTACCGCAGTCGCGTGAGGCAGGTGCGGCGAGCATGTCTTTCCCATATTATGAAAGGTATCGACACATGTGCTAGAACTGAATGAAAAGCAATATAGGTGAGCAATTGTGGAAATTGCGGTGTTGGTATTAGTTAGAGCATGAACAGTGGATGGACCAAGAAATGTAACTCGGTCTACAAATGTCGTTGTTTTGTTGACGCGACGGGCTGGACACCCCAGCAATTGGCACTCTGCGGTATCGGGATCTTCGCTTACGGTTCGGCGGATGACGGGCTATTGCCGGGGTCCAGTTGCTGCCACCTGCCTCAGCCTGCCCGCGCCTGCCCGCCCGCCTGTCGGGTCCAAAAAATTTCCAAAATTCGGTGACGACCTCTCGAGCTGAACCCCGAACTAACAAACAACCCCGAATCCTTTCTAATATACACCACGTCGATTGCGGTCTTGTTGGCTCAAGAACCGTTCTCGGCTTCTATCCGTATCATTGTAATTCCCCCATTGAGCTTCCGGTACTTCGGCTTCCACCATGGCGACCAAAGCCGAGGAGCCTACCTCTGCCCCAGGTACGTACCTCCTTGCAGCTCCTTAGCGACCAGCGGCTGGCCTTCCTTTCCACGTGTTACATTGGGATATGCAATTGTGCTGACATGAGTCTCTCGTCCTAGCCAACAAGAACACGGAGGCTGGTGAGCATGAGGCGGTCCCTGAGGAGACCGACCCTGTCGCCGACGGTAATGCCCGCTTACAGCAGACCACACGACCAACTTGCTGATGGACCAATAGCACTCGTGACCCTCACAATCGTCCTACCAGACCCCGACGCCGAGAAGATCCAAATACCGGTATGCGGCGTCTGTGCATTCATCTTGGAGAAGTGCTGATTTGTCGTTTTTCTAGGTCTCGACGCAAGAGCAGGTCCACGAGATTCGACAGTCCATCATTGACCTTCCCTCAGCCCTCCGGTACACCTGCTTCCACCTCGAGCACAATGGCCAGAAGATCAACGACTTTGTCCCTCTTTCCGAGATCCCCGACCTTGGTACCGAGCCCGAGTTCCGTGTTGTGCAGGACCCATACACCGAAAAGGAGGCGCGGATTCACCTGGTTAGAATCAGAGAATTGATCGGCGCCGCTGGTGATCGGACAGACACCACACAGGGTGTCTTGTCTGGAGCCTCTCTTTTCGAGACCGTCACACACGATGCGCAGCAACAGGCGAACGCCGAGCAGGCGCAGAGTCCAGTCAAGGACTATGACTTTGCGGCAGCCCCGTCCCTGACGTCGCTGGTTCCCATGTTCACAGGCACCCCGCCAAAGACTGTCAAGACCATATCGCTGTCGCCTTGGAACCCTCCACCTCCTCACCTGCGCCAACGTGGTCACCTTCTCTACCTCCTCGTCGGCACAAACGAAGGCGAACAGTACCAGATTACTGCTCACGTGTCCGGCTTCTTCGTCAACAAGTCATCCAACGCCAAGTTCGATCCTTTCCCCAAGCCCGCACCCAAGGCGGCCGCCGCTCACTCACTCCTGGATTTGCTGCCCCAGATCTCCGCATCGTTTGCCGAGACCTTTGCTCAGCTGCAGGAGCATAGCAACTCGCGCGACCCCTTGGCCACTTTCCAGATCAGCAATGCCATTCCCGCCTCGCCATGGGCTGTCCCTGCGCCCACCTCGTCGCTCTGCACACACGTGCCTGATGCAACCCGGCCCCAGGAGCCATACCTCCTGTCCGGCGTCGACAACCAGGACACTCTGCGTGACTGGAACGAGGAGTTCACGTCCGCAAAGGAGCTGCCCAAGGAGTCTGTGCAGGACCGTGTCTTCCGTGAGCGTCTCATCAACAAGCTGTTCGCAGACTACAACGACGCCGCTGTGCGTGGCGCTGTCATGATTGCGCGTGACGAAATTCCTCCCCTGAACCCGACCGAGTGCCGCGACGCCCAGATCTTTGTCTACAACAACATTTTCTTCTCGTTCGGTGCGGACGGTGTCGGCACCTTCACCTCAGAGGGCGGTGACGATGCTGCCCGCGTCGCCACAGGCAAGGACATTGCCGGTGTACAGCTGGTGAACCAATTGGACATTGACGGCCTGTACACCCCTGCCACTGTCTTGGTGGACTACCTTGGCAAGCGCATCGTGGCTCAAAGTATCGTCCCTGGTATCTTCAGGCAGCCCGAGCCTGGCGAGAGCCAGATCGACTACGGCGCTCTGGACGGCAAGGACGCCGTCGCCGCAGATGAGCGGTTCACCGAGGTTTTCGCCACCTTGTCCAAGTCCCTGAGGGTCAAGAAGCATCCTGTGTGGGACAAGGAGGGCAAGCGTTTTGACCTCGAAGGCAGCGTGGAGACCAAGGGCTTGATGGGAACTGATGGCCGTAAATACGCTCTGGATCTTTACCGAATCACGCCACTCGACATCAACTGGCTGGAAGAGGATGACGACGAAGATGATGAGTCGACGACATATCCTCATCGTATGACGGTTCTGCGACCCGAGCTGATTGACATTTATGCGCGCTTCAAGATGAGGCAGTTTGTCAACGAGGAATTGGCCCGCAATGGCGTTAGCAACGACAACAAGGCCAAGGTCGAAGACGCGGCCGAGGAAGGTGAAGAATCTGCGGAAGCAAAGGCTGCTAAGCAGAAGGAAGACGAAGAGGCCAAGGCAAAGACCCAGGAGGCCGTCTCCAAGTTCAAGTTCGCCCTGAACCCGGATGCGTTCAGCGGACAGCAGCCCAAGACGGACGAAGAGAAGGCTGAGTGGGCCGAGGATGAGAAGAACGTCCGCGCCGTCGGCCAGTACCTTCGCGACAACATCATTCCTGAGCTCCTGAAGGAGCTGACGGAATCTGACATTAGCTTCCCCATGGATGGACAGTCCCTGAGCCGCCTCTTGCACAAGCGTGGTATCAACGTCCGGTATTTGGGCACCATTGCCTGGCTGTGCACTGATGACCGCTTGGCGTGCCTGCGTGAGCTGTGCATCCAAGATATGATCACTCGCTCCTTCAAGCATGTTGCTGCCAAGTATCTCAGGGCGCTCCCTGTCTTCGCCACCACAGCCTGTGTCGCTCATCTGCTCAACTGCTTGCTTGGCCACCAGCTGAACAACAAGCCTGCTGCGGTAGTCGACGAGTCACTCAAGGGTCTGTACCCCGATGCCGACTGGTCTTTCGAAAAGGTCACCCCTGAGAGTCTCCGCGAGGAGATTGAGGCGCAGGCGCTGAAGCGCTTCCGTCACGAGCTCGAGGGCAAGTGGTACAACTTCACCCGCCCGAACCAGCAACTCCGTGAAGTCTGCTTGCGCTTGGGCATCCAGCTCGAAGCCCGTGACTACTCCTACACCGCTGCCCAGAGTACTGAAGAGCCACAAGCTGAGAACAAGCCCGAGACGACGAAGACGAGCGGTCAGGCCAACGGCCAGGCTGACGGCAAGAAGAAGAAGAAGAGCAAGGCCCGCGAGGCCTCCCCCGCCAAGCCTGCTGCCTCTGCCGCCCGCACCACCACCTTTATCCCCGACGACATTGTCGACATTGTGCCGGTTGTCAAGCACTCGTGCCCTCGCAGCGCCCTCGCGGAGGAAGCTCTCGAAGCAGGCCGCCTGTCGCTGATGCAGGGCCAGAAGAAGCTGGGCCAGGAGCTCCTCCTAGAGTCACTGTCCCTGCACGAGCAGATCTACGGCATCCTCCACCCCGAGGTCGCTCGCGTGTACAACACTCTGTCGATGCTCTACTACAACCTGGACGACAAGGAGGCCGCCGTCGAGCTCGCCCGCAAGGCAATTGTTGTCGCGGAGAGGACAGTCGGCGTCGACTCGGCCGAGACGCTCCTCAACTATCTCAACCTGAGCCTGTTCCTCCACCAGACGGGCGACAGCAAGAATGCCCTGGTCTACACCAAGCACGCGCTCAAGCTGTGGAAGATCATCTACGGCCCGGATCACCCGGACTCCATCACCACGCTCAACAACGCCGCCGTCATGCTTCAGCACGTCAAGGGCTACCACGAGTCCCGTCTCTGGTTCGAGGAGTCCCTGCGTGTCTGCGAGTCCGTCTTTGGCAAGCAGTCCGTCAACTCGGCCACGCTGCTCTTCCAGCTGGCGCAGGCTCTCGCGTTGGACCACGACTCCAAGGCCGCTGTTAATCGCATGCGCGAGTCGTACAACGTCTTCCACGCCGAGCTCGGCCCCGAGGACAAGAACACAAAGGAGGCCGAGACCTGGCTGGAGCAGCTGACCCAGAATGCCGTCTCCATCGCTAAGCACGCAAAGGACGCCCAGGCCAAGCGCATCCGCTCAGGCATCCGCTTCCCGACGTCCGCCTCCTCCGGTGTCGTGGAGCCCGCCGCCGTGCGCACGGCGTCGCAGGTGGATTCCCGCAGCGTCGACGAGCTCATCAAGTTCATCGAGGGCGGCGACCAGCAGTCCAAGCCATCCAAGAAGCGACCTGCTCAGGGCAATCCTAAGAGGCGTGGCCGTGCTGCCAACTAATTGGGATGCGCACCCAACGACGTTGGTCCTGTATTAATACACACAAGTACTGTATAAAGGCGAACTGCAAGGGTCGCATCCATACAAACACATATATACACCCTGTATGTATGTGCGTATATAGAGCTATGCTGGGAACATGAAGCGGTCATGGGGGCACGTGGGAAAAAAAAAGTCGGACTCCGTCACAGGTAGGGAGGGGGTTGGGCATTTGCATAGCATACGGGTGTCGCGTTGGAACATTTGGTTAATATCTTCACTCAATACAAACAACAAGCAAAAGGAACTTTCCGTCCTTGGACCTCGTTCAAATCTCAATGGTCCCTCAGGATGACTATTCTTCCCGCCAAGGGGCTGCGCTGACAATGGCATCATGGCTGTACCAAACGAATAAATAACAAACAAATCCTCCTGTGTTCCACAATGCTCATTGTTTGCCATGCTCCAACATCAAACATGTCCATAAGACTATCCCAACATCGGCACCCATGAATCTGACACAGACTGTAATACAAAGCCTTGAACGTTACGGGCCGTGGGCTGGTCTAGCCTTGAGGGACAGCAGCTTCTACCTTTCGCTGACACCAGCCAAACCATTCCTTGGTTCTGCATGGTACGTATTGATGCTTTGAAACCCCCTGCGCCTGTTAGCTCTGCAATAGTGCCAGGGTCAACGATGATACTCACTTGGCGAGGTCAAACTCCTCTTCCTCTTGACTTGCAGTGTCCTCCCCAGCCCCCTGAGCCTCTTCTTCCGCAGCAGGCTCTGTCTTGGCACGCTCTTCATCAGCGGCGCGTGCAGGACTGCTGGGCAACGCTCTGTGCCCACGGATGGGGCTGCTGTCCTGTGGAGGCGGGAGAGTAGGGGCGCCTTTGGTAGGGCTCCCTGTGGGCTCAACATCCGCCGCCGGTCGAAGTGGCGTGCTGTTATAGTCCGCATACCTCCAGAACGGTGCGGGTGAGCTTGTCGGCATATGCTGACTGGGCCGTTGGGCAGTGCTAGGGGGCGCCAGCCGCGGGTGCACCCGCGGAGGCGCTGGCGTGACGAACGAACCCCCGGCATCATCTTGGTAGTACGAGGACGTTAGGGTTGGTGATTGGGGGTTGACGGAAAAGGACGGGTCGTCCGAGGCAATCTTCTTTGACCGGGGCAGAGGACTACCGTCCGCGGTCAGGGTTGCGTTGGCCCGTCGAGGTTGCTGTGAAGTCGCGTCAGGTGTCTGCGACATTGGTAGCGAGGACTTGGGTTGTGGCGAACCGAGCATTGAACTCTGTCTGTTCCTGATGGGAGTAGCATTGCTCGCCATTTCCCGCGGGCCCGAGGCCAAGTAGGTGAGGTTACCTGGTGAGGAGGGCGCAGACGAACCACGATGCCCACCGCGACCGATGCGCCAGGCCGTCCGGACGAGGTTCTCCTTGGACTCTGGGACAATTTGCCACTTGGCACCCTTTCCAGGCTCGTACGTTGATCTTGCGACCTTCTCAAAATGCTTATTCAAAGACAGATTGTGCCTGATAGAGTTCTGTGGACTATTAGCTTTGCTGCATCCGACAGTGCGTGGTGTGAACATACCTGCCAACCCGAAGGAGGCTGGTTACGGTAGTACGCGTACTGATTGACAATGTAGGTGTAAATACCGTTTAATGTCAACTTTGACTCGGGCACCGATGTGATTGCCTGGGTAATCATCTGTGCGTAGCTGTACTGTGGTTTGATGTGCTTGTTTTCCTCTTTGCTTAGATCGGCGCCATTGGCGCCCACAATGACCGCCCCAGGCGTACTCAGAAGCGGCGACCTCGTTGTAGCCAGTGCCGTACGACTCGGTAAGGACGAAGGTGGTGTACCAATGTTCCCGTGTGGCCCGCTGGACGGGTTGTAAGTAGCAGGTCGGCGGGGTGTCCTGAAGAAACCCGGGCCAGGATCCAGACCAGCCCTGTCCAGAATAGTAGGGTGAATATGGAGCGGACTGATCTCTGAAGGGAGAACAAACAGCATCTCCACGCCGCCAATCTCCATGGCTTCGCCGCTTGAGAGAGCATGCGTCTCGTTGGGCTTCAGCTGCTTCGTGTCGACCTTGACACCATTCCGGCCCTTCACAGTAATGACCCATTTCTCGTTGTGCGCATCGAAAGATATGACAGCGTGCTCTCGTGAGACAGTCTTGCTTGGTCCCAGGTCGATGTGAACCTGATCGTCGTCGTACCCGTCCTCGTCTGTGTCCCCATTCGTCTTGGGGGCTGCCTTGCTTGGGGTCGTCGCTTCATGGCTTGCGCCCTCGGGCTCGCGACCAATGTTGACAGAAAGCTTCGTGATATAATACGTCCAGTCATGTGCAGCAATCTTGGCGTATGCCTTGACTCCATCACCATTGGCTTCGTGGATAGAGTTGGCGTGGTCTTTGCTGGCTTGCACGGGCTGTGTCTTTAAAAATCCAATCACTTTAGTCAGGGTCGCATCGTCATCAACTTTCGGGACGGATGCGGAAGTCTGTTCGGTCTCGGTGTCGGGATCGTGCGCAGTGTCAGTCTCGGGGCGCTCATCGTCAGACTCCTGCATTCATGGTCAGATTGCATTTCCAGGTAGGGGCCAAGGGTATTGCGCGCACCTTGCGTCGCCTCTTGGCTGGTCGAGTTGGGGTTACTTGTTCCTCAGCAGGATCGGAAGAGGGAGGGTCCCGTTGCACGTCACGACGCTTGCGCAGCGACGACCGCTTAGGAGTCGGCATGGTAGTCGCTTGCGTCGGAATTGAGGTTGAACAGGGTCGCGGAGATGGCAAAGATGTTGTCGCAATGTCGATGTTGCGGGTTTATTTGTGGTTGCCACCGTGGTAGGAATGCTGGCGCGCGGGTGGGTTGGCGCAGCGAAAAGAACTGATGCTCGAGAATATTGCGGCTGGGGGTAAACAATCTCGAAGTTGTCCGAGTCGAGCCGAGTTTGGAGAATAAGTGGGAGAGCAGAGTTAACAATAATGTATACGCCTTGGTAGCCCGTGATTAGAGAGCAAGCGCAGCAAGTCGGATTTATTGTTGACAGACTGGTGAAGGGATAGCGAAATTGTTGGTGAAGCCAAAGTTCACATTTAAAGTCTGCGTAGTCGCAGGCCAGGCGCGTCCCGACCTTCGCGTTGAGTGCAGCTCCTGCCACCAACAAGGTCACTGTCGCAGTGTCGCCGCACCGCTGCAGCCAGTGGCAGTCCAGGGCTCCCAATGGAGGGGCCTTGTCAGGGTTTGCGCTTGTCCGGAAAAAGTTAGTGAGGTGGTGTAAAGTTTGAAACGGGCATTCATTGACACCCATCTCGTGACACCACTCCGTGACCAGGCGATGCCTTTTTGGTGAGTCAGCTTTAAATCCAAGGCACTGCTATTGAATGTATCTGTAAGAGATGCCCTCCGTCAGTCTAGTTTAGAATACATATGTTACAGGACGGCCATTCTGTACCCCAAGTATTAAACTGCTTGCTAAGACTACCGGTTCTCCTACAGAAGCAAATTTCGCACCAGCCCCGCCTAGCTGAAGCTTAGTGGCCTGTGGCTTGTGGCTTGTCGTGCAGCGACGTACCTCGCTTCCCCGGTCGCGGTCATTGAAACATCTTGCATTTTAGTAGCGCCTATCCGTACTCTCTTCATTGATGATCTGCTGGCGCAGGTCTGATTTTCTTTAGCCCACACCGTCCGAATATCCTCAGCACGACCGATCAGGTCCGTCTGCGCCCCCGACAGAAGCGGTGGACTTGATCGACGCGACGCAGCACTCATGCGTTGACGTGGAACATTTTCCACAACCCAGCGCGGTTCTTGAGCACGGTTGATACGATACCCTTCGTCGCTACGTTGCCCACACCTACAGGCCACATCGTCTCTTCCAAGAGCAGCACCCTGGGAAGATGAGTGCTCCAGCGCGCATGCTTGGCGTCACGCCGCCGATCAAGTCTGACCTTCCGACGAGGGAAGAGCTCGATCGCACGGCGGCGTTGCTCGAGGAGCTCAAGCGTCAAAAGACATTCGAAAGCCCAGCCGAAACAAACAAGAGGTAAGCCTGCCATCCACGCGCGCATCAGTGTCGACATTGCTAACCATTCGTCTGCTATACAGGGAACAAGTTTTGAGCAGTCTCGAGAGCATATGCAACGAATTCGTCAAGCGAGTCGCGCGAGAGAAGGATCCCGAAAACGAACTCCTTATCCGCAATGCCATCGGTCGAGTCTTCACGTACGGCAGTTACCGCCTCAAGGTGTACGGTCCTGGTTCCGACATTGACACACTCGTCGTGGCGCCGAGATATGTGAATCGCGAGGACTACTTTAAGCACTTCCCAAGTTTGCTCCTAGAGATGGCCCCCGAGGGAGCCATCACAGGTCTGACGCCGGTGGAGGGTGCATTTGTGCCAATCATCAAGTTCGAGTATTCTGGCATCAGTATCGACTTGATCTTCTCGAGGATCATGCAGAAACAACTATCACCCGATCTCAACCTGAAGGACTCGTCGATTCTTCGGGGTCTGGACGAGCAGGAACTGCGCTCCGTCAACGGCACGCGCGTCACAGATGAGATCCTCGACCTGGTCCCTGAGCTGAGTACGTTCCGTACTGCCCTGCGAGCAATCAAACTCTGGGCTCAGCGTAGAGCAGTGTACGCAAATATCATGGGTTTCCCGGGAGGTGTTGCGTGGGCTATGCTTGTCGCGCGTATCTGCCAACTCTATCCCAGAGCGACTGCTGCTGTAGTTGTGAACAGATTCTTTGTCGTTGTGAGCAGATGGCCATGGCCGAAACCGTGTCTTTTGAAGGACATCGAGGACGGCCCTCTTCCTGTGCGGATTTGGAATCCAGAGGTATGACCGCCTTTGACCATTCTCTCTCGTTCTAGTACTGACAGCTGCCTAGAAAAACTTTGGCGACAGGAAACACTTGATGCCAATTATCACCCCGGCGTACCCTTCCATGTGTGCCACTTTCAACGTCACACACTCATCAAAGGCCGTCATCCAACGTGAGCTTGAACGCGGGTTTGAGCTCACTGAGAAGATCATGACGAAGAAAGAGGATTGGAAAACACTCTTTGACAAGCATACCTTCTTCACACAAGGCTACAAACACTACATTTGCGTCATAGCCACTAGCAAGAACAAGGAAGCGCACAAGCTATGGTCAGGATTGGTAGAATCCAAGGTTCGTATGCTCGTGCAGAAGTTAGAGGTCCACCGGTACATCCAACTGGCCCACGCCTTTGTCAAGGGCTATGAGCGTCGCCACAAGTGCCGTTCATACGAGGAGATTGAGCAAGTGCAAGACAATTGCCTGGACTACGTCGCAGGTCCCGATGAGCCGGAGAACCCTCCCGAAGAACCTGCCCAGCAGGCCGTTGGCGAGGATGGGGCGCCCACAAAGGACAGTGCCTCGGTCACGAACGGAGAAGCCGCTGCTATAAAGGCGGATGCCCAACTCAACGGGGCGGTCAAGAAGGAGGAGAACAATGATCATGGGACAAACGACGATGCGCCCGCCCAGACAGCAACGGCTGAACCGGAAATGGCAAACGGGCAAGAGACTGAAACTGCCACTCCAACACCCGCCGTCAAAGTCGAACCTCGACCCGACCGACCTCTGGACGTGTACACCATGACGCACTACATCGGACTCGAGCTTGCAAAAGGTGAGCAACAACTGAACAGAAGCTCAGCCGTCGCATGAATTCATGGGTCCTTGGTTTCTCGAACCTTGCCGTACTCCGGTAAACTTCGATGCGTTTTGCTAACATTGTCTCAGATGCCAAGCAACTGGATCTCGCATACGAAACTAACGAGTTCCGTCGCCTGTGTGAGAGTTGGCCGAAATACACCGAGGACCTGCAAGACCTGTCGACGGTCTCGGTCAAGCATTGCCGGAAGTGAGTTCATGTTGCCCGCCTCACCGAGTATGTACAGTTGCAGCTTGCTCACATATTCCACAGCTTTGACCTCCCCGACGACGTTTTTGAGCCAGGCGAGAAGAAGCCTGCCAAGAAGGGCAAGAAAGCCGGGGCTGCTAAAAGCGCCCCTGGTGGCGTCAAACGCGAGGCCACGGAGGTGAGTAGCTCTCCAAGAATGGAGGAGACATTGCTGACAGGGGCCAGGAGCACTCTCAACCGCCTCCCGCCAAAAGGCAACAGTCCTCGCTCACGGCAGCGGGCTGAAGGGCCAACAAACCATGGAGGTCTCTCTCCAGATTTGGTTACAAACTTGCGCATCTCTTTACTTGGCTATTGAACTTCAAGCAGCTTACTCGTGTACCGCAGCCGGGCGAGGATCTTTACCCCCTCGCGACGTTGACTGACATGTAGCACGCAACTTTATCATCAAAGGCGAACAATATCTTTGCACACAAAAAAAAAGTGGACAACCCAAACCGACGACATGCGCCTGAAGGGCAGGGCTAGTCAGTCGCACGACAGTCTACAGGTAGACGCCCCCGAACCACCGTGGAGGCAAGTGCTTCGCGCTGGGCACAGCGCACAGCGCACAGAAGCAGATAATGGTAATAAATCATGGCCTCCTGAGCGCCCCCCGAGCCTTTTGAGGCCAGCTCTTGTATTTAGATATCTCTTTTGGTAGATCAATACAAGGATGTTGGGGCCGCGGAGCCCTGCTGATCTCGATCATGACTCTTATGCGTCGTCATCGTCCTCGTCACTCCCGCTTGACCAGTCGTCTTGATAGGCGTCTGCAATCTCAGAAAGACCGTTGGCGACCGTCTCACGCTCGTCTAGCGGTATAGACCAGGCGGACAGCGACTTCAAGGTCTTGATGGGGGGGCCGATTGAAGTCTCTGTGGAAAGGACAGTCTGTACGTCCACCGCAGTCTCTTTACCTGCTCCTGGCCATATTCCAGGGAAGCTATCAAGCATGGGAAACTTCAGTGGCGTATCGAACCTTTGTGCAGTCAGTAAGCATCTCTTAACCAGAGTCCATGGCGCAAGTCAAGCATACCTTCGGTAGACGGGATCTCCAACCAGTCTGCGAGCACGAGGATCCTCGTCTTCGCCCTTGACCACGTCCTCGTCTGGTGCTGCCCCCCTGTGCGTACTCAATTGTCCAAAGACGCGGCTTCTACCGGTTTTCTGCGTCGACGACATCCCCTTGCACAGCTGTCCCACGCCAAACATGTCCATGTCAGAGTCACTCTTCTCCAAGTCTGCCACCGACGAAGCGACCCGCATACGCAGCTTGGCCATGTTCTGATTGCCGCCCGCGTTCAGCGTTTCGACAATGTCCCACAGTGAGTTCTGTGCGGCGTCGTTTCTCCCCGTCAGGCGTGACTCCATGGTGGCCGTCTCGATGGCCGTCGCGAACGCGGCACCCGTACTCCAGGGAGACCGTGGATCAATGTGCACGCCCTGCGGCAGACCACTCTCGGGGATGGACAGCGGCACGACCATGGAGGCGGACGCGCAGGTACTGGCCAACGTCTGCGCGACATTGCTCATGCGCAGCTGGCGCTTCTCCCTGGGCGTGTCCAGCATGGGACTCTGCAGGCCCCAGAGCCATATACACGTCTTTGGATACTCGTCGCGCAGCGCCTCGAGGTACTTTGTGGAGAAGCCACCCCAGGCATCGTCCAGCGTGGCGAGCGCCTGGATACCTTGCATGCGATCGCACTCTTCTACAAAGGGACGCATGTCCCGGTCCACAATGTCGTGCTCCTTGTCCAGCGAGTCGAACAGCTCGGTGCCAGCCGCGTAGCGCTCAAAGGGCCTGATCGAGGAGTTGAGCTCATAGTCGTAGAGCTGGACCAGGGACTTTGGGTGGTAGTAGATGCGCGAGAAGTCGGACCAGTAGCGGACCTTATTCTGTGTTAGCTGTGACGTGTCGGCTCCCGCGTCGAGGTTCTTCTGGTATTCTGATTGCTCGATGGGTTGCTGCTTCTGGACGACGGACTGCCCTGACCTGCGTTACGCTCGTCAGTGTCAAGCTCGAGTGTGCTGTGCCGCGGTCGGTGCGTACCACAAGGATGACGCTGCATGGTCTGATGCCGACCCGGCCTCGTACAGGGCGTTGATCTTCCTTAGGGAGCCGAAGCCTCCTTTCAAATCGTAGATGACTGTCCGCGGAAGAAAAGTTTCGCTGCCATCTGCCCCAACGCCCGGGCGCCAGTGCACGTTGTGGTCTATGGGCGACTCATCTTGCCCTGAATATGTGAAATACGATTCCTGGTACAATGGTCAGGTCATGCGTGCATTTTGCCAGTGAGGGCTCGTACCTGGGCGTTCCAGAAGTGTGTGGCAGCGTAGTTGCTGAGGTTACCCAGCTGGAGGGTGATAATTTCCTTCATGGTTGATTTACTGCACAGGAAGCCCCCCGCGATGGGACAGAGCTACTATCGTAAAATATTGTCTTTGCAACAGAGACGTTTGCTTGATGAAGGAGTCTTGAGATAGGGTCAGTTTGCCCATGCAGTCTGTGTGAGGCGAGTTTGTGAGCTGCTGCAGGGTAGGGTGGATGCAAATTGTCAGATGTGCGAATGTCATTCGAACCCTGGTCAACGTCAACCGCCACATCCACTTTCGTTAGCATCGTCATGGCATGAGAGAGTCGCGTGAGTTATAAGAAACATCTATTCATTTCAATGGTATGGTAGCTACTATCCGGGCAGGCCAAGTATTTTGGAATGGCTTCAGAGTCGTGATCAGCAGTTTCGCCAACCTAATTCATGCGTGTAGTTGCAGAGAGGGACCCTTGTATACTTCCACATCCGTGAGTGAGCTCATCCCCACTTCTCCCTGACATTCGACAGTCGTCACCAACATCATTGTTCAGGGATAGTTCGTTCCATCAGCAAACTGCCTGGAAATATCAAACATGTCCGGACCCTCGCAGTCAGCGCCCCAGGGCGGCGGCGAGCTTCACTCCTTGAGGTGGCTGCCACCCAAGGACGTCAAGCCCGCTCCACAAGTGAACGACTACGCCCCATCTTCATCGAAACTGAGCCTCCCCACCGGCAAGTTGACGATTGTGGTCTTTCTCCGTCATTGTGGCTGTCCTTGTGAGTTTCTCTTGTCATTGCAATCGTGAACCAGTCACACGAGTTGACGTACTACGCTCCAGTCGCCGAGAAGACATTCAAAGCGCTGACGGCACTCTCGGATGCCCACAAGGACATTCAGTGCATCGCTGTATCCCACTCCTCGGAGGAGGCTACCGAGCGCTGGGTGCCCCAGGTGGGCGGCACGTGGAATGTAGAGGTGGTCGTGGATGAGGACCGCGATCTCTACGCCCAGTGGGGGCTGGGCCCGAGCAGTGCGTGGGCGACCATGGGCCCTTCTGTGCTCTGGTCTGTGTACAAGCTCGGCACGGGCGAGGGGATCTGGAACCGACCTACGGAGAGCGGCAGCCGCTGGCAGACGGGCGGTGCCTTTGCGATCAACCGGTTTGGCAAAGTGGTATACGCGCACGTCGACAAGTCGGCGGACGACATGCCGAACCTCGACGAGGTGCTGGAAGCGTTGACAAAGAATTAGCATATCCCTGTAACTTAGATTGTATGTACGCTATTATTTGATACCCAGATTGCGCCGGACAAATTAGTTGCCCTTGTGGAATAATGAGGAAGAAGAAAATTGGTATTCGATGGAACATAAATAACGAGAGGAGATTCCTTTCAAACTAGGCCGATACGCCACCCATATGCCTCAACCCACGACCACCCCAAAGCATCGCCAGCCATTGGGATAGGTGCTGTCCGGTGACCTGACCACCATCGCGGGCCGATCACACAGGCTACTCCGCAACCGAGCACGCAGAGTGCGCTCAGCAGCTCTGTAGTCGTGCGCCAACTCTTCCTAGCCTGACTCACAAAGTCCAGGAGACCAAGGGGGTCTTGGTGGACGAGCTCAGCCGGGTCCCTCGCCCTCTGCCGCGCGACCTTGTCCTTGGGCCTTGCCACCATGTTGTTCCTCGGTCGGACAGATCGCTTGGAGATATCCTCGAGCAGCTGCTGCGCGACAGCTCGGTGGTGCCTCTCCGCCTCGAGGCTATGACGCAAGCCCTGCGCCCAGTTCGATACCTCGACTCTATCCCAGTACCGCCGGGCGAAGGGGTTGACCGTGAGAACAGGACTGATTGCGCACCTCGACGGATCGCGGTGGGTGAGGGCCATGCGCAGGCCTGCATTCTGCATCCGTTCTCTGCGCCATCGGACACACTTCGCAGCGGTGCTGTGACGAAGCCATGCGCATCCCTCGGCTGTGAAGATATTCTGCACAAGGGCCTCTAAGTCCGTGGGGACCAGAGGTTGAATATACCCGGAGCTCATGAGGACGCTTGCATCCATCATGCTGTGATCCACCCTGGTTGCGCTGGACACGGCGAAGATGGGGATGTTGTCCATAGCATTCTCAGGGCTGCAGAAGGAGAAGCAGTCTAATCCTTGCTCCTGGATCTGCTGGCAGATCAGGTTCTTGGCCGCCGAGATCGCATCGTCATCGAGTTCGTCGGCTCGCGCGAGCAGAGGAATGACGTTGGTCTTCTGTTGCAAGGACGTTATGCATTCAATGTCACGAACTTCGAGGCCTAAGTGGGTGTTAGTCGCATGAAACAGGCCCGTCAAGTAGGTAGTACTGACCTGTGTGAGCGATCAGATACAGGACCGCATCAACATTAGACTCGCCACCGGTCGACAGCAGCGTCGACATATCCGAATCGCTGATTGTCTTCTCCAGTAGTGGTGCTACATGCGCATCCGCGTATTCCGCCTCGGCCATGTGCTGCACTACATGTCAGCACGATCGATGGTCTATTACAGAGGCCTCACGTACCGAATGGGACTTGTGGAAGGCAGACTTGACGACGAAGCAGATGTTTCGGTCGAGAACCTCACTCGCAGTAGCGGACGATCGTCGCCTCTTGCGAGACGGAGCTAGAGAGGAAGGGTCGGCCTGCCACCATGGTCGTGGCCTTGTACTGGCCCATATCTCACTGAAGGTGTCGTCGGCTGCTGAAGCCACCGGATTCATGTGCACAATGTGCTCGCAAGAATGCGCAATAGCCTGGACAAGGGACGTCTTTCCGATACCTATCACCAAGTCAGAGTCTGGCATGACGGGTCGTCATGTGTGAGTGAATGCGCACCAGGTTGCCCCGCCACCAGAAGCTTGAGCTTGCCGACTGATCTCCCCGCCTCTGAGAATGGCCTACGTTGCGGCACGGATAGACTAGGCATGATGAGCTGGGGAGCGCGATGGTGGCCCGAGAAGGCTGTGGGACTTGGCGCGAAAGACGACTCCTCATCGAGGACGGGGCGTGGTAGCTCCTCGACAGACTGCCTCCGGGAGGAAACATCGCTGATAATGGACGGAGCCTCCGACATGGCTGCTAACGCTGAGGCCGCCACCATGGGCGACTGATCCTGTGTCGTGATGCCCTCATACTCGGTATCCAAAGCCGACGAGGACAGCGAGGCGATGCTATCACCTGTAGGTGTGGGGGAGGGCCACCGGCTTCGGGAGGCGTGGGTAGGCGACTCGAAACTCGCCTTTCGTCGAGTGTAGGTGGACTGAAAGGGCGAGGGGCCTGAATCATCCTCGGCAGCATCAAGGGCGGCCTCTGTGGTGATGAAGCATGCTAGATTGGCGGTGGGTGTCGCAAGCAGCGCCTCCTCCTCACTGTCGCCGCCTCCCTCGCGTCGGTTCGCCATGCCTGGAGTTGGGCGCATGGCGGAGGGCGGTCATGAAGCGGGCGTAGAAAGGTGCCTACATGGAAGAAAGGGGACCAAATTTCTGGTGATGACGGCTCGAGGAAGAGATTCCTATGGCTGAGGCTATCGTGAATCAACAGCGACGATAAGCTGGATGTGTTGCGTGACGCGCAGGTCCAGTCTTGGCTTGGGCTGATAAAGGCCGAATGATACGGACTCGGAGGGTGGAGGGTGACCACCCTGGACCAGCAGCTTCCCCGCGGTGGGGCGCTGATGTCCTCCCTAGCACATGCTGTCGGTCTTAAGCGTGTTGCTCTGCTAGCGTCTACATGTCCAGCGCATGTGGCGGGGCATCCGCGTGATTGGGCGATTCTGCTCTGCAGCCCAGTCCAGTCCAGTCCAGTCGTCCTTTGAACTTCCGAAGGGCCCTGCCCGATGGTTGGAAGTTAGACCCTTGACGGAAGATTTCGTGAGTCACTTTGAATCAAAAGGCGCGCAGAAGGGAGTGCTGCAACTACTTGTAGTATCTTGGACATTGAGTGTCTTTGCGAGCATAGATATTATCTAATTATCCGCTCTCTTCCTGGACCAGTCGACTTGCCACTCTTCGATCCCACGCCGCCTCGTCGCTCATTGCTTCCCACCTCACACACAAACCGCCGGCATCATGGACGGCAAAAGACACCCCAGCTCGTTCCAGCAACTGGAGAAACTGGGAGAGGGAACATATGCAACGGTTCGTGGACGGTATCCTGGCGGACGCCGTGGCTTGGAAAGCCCGCTGACTCTGTCCCTACCCAGGTCTTCAAAGGTCGCAATCGCCAGACGGGCGAGCTCGTTGCGTTGAAAGAAATCCACCTCGACTCCGAAGAAGGCACCCCCTCGACCGCCATCCGCGAGATCTCCCTGATGAAGGAGCTCAAGCACGAGAACATTGTCGGCCTCCACGATGTCATCCACACCGAGAACAAGTTGATGCTCGTCTTCGAGTACATGGACGGGGACCTGAAGCGCTACATGGACACACAGGGCGACCGAGGCGCCCTGAAGCCGCACACCATCAAGTCCTTCATGTACCAGCTACTCAAGGGCATTGACTTTTGCCACCAGAACCGAGTCCTCCACCGAGATCTGAAGCCGCAGAACCTGCTCATCACCAGCAAGGGCGTCTTGAAACTCGGCGACTTTGGTCTCGCACGCGCCTTTGGCATCCCCGTCAACACCTTCTCGAACGAGGTTGTCACGCTCTGGTACCGCGCGCCCGACGTGCTCCTCGGCTCGAGGACGTACAACACGAGCATCGACATCTGGTCGGCAGGATGCATCATGGCCGAGATGTACACGGGCCGGCCGCTGTTCCCGGGCACGACCAACGAGGACCAGATCACGCGCATCTTCCGCATCATGGGCACCCCTACCGAGCGCACGTGGCCCGGCATCACCCAGCTGCCCGAGTACAAGCCGAACATGCAAATGTACGCCACCCAGGACCTGCGCCAGATCCTCGCCACCATCGACCCGACCGGCATCGACCTTCTCCAGCGCATGCTCCAGCTGCGGCCCGAGTTGCGCATCAGCGCCCACGACGCTCTGCAGCACCCGTGGTTCAGCGACTTGGTGATGCACCAGCAACAGCAACAGCAACAGCAGCACCACCACCACCAGCAACAGCAGCATCACCACCAGCAACAGCAAGCACATCACATGCACCAACAGCAGCAGCAGCAAATGCAGGCCCAGGCCCAGGCACAGGCGCAAGCGCAGGCTCAGGCCCGTGCCTACCAAGGAGTGCCTGCCCAGGGGTATGACGGTAGTTACTAGGGGAGCAACCCGTACCCGCCGCCGGCGCCGATGGATTGATATGTTGGGGCTTCTTATTACGCTGCCCATGCGCGCTACGATTATTATGCATCATACATTCTTCGTTTATACACTGATTTTGCGTTGCGGAATTGCACGGCGTTGGCTCTATGGATTGACTAGACGGATAGGCAGAGTTTTATTATGGCACACTACTTTCGAAGGGGACAATTGGGATAGGAGATGATATGGATTGTTCCCTGTGCTGTGACATTGCTCTGGCGAGAAGAATACAGCTGTGGGGGATATACTACTGAGCTCTTAATACCGATTCCTTCGCTTGAAATCATGCTGTTGTTACATATTCCTGTTGGTCAGGCTCCCGTCCACAGGGCTCTTGAATTTACGCTTGTTGGGCTCCTTGGACCACGTCTCCGCCAGGGCCGCCGTCTCGTCCTGCTCGGGCGCCAGGCCCAGCTTCTCTCTTAATTTGCCCACCTCGTCGCGCACGCCCTTGGCGACCTCTCTCCTCAGCTGCGATGCCTCGTGGCTGTCGCGCAGCGTGTCCGGGTCGCTATTGGCGACGAGCTTCCTCCACCTCCGTCTCTGCTCACCAAACAGCCTGTCCACGTCCGTCGGCTCGCCAATGATGAAGCGGATCTTGTTGCCGATTCGGGGCAGGAAGCGTGGCCAGCCCCTGTCCTCGGGCATGATGAGCTGCGTGCCGTGCACGAACATGGGGACGAACTCGGGCGCTGGGTCGGACTCGAGGATGAGGCGTGAGACGCCCCATTTGAAGTACCGTAACGTGCTCTCTGGATTCTGGTGGCAGCACGCCTCGGGGAAGACGTGCACCCAGGCGTTGCGGTAGGCCGAGTACGCTGCGGGCGCGAGGAACGAGTCTTTACCGTTGGTCGAGTATGTCGGTGATTCAGGGCCGTCTGTGGGCGAAGGCCTGGTGAGAAGCTTGAGGGCCTGACTGATGGTGGGCTGATGGGGCCCGCCGTGTGAGGAGTGCCAGTATCGATGCGTGGGCAGGACTTGGCCCAGACTGAAGAACTTTGAAACTGCGCTGGATGACCATTAGCACGATGTACTGAGAATAGCCAGAGGCAGACGAGGGGGGGGGGGCGTACGCGTTCTTGAAGCATATGTCGTGGGCACCTAGACTCCAGCGCATGTTCTCGACGTCGAGCGCATAGCGCATGGGGAGGATGCCCCAGATGACCGGATCATCGAGTCTAGATAGATATCTTCGTTAGTGTTGAAAGCGTGGCGAACGAGTCGACTGTCAAACTCACACGCCAACATGATTGCAGACCGTCAATAGCCCCCTCTCCCGTCCGCCAGGGAGTTTCCGCCGGTCGAGCACGCCCAGGAGGTTGTTCAGCCCCGTGACCTCCACGCTGTTGAACCCATAGAGAAAGCCTCTCGCCAGGGCGCTCACAGAGCTCACCACCGCCAGGGAGCCGAGTCGCCATGAGAGGCTGGGGCGTGTAGGAGCCGCCGTCCCAGACATGACATTGACATAGTATACACGTGAGAAGAGGACATGTGAAACTGATGATGATCCCTGGCGCGTTTTTTTTGTAGGTGCTTCGCGACAGCCGATCTTGGCCGTCAGCCCCACGTGGATTTTCTCCCCGACGTCACGGCTCTCCAGTCTCTCTCTCCATCAACAGGCTCTTCATACGCACAACGCCCGCAGCAGCTCGTTCCTTGCCAAAATGTCACACAGTACGTACGTCTGCAAAGACAGCCTTTCTGGTGTCTAGTGTGGGACTTAAACTGACAAAACAGGCAAGCGGAACACTGCTCGCTCCATCTTCACCGCCCACGAACGAGCCGTCGCCCACGCCCATTGGAACACGTCGACAAGCGCACGTCTGACCCGCGACTCTTTCCTCCCCTTTGGATCATGCAGCCTCTGTCTTGAGCTCGCGCGCGACCCGGTCGCCTGTTCGCGCGGCGATGTCTTCTGTCGCGAGTGCGCATTGGCGAACATCCTCGCGCAGAAGAAGGAGCTAAAGCGTGCCGAGAAGGCTCGAGCGGAGCAGGAAGAAGAAGACAAGCGACGGGCGGCGCTGATGGAGGAGGAGGAAAAGGAGAGGGCTGTCAGGGACTTTGAGAGGACGCAGGCTGGTCTCTCGGTGCAAGGGCAGATCAAGGCACCCGTCGAGGTTCCCACGACCACGATACCGACCTCAAAGACCAAGACCATTGAGTGGAAACCGGAGAATGGGTCACAATCTACAAACAAGAATGAGGGGGATGCGGAATCTGCCAACGGAGCAAAGCGCAAATTCACCTTGGACGACGAAGACGTCGAGCGTACGGCGAAGCAGGACAGGGCGAAAGCTCGGAAAGCGATTGACGACGAAAAGGCAAGTTCTTCACATTGTGGCATTTCATTTCTTCACAACAAGTCACACATGCTAACGTACACTCTGACTGAGTAGGCAGCCAAACCCTCCCTCCCATCCTTCTGGACCCCATCCCTCACGCCCGACATCAGGGACTCCAAGCTCGGCCCGGCGACCAAGAAGCACAAGTCGACACCGACATGCCCCTCGTCGCAAGCCGAGAACCCACATCCCTTATCCATGCAGAAGCTCATCACGATCAAGTTTGAAGAGCTGATGGACGACTCGACCAAGGACAAGCGCAGGTCGTGCCCCTCGTGTCGCAAAGCGTTGACCAACGCCTCCGCGCCCATCATGGCCAAGCACTGCGGCCACGTACTCTGCGAAAAGTGTGTGCAGACCTTCCTCATCCCGCCCAAGGGCAAGCCCGTGAAAGAGGAGGACTCGGTTCTCGCCTGCTTCGTGTGCGACGAGCCCGTGGCCGTGCTGGCTACGGGCGACGAGGCTACCAAGGATAGCCTCCCGACGGGACTGGTCGCTCTCCGCTCTGAAGGGACGGGCTTCTCCGCCAAGGGCGCGAGCAATGTCCGCAAGGCTGGCGTGGCGTTCCAGGCGTGAAGGGCTGGAGGGTCCGTCTGTCGCCAAATCACCATCTCACCTCTTTTGTAGTCTCCGCCGCATCTGTGGGCTGTACACGAGCCACAGGCGAATGATCAGCCTGTGAAGGAGCCCCTTGGTGAACATGGTCGCTCCGTGGCTGAAGAAGCTCTTGAGGAGCTCGCCGGACAGTCCATCGTACAGCGCCTTGAGCCCTTCCTGATGGACGATGCGCACAATGACGCCGAATATGGTGCCCTCAATGATCCGTCGGAGGCGCGCCGCGATCGACTCTCGAGGTCGGTCACTCTTCTTCTCCTTCTCGTCATCCGTCGCCTCGGCAGAAGCCGCTGCTAGCTGGAGTCTCGTCTTGCCCGTCTGGAAGGGGTATGTCATCGCCGTCGCCGTCGCCTTACTCAACGCGGCGAGCAAGAAAGCTGCCCACGCAATGGGAATGTCCTCCTCCTCCAGGGCCGGGATCACTTTCTTGGCTAATCTCCTGTTTACAAAGAACGTGATGCTCGGGTTCAGCGTGAGCACCAGCGTCGCCGAGTAGCCAGACCACAGACTGAGCAGCCCTCCCTCGTGGTAAATGTCCGCCAGGATCTGCCGCACAGAGCGCTCCTCGCTCTGCGTCTGCTTCCTTGCCACCACGTTCGACATGGGCGTCGTGAAGGCCTTGGCGCAGGCGCCCGCCAGACTCCCCAGTGCGAGCTCCTCCAGGGCGCGCGGCGGGTGCCGGCTGTAGCGTCGCAGATAGTTATAGAAGCCAAAGAACAAGAAACTGTCCACCACGGATTTGCCCACATCTGTGCCCAGACCGCTGTACAGTGCCGACGCGCCCTCACGGGACGTAATGTCCTTGAACGCGGAGATGATGCCATCGTAGTGCGGGTGGTCCTGGCTGCTGCTGCTGATGTGACGCTGGGCTTTGAGACGCGTCGTGACGAGGTCGAGAGGGTAGAGGGCGGCGGTGGAGATGGCCGTGCCGGCAGAGCCACTGGAGGCGTGCCCGAGGGCATTGAGCAGAGCGTCGCGCGACATGGCTTCAAACCGGACCTCGATATTTGGGAGAGATGCTCGGACAAGAGGTTATAATAATGGACGTCATGTACGAGAAGGCGAAGACGGGCGGTGTTACCCATGTGAATGCCGAGGCACGACGTCATATCGGCCGCTAATCCAGAATCAGATAACCGACTTCATGTTAACCTTTCAACATCGTACGTAGTATGCAATGTATATTTATCAGAATAGCACAAGGTGCATTGTACATTACAAGCGTATGCTACTACCAAGTCTGTTTTTACATTGGCTGTTCTGTGTGCCCATTGGGTCCAATGCCCAAAATCCATGCGCGCCTGCGAAGCGTCCTATCCAAACACTTGACGCAGCAACAACTAACAATCAGGCCTGCATTCGAGGCATCATCTCTACAACCCTTTCAAGCATTTCTTCCTTCACACTGCTTATGCCACTCTGATCATTGCGGCAGATGAGCACTGGTGACCGCCCCGAAGACACTGCCTTGTGTGTGTGCCGATCACATTCGAGCAGGGTCTTTGCGCTCAAGGAGGCACATGCCCAGGGGGGTATATGACTGTGAATACCCGCGCTGCCCCTCGACGGCCCCAAGTCCCTCATTCGAACTCGTGAGTACACGGTGCGTCCATGCGCATGTAACAAGGCTCCGTCTCGTGCTTGGCGGCGGGCTCGGCAGTTCCATCGTTTTCGTCCCTGTGTTGCTCTGGGGAGTGTGGAATCTCATGCTCCCGTAACACGAGAGGTAACTCATGTCTCCGGCCCAGGAAAGGCTTCAAGCTCGGGAGAGAATCCAAGCCAAGGAGGTGACCAAAGCCAGGGCGGTAACCCGAGCACGGGAGGAGGAGGGAGCCCGAGCCCAGGAGGAGGAGAAGAGAACCCAAGCCCAGGAGGGTGAGGGAACCAAAACTCGGGAGGAGGGAACCCAAGTCCAGGAGGAGGAGGAGGGAACCTAAACTCAGGAGGAGGAGGGAACCCAAGCCCAGGAGGAGGGAACCCAAGCCCAGGAGGAGGGAACCCAAGCCCAGGAGGAGGGAACCCAAGCCCAGGAGGAGGGAACCCAAGCCCAGGAGGGGACCCAACTTCAGGAGGTACCTCCAATCCTGGAGGTAATCCTGGAGGTAAGTCGAGAAAAGCAGGAGCATCGGGCTCGGAAGGCAAGTCAAGCTCCGGAGCAACGTAACTGCCAGAACACATCGCAACGCCAGGATGGAACTTCAGCACAGTAGGCGCTTCGAACTCGGGTGGAGCGCCAAATCCCCGAGGCCACATAGTCCCGGGAGGTAATCCAAGCTCAGGCGGGTACCCAGGCGCAGGCGCAGGTGAGTCCTCCTCGCGCTTGGAGGACACCACACTCTCCGTAGAGGTCTCGGACTTGACAGAGGAGGACGTGCGGCTAGTCGAACCCTCGGAGCGCTGCTTCCCTTTCTTTTCTCCAAGCTTAGCTTTGCATTCGCCAGTCTGGTCCACTTAGCCACGACTTGTAACGCTAGCCTGCCTGCTCGGTGGCACCGGGGGCCCGGTTGGGTTGGTAAAGTTGATCATGCCAATGTCCATTTCTCCCGGGGCGTCCTCGCCATCGAGCATCATGGGCTGGAATTGTTGCTGCTGCTGGAGAGGCGGGGGGGGCGGCGGCTGCGGCAGCATCTGCATCTCGGGGATGATCGTGGCCGTCGCCGGCCGCTGGTAGTTTCGGACGGCAAAGATGTTTGTCCGCCCTCCATTCGTAGCGACGGCGAGCTGCTCGTGCAGCCTCTGGTGCTGGTACTGTCGTCTGATCGGTTGGAAGACGGGCTGGGGCACGACAGGTTGCGGTCTCCACTTGGCCAAGCTGGCCATGACCGCGGCAGTCTCTTCGTCCGAGTCTACGGGCCCATTGTCGGCATCGTCGTCGTCCTCTAGAGGAGCTGTCGCGTCCAGTGCAGCCTCTGTAATATCAAGGTTAGACGCCGTATCAGGTACGCAAGATCGTCGCAGCACTCACTCTGTTGCTTAGCCTGATTCTTCTTCTGGTACGCAGCCAGGAGCATGTCGTATGGCAGTGATCGCCCGGGCACTGCACGCTTGGCTCCCATGCTATGGCTCTTACAGGTAAGAGACCGAGCGCAAGCCTGTCCATTGGGCAGGATGACACCACATTGCCGCTCGACGTCGACTGGACCTTTGGTCTTGGGGGCCTTGGCCTTGGGCTCGTCCTTCTTCTTCTTGGACTTTGGACCCTCCAACGTCCCGTCGGCCTTGCGCTTCTTGCCCTTCTCGTCAGGTTTCTTGCCGGCGGCTTTCTTCCCAGCCTTCCCTTTGGAGTCTCCATCGCCGTCCTCGTCATCATCGTCGTCGTCATTGTCGTCGTTTTTACGCGCCTCCTCCTCGCGCGCGGCCTCCTTGGCGCGTTCCCTCGCTTCACGCGCCTCCTTCTTGCGCTGTGCCTTTTCCTTCTTCACGCGTAGACACTGCGCAATGTGTGCCTTTGCTGCCGTCTTGAGAACACTCTTCTTACAGTGCTTGCATTGTTGCAAATCGGGACTATCTTCGAGGGGTCGACCTGTGGCGAACGTCTCGCGCGCGTTCTCGTCGAGTTGGTTGACGACGGGGCCTGGCGAGGTAGCTGTGGATGCGGGAGAGCCCTTGCTCTTCGTTTCTGTGGTTAGAGTGTCAGCATGAGTGTCACAGATATGGGGACAAGGTAGGACATACCATCGATAATGCCGCCGTCGCGCCAGTTGCCGGGTTGTTTGTGCTTAGGCGCTGCCTTCTTCAGTTTGATCGTTCCGGACTTGGTGTCCTTTTTGGAAGCGTCCTTTGTCGGCTCGTCGCCAGCTGAGGATTCGTTAACGGAGATGAGCCAAGCGAGGGGCTTGATAGTCTTGCATACCCATGATGGTTGGTGCTTGTCGCGGGATCAAGTGCGACGATAAGCGAGAGGAGACGTGTCGCTGACGTTGTCGTAGCGACTCGCCTGGGGCAAATGGTCGAGGATGAAAGAATGATCAAATCGTAAAGTCTTTATGAGGACAATTCGGTGCATAGGGATGATGGCGGGCGCGAGTCGCTCGATGCGCGCGCTGCTGATGTCGTCGCAGTCTTAATATTGAGCGGACAGACAAACCTGAGTTGACGTCGGTTCGGGTCTGGGCGCGGATGACTGGGCTAGGCCACTGGAGTCGATGGCGCGTCGACGGATTGGGAAGACCAGACTGGAGCCTGACCAGGCACCCCACGATTGTGTCTGCCCATGTTTTAGGCACCTTCAACGCTTGGCGGTGCGGCAGCGGCCCCCTGTGGACACCTGCCAGCCACTAGCTATAGCGCCTACCTTGGGTACTAGTACTATTATATCCAAGATTGTTCTACCTCCATTCACAACTTGAACGACAACGACTGGAGCCGGATTCACGCAGCGGCAGCATAAACAAGTGTACAAGTATTCGTATGTCGCTTTATTTTATATACTGCATCGTGCAGGTATGCACCGTAGCTTTCCTCAGACGCAAAGGTCCAGTCCCTAATAATCGACAAAGCCCGGATATATACGGAGTATATATGTAGCAATCACGCCTCAAACGCCAAACGCATGCTCAAAAGACGTAGAGGAACAAACCAGCCTGTCCGCTCGCTCGCTCGTACAAGCTTCCTAATTCACCCCTCGTGGATGAGCCCGAGGAAGAACCTCTCCTTGGGCTGGGCCTCTTGGTCTCGCAACTCGTCCCTCCTCAACGACTCGCGATGCGCAAGCAGCGCGTCCATCATGCTCTTTGCGTGCTGCATGCCCATGTCGCCCCAGACGCACTCCATCACACCATACGCCCAGCTCCAGTATTCGATCGGGACACCTGGTGCGCAGGCCGCCGCCCGGAGCTGGAATAGCAGCACGGGTATACCGGCGGCCCCAGCACCGGCGCCTCCCTGCTGCTGCACGGGCAACGGCGTCTTGTCGCCCAGGAGGGGATGTCGCCAGTGACTCGGTGTGCTGGCCAGAATGTCCCGCGCCATGTCGCCCGCCGTGTCGATGCAGTCGTTCCGCCCGTTCGGGTAGTGCCTCGCCAGCAGAGGGCCGCATGACGCTGGGTACTTGTCGGCCAGGTCCAGGATCTGCTGGTTGGCCAGGATCCGCGCCCACCTGTAGTAGTTCCAGATCCGTGCCACCCACATGTCGTAGTAGTCGTGGTACTCGCCCTGGAAGACAGCCGCGGGCGGTAGGTGGAGGGTCTTCTCGGCTGTGAACAGCCAGTGCCCGTCGAGCTCGTCCTCCCACTTCTCGAACCCCTTCTCGATATCAATGGCCTCCTGCATGGTCGCCGCCGTCGAAGCGATGCCGTCTTGGAGCACGTTGAAGCGGGTATACGAGGCGAGCTTGATGAAGCGTGCTATCATCAACCCGAGTTCCGGGGCGCGTTGATCGTCGGCCGGCATGCCTTGCTGGCAAAAGGCCACCCAGTCGTTGAATTCGGCCGGAAGGGCAATGCCAATCTCATAGGCGGTCAGGAACTACGGTCCACGTTAGCTTCACAGGCACGGCTGTGGAGGCGCGAGACGCCGTCGACCTACTGTGGAAAAGCAGAGCTGTAGCAATGGGCGCACACCGCCACAAGGTGTCTTGCGCATGGGGTACCACTGTCTGATGAGAGCAGCGCCGCCAGCCACATGCGCGTACACGGTTCCTGTAGTCAGCTCTGTGCCTTTGACGAGCTCGCGCGGGGAGTTAGGCCCAGTTTCACGGGTGTCAGAGAAGAAGGAAACGCACCTCATACATCGCCAGCAACACGACCAGGCGAGCGGTCACGTCCACGGAGGACGGGTCTTTTGACATGAGCATGGATCCAGCCATTCGTAACGCCTTGCCATATTGTTTCCTCGCGCTGACCATCATCTCATGGTCGCCCCTGAGATTCGACAGACTCGCGAGTCCCAGTGCAGCCGAGACGTCTTTCAGCGCCGGGTCCCACAACCAAGTATCACTTCGCAGTTCGTCCAGATTCCTCGGTTCGTCGGGGTGTCCCACCAGGTATCTGTTGACGTAGAACTGAAAGCCTTGCTCCTCCGACGTCGGTAGGATGGGCGCCTGCACCTTGGCGAGGTCCCGTACCCCAGACGGCATGGACCCTGCTTGCGAGGCTGGCGGTGATGGTAGGGTCTGCACGGGCGAGAGCTGGACAATGTCGCCCCCGAACGAAGGTGTCGGGGATTTGGAGGAGGACGCAGCGTCGTCGTCATAAGCAGTCGCCGTGCCCGCCTCGACGCCCTCCTCGCCCACCCCCCATTGAGCATGTGCCTTCTGCATCACCTTTGCGCTCTCGTCACGGAACATGAGCGAGAGCTGGTCCCGGTAGCCGGAGCATTTTTTGCCGATGCGCACGCATTGTGAACATTCGGGTTTGACCTTGTCACACTAGAAGACGGTCAGTTGACATGAAGCCCACATCTTGACTGGTCACCCGTACCTTGATACGTCGCTTCCGACAGCTCTGGCAGCCCTGCGAAGCCTTTCCACAGTACACCATGATGACAGTCGTAAAGGTGCCGTGATGAACGGCAGCAACAGCGGACCGCCCTCCTCCCCTCAGCGGTCGAGCCTATCCCTACGGCGCACGTCGCTGTCCCGTCACGTCGATCCTTCTCTGGTGGGGGCACGCAAAGGGCGGAGGCACATCACGTAACTCGTCGTGCACACGAGCGTTAACGTGGAGGATGAATGGTCGTGTGCTGCCAATGTTGATGGTCTGAGAGAGAGAGACGAGTCCTGGAAGAAGCTGACTATACGGTCATCTGCGTTAGCGCCCCCTGTTGCTTTGATGTATGTGATGGTTGGAATGAGAGAAGAATGACATTGGTGAGGAGACAGAGGACATGAAATTTGAAGATGAGGTCCGGTCCATGTCACTGGGGGCTAGTCTAATGTATGCATGCGCATGCACTGTGATCTTGCCCCTCATGTGGCCTGCGTAGATCCCCCTCGCGCAGCGGCCCTGCACATGCGCTCGCCGGGTCTTGAAGACCACAGGAACTAGAGTGATCAATCAGAGGGCAAAGACCCTTGGATGCGTTGTCCAAGTGTAAGAGGGTGGAGGGGCGCTGCGAGTTGCGATGGGCACTAGCCCGGCGGGTGGACGTGACGCCGGCGTGGACAGTGGGGAGGGGGAGAGACGGAAGGTCGACAAGACTTGTCCTGGTTCGAAAGGACATGCTCTAGTGGCCGCACGGAGGATGACCGATCGTATGTCGAATTGGCATTGGCCTGATGCTAAGCAAATTCTCAATCTCGTCGGGTGAGGTCACAGGCTTCCACAAGGGGTAGGAGGTATTGTGTGGTCCATGTCGTTGACTCCCACTGGAAAGTGGGCTGGGTAAGGGGAACGCTGGTTCGCTCACCGAGTGTCGTAGAGGTGAGGAGCTTGGGCAGGACAGGGAGAGCGAGAGAGTCTCGGTGAGTGATGCCTCAGTGCTCAACTGGCTGCGGTCCGTGATCGTCACATACATGAGAGAGCAGCGGCTTACCGGACAATATGCAAGTGTCGTGCGTGGTTGGAACACGCGCCAGCCTGAGGAATGGCCAATTCTCCGAGACGGTTCACTAATTATTATTAGTCTAGACAAATTAGCGTTGGACCAACGAATGCGCCGCAGCGACAACTTTCCGACCAGGTGTTACGTACGTACGTATACGTATGTACAGTGGCGCGCCGGCTGAACAAGGCGCCGGTTGCAAGGTGGGTTGCGGCTGGGAGGTTGAGTCGCTGTGGCAGCTAGTCTAATCTGACACTCTCTGGTGCAAATGCGGACAAGAGGACGATGGGGGTGTTGGGCATCGAGAGGCGACGAGAGTCAATGTCACAAATTGAAGGAGTGGCGTGGAGATGATGGCTGGATCGACAATGTTGGCCAAGGGCCCAGGGCTGAGGCCGAGTTGCGCGTGCGTGCTCGACCAGACCAGGGTCCATGCTCGGCGGGTCGACTCGTTATTACGTAGAAAGACTGGAGGCTCTGCGCTGGATCTTGGCGGTCAGTCGGACGGCACTTGAATCTTGAAATGAATCAATGATGTTGACACTTGTGGGACTGGCCCCTGGGAGGCTTTCTATGGTGCCATAGCGAGAACCGCCGTTGCTTTTGTGAGAGATGATGGCTGTTGGCCTCGTGTCGACAAGGATGCTGACCTGCAGCAGCCCTTCCAGGTTCAGTCGCAATCAAGATGATAGGTTGTCTGTTTCACAGAATGCTACCTTGATCTGGACGACTCGACACATATGGCAGTACGGAAGACCCTAGCAGGTAACTTAGAATATATCTTCCTGTATTTCTTCATGGGTTCATGGTTCCTCTACGATGAATTGCCGTCAAAAGCACTGTACAGACCCAGAGTCTCTTCACAGCCCTGGACTTATTATAGTGTCAGCGCATAACCGGGGCTGCATGTGCGCTCCATCCGACACCCCAGGCTGCAGTCGGAGGTTTATGACCGTTTTCGTCCTCCGCCGGGAAGGCTGCGGCTGTCCATGACTCGATAGTACCTAGGAAGTCCCAGACGTCTACCTAGTAAGTAGTCATCCAGCCAATTGCCCGTCACATTCCCGGGGCCGACAGACTCCTATTAGGTTCATGTTAGGTAGAATCGCCAGGTTGCCTGCTGGTCGAACGCGGGGATGGACCGAGGCAACCCTGCAGCAACTCCGCATCGTCAGCGTGCCTGAGGGAGGGCATCGACTCTGATCAGTTAGAAGAAGCACTGGCTCTGGAGATGGACTGCCGTCTTGATGGTCATAGGTGGAAAATCTCCGCCAAGATGTTGTCATGAATGCTTGCTCGCTCAAAGGACAGATACGCTGTGATTGTTTCAAGATCTCACCTCCCATCAAATGCCCCTCCCCACTGTCTGTAAATCTCGTCTCTGATCGCCTCGTGTCCCTTGGTTCGCTGTCGAGGTCAACCAACCCGTCATGGTCTTGCAGCAGGTCTTGGTGACTCACAGGGTGAAATGTCTGCCCGTAAGACGTGGGCACATAACGCATGTCTTCCGCGTGTATACCGTCTGTGTTCACTGTCTCCCGACACAGAGCATCTCTTTGCCTCTTCACTGACGCTCTCGCTGCCCTTGAGCATGGTTTTGTATTGGCCCATGGCGTCGGAAGTTGGGCGAGACCAGCTTCACGAGTAGAGCTCGCCAAGTCGATGGGCGTGCCATCTTGGTCCTCCACATTGTCCTTACCCCCAACCAAGAAGAACCAAGTCTCGTTTCGACTGTAGTCGGGCTCGGTCACGTCTGGCTCGCAGAACCGATGCCCTTCAAATGCGTGATCATAGTCCACAAATAGGACCTTGGGCTCGGCAAAGGCCGCATTGACGGTATCCACAGATTGTCGGATCTTGTCGTTGACGCGCAGGACCATCTGGTTCATCCTCCGACGCAGCGCACGCTTCAACTTGGGGCCGCGCCACCACACGCCGAGCGAGTGGTCGTCACACTCGGCCGTGTCCTCGTTGAAGAACCGCGCGTATCCGGTGACTGTGATTGTGAACCAGGGACGTTTCTCCCAATGAACCCGGTCCAGGACCTCGGTGATGGCTAGTTGGAGCTCGTGTTCAAAATCACGGCTGGCAATGCGCTCGTCAGATCGCGCCAGCGCCTCCTCACAAGTGCCAGAGTAGAAGCTGTAGAACCTGAAGATGCAGCTGTTCATAATGTCAAAGAAGCCTAGGTCATTGCCGCCGATGGACAGCAGCGCAAAGTCCGCACTCGTCGTGGTGTTGAACTCTGCAATCTGGCCTGACTCGCCGTCGCGAAGAAGATCGGAGATGGTTGACCCGGTGCATGACAGGAACTCGAAGGAGGTCTTGTTCTCGCCCTCGATGTTAACCAGATCCTCGTGGATCAGCATCGGGTGTGCGTGAAGTCCACGCCTGCAGGCATCTTCGGTCCCGTTGAAGCCAGTGCCTATTCCGGCAGAGTACGAGTCCCCCAGCGCAATGAAACCTGTTGACGGGTGGCCAGGTCGACGTGGAAAGTTTGGCTCGGGTTTTGGGTTCAGCTCATGGTGGAATGCGTCAGCTTTCGGTGGACGCAGTCGCTGCTGTGTCTCTCCCTCTGGACGATAAGAACATTGTCTCTGCGGGCTCCAGAATGTGCCTGCTTGTACGACGATGGCACAAGTAGCAAAGAGGACCGTCGCCCTCATCTTGGACTTGGCGTTGAGGGTCGAGGACAGGCCATCATGAATATCCTGGCGAACGCTGCCTCTTGAATGAAATAAGAGAGCAGGCGCTCACAGTCGCTACGACGGACCAACGTCGCACCCACTGGGCAGCCACATGGCCGCGACTTGGGATGCCAGTGGTCGATCAAAGTCAGCTGACCTGGCGGGTGACGGGTGACCACCAGTAGGTAGCCAGTCATTCGGCGCCGGCCGTGTCTGTGGCGCGTATTGCACTTTCAATGCCACCTTGGCCAATGGATAATTGCACCAAGTTTCGACTCCAAGGCACGACCCGTCCAAGCGCACCGACTGGAGGTGTTTACTGTTCAACTTGCCCCCGAGCTATCGGTAGCTCGCGCCACATTGTGGCTTGCTGAGAGGGGCTTTGAGCCTCTTGTCATCAAATCTCAGATGACGTCAGTCGCAATCCGTCAAGTCAAGACTCGAGATCCAACCGCACAAAGAGGGCTCCAGCCTCCAGTCTCCATCAAGAGATGCCCCGTGCTGTACCTATTCTCGGATGTTGCCTTGCCTGCATGAGATCCAGAGATCAACGTCATTTATTGCTGGCGATTTCCCCACATCGCTCATGGCCGTTCCGCCACGTTCCGCACGGGCTTGAGTCTGGTACGTGGTACTTGTAGATGAGGGACGGACTACGTTGCAAGCTTCGTCGCTACCTTGTACGGTAGGTGAGCGCAGAGAGTATCTTGAAATATAAAGCAGTAGCAGTAAGCGGAAGGCGGATCTGACTTGGAAGTGTGATCAGACTGAGCCTCGTTCACCCGTTCAAGTAACCAACTCCCCAGACCCGTTCTATCTGCAGGTTGACCGTCACTGGCAGACGAGGGGACCCCAACGACGTCAGACCCTCCATCCCTCCCTTGTACGTAAGGTACCTTGCCTGACACGCCAACTCAGCACGAGGTTGTGAGCATTTAAAGTTGCTTCATTCCCTCCGAAGCGGTCTATCCGAGCGAGCTCCTGTACAACCACATCCGCCTATTGCACGCCCACCGCACGATACCATTCCAACTCGCTACACCATCCCATCCACACGACCGTCATGGATACCATCAACAACGTCGCGACTGCCGCCTCCAAGGCCGTCTTTGGCGGCGCCGACGCCAACAAGGAGCCCGTCTCGGGCGCCCAGGGCGATGTCGGCCGGGGTGAGCCCTACGATGCCGGCAACCTGGGTGAGTTATCACCGTACATGTCCACAATCGCCAGCCCACTGACCGGACCGTAATAGACAGCGAGAGCCAGGAGAAGCTCGAGAAGACGCTAAGCGAAGACAAGGCATCAAAAGAGAAGACGGACACGACCACAGCTGCTGCTCCTCCTACTGATACCACCACATCAGACAAGCCAGCGACCGACAATGACGACGACGGTGACCACCCCCGCGCCGACCCCGCCGTGCCTGACGCCTCGGCCGTGGAGGATTCAACCAAGGAGCCGGAGCCGGAGCCGGAGCACGTCGACCCCAAGGGTCCCAGCCCCAAGCCCGTGGCCCAGGTCGCAAGGGAGCATGGCGGCGACGCCGGTCTCGCGCACAAGCCCACTGCAGAGGACGCGGGGGACAAAGGAGAGACGGAGGAGAAGGACGACAACAAGCCCCAGACGACGGGTGAGGTCGTCCACGCGACAGGTTTCGCCGCTGAGGGCGGTGACTTTGACGCCACCAAGCCCGGCGCAGGAAAGGAGGCTGAGCGTAAGTTCTTCTCAGTCGGCTTCACGCCGAAACAATGAAAAAGACAAGAATGAGATGCTGACAAATAACCACAAATTAGGCCTCACCGAGCAAGGCTCATCGCCTGGCACAGCACCCTCCGGCTCACAAGCTACAGACGACGCCTCGGACAGCAAGGCCTCCAAGGGCAAGGACGGAAAGGACAAGCCGAGCCTAAAGGACCGGATCAAGGCCAAGCTGAACCGACACTAAGTAGTGGAGCGGGAAGTGGGTGAACGGAGGTAGGAGATGGTGTCTTCATTATACCCTCTTTTGTTTTTTTGTGTTTGGTGTTGCGGAAGCACGTGAAAGGGGGGCCATTGCGCACATATTTGCTAGCAGTTTGTCCCACGTTCGTACTCTTATCAAGCGATGCACATACAATAGATTGAAAACACGCTGTTGTTCTTCACTGGATCCGTGACCAGACCGATGTGATGGAGTGCGCGCGCCGCCAAGACTGGGGGGAGAGAGAGGCCAAGCCAGGGATTCATTCCATTGGGAAGACTTTCACTTCCCCGCGTTCTGACAACTGCAGACTCTCCCATCCTTTCATGCAGGAATCAATTTATCCGGACCTTGCGCGCGGTACGGTCATATTACTCCATGTTCGAGGTTAGGTGTGCGACAGCCGCATATCTAATTCACGCGGCCCGGCAACCCGCGTTTGTGATTGCTGCCTCTCTCTCTCTCCGATAGCACGCATGGCTGCCCATCCTTGTCATGGTCCTCGTTCAATCGTGCATGCATTAATATACGTTCAAGTCGTGAACCGTGCTAGCTAGCTGTGCTGCTGCTGCGTCCGGGCTCGTCAGAGCATGATACCTGTCTATATAGTAGTGAAATTGAATCCCAAGCGAAGAGAAACCCCCAAGTATCCAAAACATGCCCGAGTCCCCTCCCCGCACAATGCTGCTAAAACGCCCCTACTGCTGCTGCTGCTGCTGCTGCTAGCCTGCTGCCGGTCGAATGGTTCGTCACAATGGTAAAGTAAAAATGTCCGAGGTTGACACGCGATGCAAATTACCCGTGTGCCTGACCCATGTTCCGTAGTCGCCATCCATGCAAGTGTGCGCAAAGATGATAGGTGGTCGGTCAGTCCAAGCTGAACTGAACGAGAGAGCGCATGCAATCATTTCTGTCCCGCGGCGGCGGTGAGCCTGCCTTTTCAAGTTTTCAACAACCCCCCTCCCCCCCCATTCCGGGCCAAGCCTGAGCCTCCTTGCCAGGCTCGAATCCGGCGGCCCGATCTGTCACTTCATCGGTCGCGTGCCATGTGGCGCCCAAGTTGGGGAGCCTGGCCGACCCGCCCGCGATGCAGGCGCGGCTGAAGCCCAGCTGCCCAACAGACACTCTGACGTGACCTGGTCCATGACTAGCGACTTGATACGGTCGATAGCTCGCCGCGTATGCATGGCGAAGCCCGGATGCCGGTAGGCCTCTCCCGTGTCCCCCACGAAAGAGCGTTTCCCACGGATCGCGATTGGTCGGATGGGGAGGCGTCGTGCGCAAAGCGTGCGGTCGGTGCTTTAGAGGAAACCCGACTCGGCTAGAACCCTGCAAGATGAAAGGCACAGTAAGCTTCTGATCTGATCTGGTAGTCATAACACATTGGCAGCCGACACGGGGCGGCGGCGGCTTCTCATTGCTGTAAAGACAACACAACTCATACCCGTGCATGCCCTCCTCAATGGTACATGGTGAGGGCGCCATACGTCGACGGCTGATCCCGCAAAGCTACGTACCTCACAATCTTCTCGTCCTCTCGCTCGCGGGGCTCGATCTGCAGACTCTTGTTGTACATCTCATGCACATCGCCCGCAACATGCACGTTGCTCAAGATGTAGTCCTGCAGCTCGGGTACCGGCTGCAGGGAGTAGCCTACATTCTGGTACTGCTGAATGTCCCAGATGACCTCTGCCGTCTTGGATCTCTTGGCAAAGTTGATCAGGTTGGTCTTCTTGATGATGGACGGTATGCCGTCCTCGATAAAGGTCAAGTCGGTCAAGAACACGCCTAGTCACGCTCGTTAGCAACATGACCAATGCCAGCTATCATCTGGTGGTGATCATCCTACCGAAGAAGGGTACGCAGGGGGGGTTGGCGGCATGGATCTGCTCTCTGTACTCGGCAAAATTTCTCGTGTTCCCCATCGTGGTTCGCAGTGATTCGAGCGTGGCCGCCGTCCGCGCAGGCAGAAGCTCCCACGTCCGCTTGAGGCGGGAGATGGGCGCTGTGCTGAAGGCCGAGATGATGGCGGTCAACGACGAGTAGTTGTTCATAGCTCGGCATTTCTTCACTCATTAGCCTAATCCCGCATCTCCAACGACTGGACATCGAACTTACATCGGCGACTTGTACAAAGTACTTGATGACAACAACACGCTTCCGCGCGTCGCTCTGGTTCAGGATCATCTCCGCTATCCAATTCGTGGTCTGGTTCGACTGCATGATAAGTGTCTTGACGTTGGGTGCAATGTCCCTCTCGGCCTCCTTGTCCTTGTTCCAAGTCTTGGCCAAGGTCTCCGATGCCTTGATCTTGCCGTAGAGTCTCGACTCAATAATGGTCAATTGTCGGGCAAACTCGGTAGTATCAATGTCAAGAAGCTTGAGCTTCCTCATGTTCCTCGGCATGATGGGCTGCGGGGTATTTTGGTTGAGCGTCTGCACCATCTTGCGGGCGCCAGCCTCCTTTCCACTCAGTCGCTGCTCGAGGACCATCTTGAGCGGTCCGGAGCCTGGGGTCTCCGTCGCCGCCACAGTGTGTTGCGCAAAGTCGGACACGTCCCGGATGAGTTGGCGAGACTCGTCATTGAACTCCTCCATCCAGAAACTCTCGAACCAACTCTTCAAGATGTTGACAACACGGAAGCGAATGAGCTTCTGCTTGCGGTCCCTCCAGACCTCAAAGTCGGAAGGAGAGAGTCCGGGGGGCGGTTGCGTGTTGAATCGTTTGACGAGCATCTCGAAGAGTTCCTGCGCTGTTGTGAATGATCGGTAGGTCAGGAGGAAGGTATTGTTGAAATTTGAGTCAAGCTTGTCGTGGCGTGTCAACTGTTCCACAAGTCCCATCAACGTTCCGCTTCGAACGGACGCCTTGCCATCCTTGGACTCCCAGGTGACCTCGTGCTCGTAATCGAGACGCAGATACTCAGGGGTATCCTCAGTGGGGGCAAGTCCCATCTGCGGTGAAGGATCCTCGCCCAAAATCTTCTTGACCTTGGACTGGTCACCCTTTCGGAAGTTGGTTGGCGGCGCTTCTCCTTCGCTGAAGGACTGTGTCATCAGCAGGGGCGGGCGACCGTCTGCGGTCCTAGACTCGGTACGGTGATGAGGTCGTTCGGCCGGCATGGTCCCGACGCGCTGGAGGCTGTGGTTCCGGGTTGTGTGGTTGTCCCAGCCCCTGGGGTCGATGTGATGTTGATTGAGGTTGATTTGCACCTGCTCCTGGAGTAGCTGCAGAGAAAACCCGACATGTGTAGAGTTGGTCTCCAAGGCCCTGGCGCACTGCCTGACATAGTCCATCCTGCTCTCCAAAGCTTCGCCTCGCACCTCGGCCCACTCGTCGGCCAATGGACCCGCTACAGCCTGGCAACCGAGCACAAGGTCTGCGATATTGTCGTATAGGGTCTGCTTGTTGGTGCTAAACTCGGCGAGTTGGGGTGTCTGGAAGCTGTTGCCAAGAACGGACAGGTCGATAGACTCGATCATGGATATCCAAGGCTTGAACACATCCACGACCCTACCACCACAATAGCACACATTGTTTCCAATCATCTCATGGCGGACAGGCGAAATTGTCTTTTCCGGGGCGACCAAGTTCTTGTCCAGCTCCCGAAGGCTGGCCGCGAGCAGCCGGCGTTGCTCGTCCATTTGGGAGAGCAACTTTCCGTCCAGGATTTTGCTCGGCTCCGTAGCGCCCTCTTCGTCCTCGAAAAAGTCCGCCGTGATGGGATCCTGTAGGCTCAGTCCATTGTTCTTCCAACTTCCGCCGGCCGTGCTGCCAATGACGAACCCAGGGAAGAGCCGAGGGATATCTTCGCCTCGCTGCTGTTTGGCGACTTCGACGTAGCTGAAGACGCCCAAAAGTACGCCATCGGCTTCTTGCAGGCACTTTTGTACAGACTCGGCATTGGGCCAGTCTGCCGCAGCAATGTGAGACGATATGACAAGCTTGGAGAATTTTGACATCATGTCACGGAAGTGAGGGTACAGTGCCTTGTTGGTCGAGATGATGGACGGCTGCCCAGAGTGGTTGTCTGTGGTCCCGGAGCCAGCAGAAAGCAGCAGGCGAAGGTGGTCAGAAATGTCCTCGGCGCGAGCGACGTACTCAGCTCTGTTCTCGTTGGTGATGGCTTCGCGGTACCGCTCAATGGCACGCTTCATGTTCGTGACCAGCACGCTCCATGTCAGTGGAGGGGTGGCTCCATCGTCAAAGAACGACTTGGGCACCGTAGTAGTGGTTGGTTGGTTGTATGACGTGCTGATGAACGATGTGGCAGATGCAATGTTCGGTGTCTGCGCCGGCGGTCGAGTGGCCGAATGAGCGCCCTTCCGGGTCCGAGGGCCGGCTGGGATGCCGTTGATCGAGTCCATTGACGTGGACGGGGACAGGACACTGCTGACAGATCCACGTGGGACCTTCCCAGCGCGCTCCCGCCTAGCAGCATCGCCCTCGACTTCCGAGACTGAGGTAGAGGAGTCGTAGTCCTCGTCCTGCGTCATTCCCCGTGCCATCATCTCGGGGGGTGGGCGAGTCTTCTCAGGTATGTGCGCATTCATGCGATCCCGTGGCCCGGTTTCGTTGGTTGTGACGGGCGACTCGAGTGGAAGCTCCATGCTACGATCGCCAGTCATCATGTTATAGTAGAACAGTCGGCCGTCGGGTGTGGCCTGCGGAATCCAAAAGTCGGCTCTCGATTTGTCGCCAAAGTCTGTTCCTTCCATCGGCAGACCATTGATCCCTTCGCCTTCAGAGTCCTCGTCTTGGTCGTATCCATCTTCGTAGATATCTAATTCTTCGGCACGCTCTTCCAATAGCTCGTGGTGGCCGTTGGAGATCGGGTCAGGGACGTCGTCCGGGCTGGTGATGAGCTGGCAATAATTGCTGGGGAACCAGCCACGGACGCCGTTGATCACGCCATCCCACCACCCGCTCTCGAGCTGTGTGATAACTTGGATCACATCTCCTTCATGGAAGCTCAGACTCGTCCTGTCGTCCGCCTCGTAGTCGTATAATGCACGGACGTACGTGGTGCTCTGTGGCGCCGTGCCCACGATTCCGTTCATAGTCGCAACAGCGGTCACAGAAACTGCATATGCTGGAGTGATTGTTTGCGCTACAGACGGCCGTCGTGCTGCGAGTGCCAACGTCGGTTCGTTGAGGTGGGTTGGAGGGGCTAGCTTGAGTCGCGGAGGGCCGTGCGTAGGGGTCGTGTCGCAGAAACAGGCGGGATGTGAAACGGCCTTTGCACGAAAGTCGAATCGTTGGATTGATGAAGCAGGAAGGAATTGGCGTAATTATGTGCTTGTTTGTATGCTGCTAGACTGCGAAGTCAATCGGTCCAGGGTAGCAATCCGCTAAAAAAGAGCGGCTCGGTTGATTTGGGAAGCTGTCGCGCGAAGGGGGGGAAGCGGGTTTCGATTAGGCGGAGCAAGTCGAGGGTCTAACGAGAGGCGTGGAATAACGTCGCCTGTCGGCTGTCCTCGTCTGCCGTTTGTCGCTCGCGAAGCTGCCTGCCTGCGTGTTTGCTCGCTTCTGACGCTCGTCGAAATGTGACTGATGGCGGACCTGGCACCTCCGTCCGTGGTGTGATAGTCTACCCCCGTCACTGCTCGCTCCGTCGCTCTCGGGCGACGGTCTCGAAGGGTCAGTCGTGGATCAGCGTGTTTGCCTGGCACACGCAGATGTTGACGCTCCGTCGGATTGTTGGTTGCGCGCAGCCAACTGCCAGATACGACACAGAATGCTGGATGCGAGGGAAAGCTAGATGCCAGAGCGAAAGGCTGAATCTAAGAATCGCCTGGCTGATGAGGGAAAAGTAGGCAGGCAGGAGGGGCTGCGCTGCACCACACGACTGAACCCTGCAGCGCCGGCCAGATTCAGCACACACCACCGAAGGTCTTTCAGGTGGTAGCGGGCAGCCCAAGTACGCTATCGCCAGCAGTGTCAGTGGACAGGACATGAGTTTTCTCAACCTCCAGTCCAGCTGCGGGCTCCGGTCCGGCGGGTTCTTTCTGGTTTGACTGTTTGAGTGCCATTCAATATGGGGTGTACTGTATCCATGTCCGTACTTTGTTGATTAATACGCTGTATTATCACTCCAGAAGCAGAAGCTTCCGTATTTCCAGTATTGTCCTGAGGGCTACCTGCCATGAGTTCTCCCACATCCTCGGCCCTAAAGAAGACTAGTCGTTAGGTAAAGGTATTTCTAGCAAACAGCACTGATTCATGCGCCGGATGATCACAAGGCGTTATTGTCCTCCGTACCCCCGATCAGCACACTGAGGGGCAGAAGAACATCGACCTGAACCGCACTGATGATTGCCTTCTTCTCGCGTAAGCTGGTGGACAATATCATCTGCTTTTATTAATATCCGGCCGCGCTGAGCACTTATATTAATACTTTGACGCGACGTTTCCTTGACCGCAACCTCTCTTCCTTTCCAGTCCCAGTTCCGATTTCTCCCACTCGGTGAGCGGCCCCCTGACTAGGGTCTACTTATTAGGCAGGACTGAACTTGCGGGCTGGCAGTCAAGTCCGACCGCAAGCCGTTGCGACGTTGCTTGAGACCCAGCAGCGAGCCATATGCTTGTGCATGTGAAATCCTGAGTCTGGATTGGAGACAGCTCAACAAGAGGACCCGATTCATCAGGACAGCTTCTCTTTGCTTGAGTCGCGAGCATCCTCGCTCCACGACCCGCGAGTTGTTTTTAGCCTAAGGGCGCCAGCAATCGCAATGCGTACGAGTCCTTGTCGACATTGGGCGACAAAGGGTCATGGCCGATTGTGTCAGCGCCAACGGCCCGTTCCTTCATATATGTATGGTCCAAAACTAGAGTGACCACGGTCAGCTCGATGCCGAGTCGAGCAGTTGACTCGCTGAAGACGCAGCAGGATTCAGCTTTTGTTCCCACGTCAATCTGACCTGGTGCTTATCATCCTGTTAGATCAGATGCAGCTTACCCTACAGCTCATGCCGATTACTCCATCGCAAACGCACGCCAGCTTGTGTCGCGATGAGCATACTGTATGCGATGGCGCCGTGCTGGATTGAAAGACGATGTGGGAGGGGGCTCGGTCCTCACGTTGCCACCTGTGAGATATCCGTAGGATGCGGTCTCAAGTGTTTGCAACCAATCTATACGTCTTGGGCCCCACCACGACGGGACATTCCTGATGACAGCTTCACCTGGGAAAAAGCCACGACAACATGGCCAAGAAGCAAGTGAAAGCACGGGAGAATGTAACATAAAAGTGCATCACACAAATATCATTTCTCTGCGCTGAACCAAAAGACACACTTGTCGCATTGCTACTAATGGCCCACTTCGTACCTTGCCAGTGAGCCCTATCAGCCTAGGGCAAAGTGCGGCAACACTTAACTGTGCCTTCAGTATAGCCTACCCTAGGAGAGACATGTAATTAATTGCCAAGTTTATTAGAATTTTCTAGGTCAAATGTTGTTTGTGGCATGTGCCCATGCCGTCGAAGCCCTCCCAATACCAGGCAAGGTACTCCGTACAATCGACTCTCGCAAGAATCAAGATCCATTTCTTACCTGACCTGGCCCACGTGGAGACTGGACTGCGTCCCCAGCCCCTGGCGCCCTAGCCCGCCGGCTCGCTGCCGCGGACCCGCCCGCTTTAACCTAATGCACGCAAGTGCCTGCAAACCCCCAGCGGTAGACGTGCGTCTATCACTTTCAAGGACAAGCATTGCGATGATGCTCTGCCAGAAACCTCACGTTGCGGTGAGCATCTTGCAGCAACACCAGCAGTTGCGATGCAAATGCTCGACACCGCCTCCGGCGCTCAGCATGCCGACATGCTGCAAGAGACGAAGCTGTCGTGAGGGGATCGTTTTGGACCTCGATTATACCTATCATCATCCACGATCGGAGCGCCTCCACTACCCACAGCGGCGCGATTCATCATGCTGACTTTGCGGATGCAATATTTCGTGGTAAAGTTTGATGTGCGAGTCACCGCCCTGTCCACTTACCTACATACAGACTCGCCAGTTGCTTTATCCAGGCTGGGCAGCCGAACGACAGAAATATGAAGGGACCTGCCTAACAAAGTCACCGCGTTTCTGCAGCGAAGAAAGAGGGTTCGATGTTTCCGTGCAATGCTCAGTTGGTCACCCCAAAGCAGGGCTGTCCTGCCTTGTGGTTTGTGAGCAGCGCTCGCGTCGTGACCAGAAGTATCAAGCTGACAATACGCTTCGTTTTGTCCTGGAGTTGCTCCATATCAACAACAGTAGACGCCGCGAGTTATGTAGAACTCAGGAACCAGTCAGCGTCGGCACTGAGCGTAAGCCGTCATGCTCAAGGGTGGAATGTCACGAATTCCGATAGACTGACAACTGTGCCCGATCTGACTCTGTCACGTCGATCCTTTCTTGAGGCACCACCGACTATTATAAGTTAATCAGTCTATTACCTGGCACAATGCTTGTCATTAATAAGGTGCTGTGCCAGTGCTGACCCCTCTCTAAGGTAGTTCTCATCAAGGTTCGCCTAGTAGTTCTAGAAGACCAACAGCATGACTGGCTTTACAGCACATTGAACTGCCAAGTTCAAAATGTTTCAAACCACCCGCGCAAATGGCATTGCTTTGCACAAGTTGCGGTGTCAACACAGAACCAGCTCTGCTTCACCGCTTCCAAAAGTCCACATAATCGGTCTGCATAATGCGAAGATGCTTGCTGGCGGGAAGCATAGCATCGCAGTACCTAGGCGGAGCACGATAGCGGGTCACCCTGTAGGAGTTCTGCACGACGTCGCCAGGCCTTGCGAGGCTGGCTGTAGGCTGTAGCAATAATTTTCTGCAATGATGGTGAGACAGGTTCGGACATTAAAAGCAGACCTGTACGGCAGGTCCGGCGTCAAAGCGCCAATGCCGTTCAAAGTCGAAAGCCCGCCCCTGAAAGTGGCAATGGCGATAGTCTATAGACTCATGTCAAATTACGGGAGCCTTCCGGGCGCGTTCCACGCGTTTGAGGCGAACGAGGACGATTGGGACGGACCGCGCCCAGCGAGTCGGGGAGCGATCTTAAAGGACCCATTTGGCTTACGGAAGAGCCAGGAGCCATCCGGACGGGGCACACTGAAGCCCGGATGGTATAGCGCAAGGGGCAAGGATGACACGGACAGTTTTTGAATCATGTCCCGTCCTGTTCGGGAATGGGAATTTTGTGAAATGAACAGAGAGATTACGCCGTCACAGCGCCCTGCTTCAAGCGGCGAGCCGTGTCGATGATCACAGCGCGCACTGTAACGGGGAGCGATGACTGCCGTCTGCCAGGCACGTCGTCACAGTGTGGGCAAACGCGGGATGGAACAGGAACGCGATCCCGCACTAATTTGAATATTACGGAAGCAAGCCTGTCCATCCAAAGGAAGTGTGGGAGAAGGCTGAGGTTTGCGTTGCTTCGGATCAGGTCCAGCAAGACACGACTGCCACTGCATATTGCGCCGGAGACTGACTGACAAATGCTGCATCGATTCTTCAAGGCGATCAACAAGCGTGAGCTGCATCGCGCAGCTGATCTGCCATGCGAACTGATGAGGAGACGGATTTCCATGCTGGAGCTTCCCCGCGGTTGAGTTGGAGTTGGCCGAGCTCCCCTCCTCGTGACGTCCATAGCCATGACGACGACATACATGATGGAGAAGGCCGAAGCATAAGCGCAAGAGGAACATTCTGAGTGCCTGGATTAGGAACACTCAGCACGCAAGCTCATGCGCTGTATATGATATAGAGGTGGAAGGTGAGAAGCGTTCATGCTGTCGTGTCACAACTAATAGCACGATCCTGGCGCGAGGGATCGCTTGATTCGCCCAGACCAGAAGCAAGGCGACTCGAGGGACAAGCGTTGTAGGTACGCGAGTGGCTGTGGATAGCGCGAGCCGACACCTCCAGATGTACCTCGGACCCCCTGTCTCAGAAACTGGCAGGCGCCCCCCTTTTCTCGCACCCCAAAGAGGCTTGCCCAGCAGTGTTTGCGAGCGCGTCCGGTCCCTTGCCGCTTTTGTGACACGCCAATCCGTCGGTACATGTACCTTTACGTGTAGCTACGATATGTGCTGCCGAAATTGTCGCGCCCTGGACATGGCATGAGAATCGGATCCTGCTCTCGCAACCATACTCAACCATGCCGTCAAAGGCCTAGCCATATATACAGCATTATTTGCTCACCGGGCATGGCAGAGGGAACCCTGACAACATCTGTCGGTCGGCTTATACGTAGTAATACTCCTCTCCGGGTGATGCAGCACGATCATGCCGCCTCAGCTCGCTCAAGCGGCGCCCCGCCCACCCTTATCAAACCCACCCGACCTCATTCAAGTTCAAGCAAGGTCAGTGTTCCCCTCCACCCGTGGCCAATTGGTGCAACCCCTCCACCCCGCTAGAGGCCTGAGGTTGAAGTCTGGCATGGCCGGTTGACCACCCAAGCTGATGGCCCCGCCGTCGTGCCAACGCACAGCAGCCCGAAGTCCGGACTGGATGCCTGCCAGAACTCAAGTCCGTTGCCCAGCTGGGACGCATCGCAACCATAGTAGGATGATGGCAGCGTTGACAAGCGCGCAGGCGATTATCTGATGTTGTACTTGAAGGTCGCACACTCACACCGAATTCTCAGGATGTTCAGTGTAAACATATAGGCTTTTACAAGTATAATCATGATCCGTAGCACGGGTGCCATGCCCAGACACGGCCACTGTATGAGACCTCGTGAACTTGGGATCCATCAGCCCCCGGTCAAGTATCTTTTGGCAGGCTCGCCCGCCAGCTCGGTACGTTGCTAGCCAGCCTCCTCAGCCACCCCCTCCCCTCTTTTCGGCGCCATCCCATCCCTTGATCCCCTTCCTTTTTCATACCATCCTCGCCCTCGGTTGGTGGCCGCCCCCCCCAATTAACCAGCACACCTACCCAAAATAACCCAGTCACAGCCCACTATTCACATTGCCGGCGGTCGCGCGCCAGCGGCCACAGCGGGCAGCTACCCACTGGGATGCTCCTGCGCCCTGTGTTGCTGCTCGCACAGTACGTGGCAGCGCCCAGCACCTACCTGCCTTTGCACTGTCGCTCCTTCCCACCGTTGCTCCCCTCCGGATTCCTGACCAAGGTCCGCTGCGAGCACTTTGAAGCTCCCCCCTCCGAGTCCCCTCCCCCCTCTCTCCTTCGTCCCGTACTTCTTGACTGCTGCTTGCTCCTCACTTTTTCCCAACTCTCCTCCATTCCATCATCCCACCATCAACACCACGCGCTTTCATCCACCGGCTCACTTGCCAGGCTTGTAACAGCCTCATTTCTCTCCAAACCCATCAAATAAACCAGACACCTTTCCATGCTCAGTACACAATCGCACCCAATGACCAGCTACACGATCAAGACCGCCACTGTCACCCTGTAGAGCCCACGGGTGCGCGTGCGAGCGAGGAGTTGGGAGTCAAGAGAAAACAGACACAACAGACACCCAACGAGAGACACACGAGCGTCACAGCCAGACGATATTCAACCATCGGTCACTCACTCTAGCAAGTGCCAACGCGCCCACTCAAGCAACCGTCGACTCGTCCACCCGCGCGCAGCCTACGAAGACGCGACACTACCATCGTCATGCCTGGTGCAAGCGTAGCCGTTCTCCCGCCGCCCGCGGCCTCGACCCCTTCCGCGCGGAAGGCCTCCCTGGCCCCGGAACGAAAGTACAAATGCCAGTTCTGCCACCGAGCCTTTAGCAGAAGCGAACATCGCAGCCGTCACGAGCGATCACGTAAGTTCTCCTCCGGGCTGTCCCGCGGCCCACTTCATTGTGCAGTATCGAGCTTCCATGCTAACCTCTCGTAGACACAAAGGAGCGACCCTTCAAATGTTTGAAATGTCGGAGCACATTCGTGCGTCGCGATCTCCTCCTTCGTCATGATCGCACCGTCCACGCCAAAGACGGAGGTGTTCCTCTTCACAGTGATGGGAAACGCCGCGCTGGTACCAAGACTCGCAATGTGGAGACGCCTTCCAAAAGTCACCTCGAGCTGGACACCTCGACTCTCGAGCAAATGGAGGGCAACGACAGCATTTTTGACGTCGAGGCGGCGGCGATGCTCGTTGCCGACCTCCACCACAAGGCCACCGCTTCCGCGCGCGAGAACCAGAGCTCCTTCGAGGAGAGTCCCTCCATGGCGTATGCGAGTCACAACACCTCGATGATGGAGCCAAGTGTCACCTACCCCTCTGGCGCCATTGCTCTGCCCCAAGTCCAGTGGGATGGATTCATGCCCCAATCTGTCGCGGAGCCCAACGCGCACTCGATCACGTCCAACGGCTCCTTTGAAGCCCAGCACGCCAAGCATGCCCAGGCCATTGCCAATCAGCTCCCGCCCATCGCAGGCCAGAATCCCAACCTTGTGCCTGCTTTGCAATCTATGATCAGTTCGCTTCCGAACTCTGGAGCCGGCACCCCATTGCCTCAGAGCCCTTCCCTCGACGCATCGCAAGCAGGCTTCAGGACGCCTCAAGTCGCCAGTGACGAGGAGCGCAACATCATCCTCGACACCATTCGACGCAATGACAGCGAGCGAGCTATTCCCGAGGGGTTCCGCCTGCCCGGCCTGGGTTCCATCAACCGTTACCTGTCCACGTACTTTGGCCTGTTCCACCATCACCTGCCGTTCCTGCACCCTAGCTCCTTCAGCCCCACCAAGGTCTCGCCGCCCCTGCTCCTCGCGGTCCTGAGCATCGGTGCCTTGTATGCTTTCGACCAAGACCAAGCTTACATGCTCCACATTGGTGCCAAGGTTCTCGTCAGCCAGTTCTTGCAGAACAAGGAGAACTTCAGCTCCCGCAAATGCCCACTGTGGACCATGCAGGCCACCATGCTGAACATGGTTTTCGCCTCGTGGAGCGGTGATCCCAAGGGTCTTGAATGGGCGTGCTCCATCAAGAGTCTTCTCGCCAACATGGTTGCGGGCAATCGCTACGAGCTCAAGCTCCGCCAGGATGCGCGCAGTGGCTCGACTCCGAGCCAGGCTGAGTGGATTGAGGATGAAGGTTGCCGCCGGACATACTACGCGGTGTACATCTTCTTTGGTCTGCTTACCCTGACCTACAACCACACGCCGGCCATGGGGTTCAACGAGTTTGAGGACTTGCAGCTGCCTTCGACCGAGGCTCTTTGGAACATGCCCACCGTGGACGAAGCCACTTGGACCGAGTACTTCAAGCAATCGCCTGCCGCCACCTTTTTGGAATCACACGACCGCCTTTTCCAAGGCGAGGCCTTGAGGTACAGCGCCTTTGCTACGCGTGTCATGATCAATGCCCTCTTCCTCGAGGTCTGGTACCACAAGCGCAGCCCCGAAGCTCTCCAAGATGTGGTCACCGAGTACAAGCTCCGACTTGCATTGGAAACCTGGGAAAAGTCTTTGGATCTGTGTGAGCCCGAGGCTGTCCTTGTTCCCCTTAGTGCCCCCCACAAGGGCCACCCTCTCCTCTTCAACGCCAAGGCCTTGTATCGCAATGCTCGTGCCAGGTTGGAAGTGGACCTGAAGGCCGTCCAGGAAGCTCTCCGCTACCATGATCCCTACGAGGTCGCCGCTGCCATGTCTCACGCCCGTGACCGCGTAAAGCGGTCCAGTGAGATGCTCAAGGTCATCCAGGAGTGCTACAACTGCATTGAAACGGCTGTCGTGCAAGGCGTTCGCTGGGTTGCGAGAACATCTCCGACCAACTGGAGTGTCGAGCACCCGCTGTGTGGATTGGATCTCATGATCATCCTCTCGCTCTGGCTCTATCGTCTGGAACACGACGAAGAGCCTGCCACGCGTGAGGAACTGGCCATGTACAACCAAGTCCGCCAGCTGTTCGTCAAGGATGTTGAGGAGCGCTATCTGTCCCAGCTCAGCTCTGTGGTGGCCAGGCTCTGGGGCTCCATGCTCGACGAAGTCGTTGTGTGGGGCATCACCCGTCGCCTGGGGGAATCCTTCAAGCTCCACTCCCAGGCACTTGTCGGCTACGTCGACGACCTCGAAGCGTCCTCCAACGTGTCGACTCCCTCCATGATCTCGCAGGGGGCCGACGAGGACAGCGTGTACTAAAACCGACTATAATCATTTTACGACTTGAACGACGCTTTCCTTGAGTTCGCCGCGGACAGATGTGGGATACCCTGGCCCAGTCTACCGCCATTTCCTTGCGCATATACCTCTCTTCGTTTTTCGTCTTTGCTGCGTGGCATCTCCTCTTCTCGTGCCGGCGTGCAGGGTCCTTGGAAGGAGCTCGAGTTTTCTTTTTACTGTCTACTTTTCATTCATCTCATCTCCTTGATGATGTCCGGGGCAGAGCGGATCATCGTGCGTCTGCGTTTTCTTTTTTTGCAATACATGGGAAACCGGGAAACTTAATACGGCTGCGTGACTATGCAGGGGAAGTCGGACCCAGGCCAGCGGCAACGCGAGCTGAGGACGGTCCTATGGCAGGATGTATGGCTGGTCCATCCAGGGCGACGCTGTCTTTCTGCTTCCTCTGTTACACCCCGATAAAGGGGCAACAACATGGGCTTATTACTGCGTCGGGATTCACTTTTCTCTCTTTCTTAATTTCCGGCGGCGTCGCCCCCGTCATAGCTCGCACCATTTCTATTGAGTTTCTGCTGGCTTGGTTTGGGATTCGGTTGGTTCTGGCTCTGTTGTGCTTTTTCTCTGCTCCTCTGATTGATACCTTGTTCGATACACATTTTCATCGATTGCGCTTTTCGTTCCGTCGATTTCATTTTCCTTTCGTTCGTCGTCGTTCAGCTTGCTTGTCTGCCTGCTTGCTCATTTCACCTTGGTCATGAAGAGTTGGATTGGTCGCGCCAAGTGAGAGGAGGCAGGGCCCATCCACTCGTGTATAGATATATCAGCATCAGATGCAATCATAATCTTGTTCTCTGCCACCTGATGTTGCTACCTGTTTGTTTGTGCACCGTGCTTCGCTTGGAATCCCATCTCATGCTGTGACATGTGGATTTAGTGTAACGCCTGTATCGTCTCTCAGCCCACCTCAATCTGTCGTCCCGACGTAGACTCAGCCTGGTACGACTAATTTTTCAATGCCTGCTGCTCATGTGCCGTGAGACGGAATCTGCAAGTCACAGCAAAGTGACAGGCGAATCATCCTCCGCGCATCCTTCCGACCAAGCGATCTTCGTCCACTACCGCTGCGACTTGAAACCCTATTCGCGGTCACCACGCCTAGCAATGCAATTTGGAAGATGCTTGCTACATTCTCTTACCCTGGGGCTTGTCAATTTTGCCCGGGCTGGGCACTGTGACTGCGGCTATTCCGTATCGTACCCTGGGCAGACTCCAGACAAGATGGTGTTTACGGACTCGCTCGAAACAGACTTCACCAAGATTGCCGAGATGGGACAAGCGGACGACTGGATACGGCAGGAATTCAACGTGGCCGTCTCAGAGGGTCGAGGCGAATACGGCAAGGCCTTCCGAGTCGAGAACGTCTTCACAACCACCGAGTCGAGCCACGACACAGGCCTGACGTTGCGCGTGGGCGCTGGAGTCGTTGACAACGCGATCTCCGCGGCGGAGCTGGACACGGCGCGGCTGGACATGTACCATGGCAGCTTTCGTGCTGGTATGAAGATTCCTCAGGTCAAAGGGACATGTGCCGCTTTCTTCTGGGTGAGTCGATCTTTGGCGGGGGAAAGGGTCAGGGGCAACCCCCTGAGGACGAACCGTTGGACTGCTGACGACTGTACACTATAGTACTTCAATGACACCCAAGAGATCGACATTGAGTTTCTCACGCGCGAGTTCGAGCCGGACAAGCAAATCTACCCGGTGCACCTGGTGATCCAGCCCAAGGAGACGGGGACGGGGGGCATGCATCAGCAGGTCCACCTCGACTTTGACCCGACGGCCGCCTTTCACGAGTACCGGATCGACTACCTGCCCGGTCGGGTGGTATTCTACGCCGACAGCAGACCTCTGGCGGCGATGGAGGGCGACGGGGTGCCGCAGGTGGGGGGGCATCTCATACTGCAGCATTGGAGCAACGGTGATCCCCAGTGGTCAGGCGGGCCACCGGAGGAGGATGCGTTGCTGGCGGTGCGCTATGTACAGGCATACTTCAATTCGTCGCTTCCGGATGGGGGACGAAGCAAGAGTGCAGCACGGCGATGTGTGGTGCAGGAGACGATCAGTCATGTGTGATACCGGACGTCGACGAGGGCGAGGCGAGGGAGGGTGGTCTCGAGATGATGCCAGTAGACGATGCGGAGGATGGAGCGAGCGGGAGGAGGGGACATGGAGTAGCGTTTTTGCTAGGCGTTGTTATGGCCATGTGCCTGATTCGAAGCTACCCAAGTTAATTCATGAATGAATGATGAGTGCCTCAAGGTATCCTATTAGTTGGGAGTTGGATGATGGGGAAAGGTGGGGTTCTGCCACATTGGCGCGCTATGGGTGTTCTGGTCTGAACCTTGTGACCATTAATTTCAAAGGCAGGTAGATTTAACGTACATCGGTTGCCAGCGATGCAGGTTAGTACGTGCGAATAGCATCTCATGGAGCTCAAGGTGAGATGGAGAGCGCAACTTGTTTGTTGGTGAGAGATGCCAGCACTAAAAGCAAGGCAGCGGATCATGGCGTCACTTATTATGATTTGGCCCCATCTCCTCGACAGCATCCACCCTAACTAACGATGCACAATCAAGCGTGCAGGACAGGATCCATCACAGCGACACATGGGCAGCTTGTTGCTGCCCACAGTGGCACTCGATGCTACGTACACTGCGATCGTCGCGAGGCACGTGTGTCCAGCGCCAGACGCGCAACCAGCGACGGGGTCAGATGGTGAGAATGGAGTGCAACACTGAGGTCGCCTGGCTCTAACGTTAGGGATCGGCCTCGACATAGCCATGCCTACTAGTACTAGTAAGTGCTATAGGCATGCTGGAACTATATGAGTCGTCGTCGCGCACGTCCAGTCGATGGCCAAATCTTGGATCTGGCGGTGGGCCATGCTTGATTAGGTGCAGGCAGGCGCCGTCGATAGTCACTCCTTCCTCCTCCTTTTGGTACCCGTAGTGTTTACCAAGGCACCTACCAGGCACCCCAACAACGTCGCTCACCATGATGAACCGCCTCAGATCATCGCTCCGCAAGAGACGCGAATCGGCGCAGAGCATACTTAGCGGGAAGAAGAGCCAGACACAGCAGACCGCCAAGATGGCAGAGGCGCCTGCGTCATCATCTTCAACAGCTGCTGCTGGCACCCAGTCCAATTCCGACACAGTCCAGGTCGTCCTCAAGAACACCAAGGCCCAGGGCACCCTCTACGCACACATCACCGGCCGCGACAACAACGGACTCTTCATCCTCGGGGCCGATGGCCAGTCGCCGTACCGTCCAGGCTCGCCATCCAAGGAACTCCAGCCCCTCGCCCAGGACACGGGCATCGTGGTCGGCGGACCGGGCGAGTCGCGCACCGTCACCGTGCCGCGCATCTTTGGCGCGCGCCTCTGGTTCAGCCGGGAGACGCCGCTCGAGTTCTTCCTCAACCCGGGCCCGGCGCTCGTGGAGCCCAGCGCGACCAACACGTCCGACGCCAACTACGGCAAGGACTGGGGCTTCTGCGAGTTCACGTACAACGAGTCCCAGATCTACGTCAACGTGTCCTACGTGGACTTTGTCAGCCTGCCCATCGCCCTGCAGCTGGAGAACCAGGTCGGCACCGTCAGGCGGGTGGATGGCATGCCCGCCGATGGCCTGGCGCGCGTCGCAGACGGTCTCGAGGCGCAGGGTCGCCGGGACGGCCAGGGCTGGGAGAAGCTCGTCATCCGCGAGGGGGGTCATGTCCTCCGCGCGCTGAGCCCTAACTCGGCCGGCGTCCTCTTCCCAGACCTCTTCCGGGACTACTACAAGGGCCACGTCGACGCCGTCTGGGACAAGTACCGCGGCGAGAACCTGACGGTCAACACGCAGTTCACCTGGGGCGACGTCCGGGGCCGCGTCGGGGACGACGGCAAGCTGACATTCTCCGACAACCCCGGGCTCGGGTTCGACAAGCCGACGGCGAGGGACATTTTCTCCTGCAGCACGGGCCCGTTCGCGGCGGGCGAGGGCGTCACGGACGAGCGACTGAACATTGGGGCGCGCCTGGCCGCGGCGCTGAACCGCTCGACGCTGCTCACGAACAGCAGGCAGCCCGAGGGCGAGGACGCGGCGACGTACTACAAGGACGCCGTCACGAACCACTACTCGCGGGTGTGCCACGAGACGACAATCGAGAGTCGAGGGTACGCCTTCCCCTACGACGACGTGGGCTCGTCCCAGGGCGCCGACCAGAGCGGGTTCCTGAACGATGGGGATCCCAAGGTGCTGACGGTGGAGGTTGGCGGGAAGTAGCTTGTTCAAGGTATTGGAAGGGCGTGGGACGTTTTGCTCGCTTGGGGTTACGTCGAATGTGTGACGCTCGTTGCTTACTACCTAGTGCAGAGGCCAACTGTACATATGCGCGGCCCGTGATATTGCTAAGCATGCATCAATAGAGAACAGTCTTACAAGAGTGTCTGACGACGGCGAGTTGGAGGAGAGTGTTTCCACCTGGCCAACTGCCAGCGTTGCAAGCTGAAAGGCAGGCCAAGGTAGTAGTGGATGATGGGCCGGCCGACGAGGAGAGAAGACTGGACTCACTGGAGTGCATGTGATGCAACTCTGGCTGGGCAGGGCCGTGGGCGATGTATCCGTTCCCCCGTTGGCAGACTGGTCGATCCGTCGCATGCCGCGGCAGGTTCCTGATCAGTTCTGACTTGTGAGGGCGATCCTCGATTAGCGTCCGTGGGCGCGGAGGTGCTTCCCAGATGCCGTCGCGCTAGGCCTGCTGGCGTGCGCCTTTTCATGCAGGCATTTGCGCGTCCAGGAGTCAAGCCAGGCGGGCGAGGCTCGCATGTGATCTGGTTTTGCCTCATAGGCCGAGGACCAACCAAGGTTATCCGTGTCTGCGTGTCGGGAGCATCCGATGGAGAAGCATGGCGGCCAAGGCTCTGGAGTCTGGACAGGTTGAACTTTGAAGGCACTGGATGATGCAGTGATGCACCAGCTGAACGCACCGCATGCAGTGAGTGCATGGCTGGGGATGGGGACGGGGGTACCCAGGCAAGTCGATTGCTTGGGAGAATTTATCACTGACCGGTGCACAGATTGATGAGCGCGCCGCTTGGTTTCGTTTCGTCTCGCTTCTCTCCTAGTCCTATTAGACTAGCAAAAGGCCCCCCATGTCAGTTGAGCCCAATAGCGCCGGCTCCAGTCCTCTCGCTGTCGACGACTGTCTGTCCGAGACTGTCCATGTCGCTGCTGGACGTTCCTCATCTCTTCGCATCCTTGCGACTGATGGGCATTGGTGAAACAATCTTATGGAGAGAAGAGCAGCAGACACAGACACACACAGATCCTGCTACCACGTGAAACCAAGAGATCAGCAACCTCGTGGCCTGCCGGCCATTGGCAACTCGGGAATAAGTAGATGGGATCGGCTATTACAGCACTCTAACTAATAATTAGTTCGTCCCTGATTGACAGGTTCTGCGGATCTGCACGCCACGCCTTGGGCTTGGGCAGATCCATAATCCATTCAACATTCTGCCCTCCCACCCCTTGTCCTCCCCCAATCTTCGTCACTCGATTGATCCAGTCAGCAAATTCGTTGGTCGGCGACTTGGCCCAGAGAGAGAAGAGAGAGTCGTGAGAGAGAGGACGGGGGCTCATCAATCTGCGCTCGTCACCCAGCGAGGACGACCACGAGGCAATCCATCGCTCGCTCGCTTACTCAATCAGTCAGTCACTCACTCACCCACTCGCTCACGGCGCCGACGCCCTTTGATCCATTCCATGTCTGTCTGAGACACGCCCGCCCGAGACACCCAGCATGGTGTACTGCGGCAAACCCTCCAAGGGCTGCTCGTCCTGTCGCGAGCGCAAAGTTCGCGTATGTCTCCTTGTCCTGTGTCTCTACACGCCACTTGACCCAAAGCCCGGCTGACCAGACAGTGCGACCAAAAGGAGCCAACATGCGGCCAGTGCGAGCGTCGCCAGCAGACGTGCCCTGGCTATCGCAACATTGTCGACCTCATGTTCCGCGATGAGAGCAACCATGTCATCAAAAAGGCCACTCGGACCAACCGTCGCGGCGGCATCAAGAAGATGGAGGCAGCAGCAGCAACAGCAGCGCCCAAGCCGTCGGCGTCATCAATACGAGCCTTCTCATCATCATCGTCCGTCACGACACACAATGTCAAAAAGGCGTCCATAGCCTCTTCTTCAGCCTCATCCTCTACATACTACACAGACGCAGATGGCTTCGCCGAGCCGCTCGTCAAGCTCGAGGAGCCCGCGACCCTCACACTACCACCATTACCACCACCATCATTACCATCTAACCAGGGCCTCGTCAAGGCCACGTCCTTCCTCGCCATGCTCACCCCGTCCTCCGGCCCGCCCAGCTCCTCCGCCGGCGCCGACTCGTCAGACGACTCGGAGGCGACCATCGACATACCCGCCTCGGCCCTCACCCGCCTCGCCCCCGGCTACCCCCTCAACAAGTCGCTCCAGGAGCGCGGGACGGCCTTCTTCTTCTCGCGCTACGTCGCCGTCGACTTTGGCTGCTACCAGAACTACGACTTTGTGTACGACGTCTGGAAGCCCCCCAACTCGGACCTGCACCGGGTCGACTGCGTCACCGCCAGCATGGCCGCCGTCGGCCTCGCCGGCCTCTCCAAGGTCACCCGCTGCGGCAACACCATGATCAAGGCCCGCCAGAGCTACGGCACCGCCCTGCAGCTGACCAACAACGCCCTGCGCGACCCAGAGACCGCCGTCAAGGACAGCACCATGCTCTCCGTCCTCATCCTCGGCACCTTTGAGTTCATCACCGGCCGCACGCCCCAGACCATGCGCGCCTGGCAGGACCACGTCAACGGCGCCGCCGCCCTCACCCGCGCCCGCGGCACGCTGCCCTTCACCACCAAGGCCGGCCTCCGCATGTTCCTCATGCTCTGCCACTCGGTCCTCATCAGCTGCATCCAGGGCGGGCTCCCCATGCCCGCCGCCATGCTCGACCTGCGCCGGGAGCTGGGCCAGTACACCAACACGCGCGACCCGACCTGGCGCATCGTCGAGCCCATCTGCCGCGCCCTGCAGATCCGCTACGACATCAAGAACGGCACCCTCGCCAACACGGACGAGATTGTCGCCCGCCTCGGCGACGTCGAGGCCGAGTTCCAGGACATTGTCCGCGAGATGCCCCGGTCCTGGCGCTACCGCTGCGCCCAGGTCAACCGCCCCAACTCGGCCATCCTCGGCAGCTGGTGCCACATCTACCCGGGCTTTGCCCAGGCCACCACCTGGAACGGCATGCGCACCATGCGCATCCTCGTCCAGGAGACCATCCTCGAGCAGCTCTGCTCCAGCATGGCCCGCACCTCCGTGCCCCCCATGCGCCACCAGGTCATGCTCGTCAAGGCCATGCGCATGCTCGAGCTGCTCGGCGAGGCCGTCATCGCCAGCACGCCCCAGCACTTTGGCATCGTCAGCGCCCGCGACGCCAAGCCCGACGTCGACGGCCAGGGCAAGGGCACGCTCGAGTTTGTGTCGGCCACCCGGCCGCCGCACCCCATCGCCTCGGCGTGTCCCATCCCCTCGCCCCGTCGTCCCGCGCGGAACCGGACGCCCGAGTCGCCCGTCACCTCGCCGCGCGCCACCCTCCTGGACCCGACGCAGTCCGACGACGGCCGCGGGGATCCCGAGCGCTTCATGACCCTCGCCTCGGCGAGCAATACCATCGTCTGGCCCCTCTACACCCTCGGCATGTCCAGCTCGTGCACCCGCGAGACGAGGCAGTACATTATCGACAGACTCCACGCCATCTGGACAGAGACCGGCCTCGACCAGGCTCGCATGGTCAAGCAGTTGCTGCTCGACAAGGTTGAGACCGTGCCCTGGGAGGGCATCCCCATGCTAAGCCTGCCCGAGATCTCGGATGAGTGTCTGCCGCTCACCGTGTGACGGCTGTGCCCTTTTGCGTTACATAGCATACATACAAGCGGTCCTGATAGAAAGACATGAGTGGACATACCCGTAAATATAATCTTGAGCCAAACGCCATTGCCATTTTCCCTCTGCCGCAAGAGGGGGGTATCTAATCACCAATTGTCAAAGTTGCCAAATCCGCCCGTGCGAACCTTCTTTTTCGCAGGCTGGACCTCGTCCCACGTGTTGTTTTCCTCCTCGTCCGCGGCCTTGGTCGTCCCCTGGCCGTTCGTCCGGTGCGCGTCCAGATACTTGCCCACGCCGACGGCCGGTCCGCTGTCCATCGTACCATCGCCCCTGATCCGCTTCCCCGTCCACGTAGTCTTGTCGTCCTCCGTGCCGCCCTCCCTCTGCAGCCTCTCCTTCTCCTCCTCCTCGGCCTCCTTCTTGCTCTTCTGCTTCTGGAACTCCTCAAAGGGGTCGACGTAGACCACAATGTCCTTGATGGTAATATCCCTCGTCGGTCGGTTCCCACTGTCGACAGGCGTGGCCTCGAGCTTGGTCAGCGTGTCCAGGCCCTCGATCACGGTCCCGAACACGGTGTGCTTCCTGTCCAGGTGCGGCGTCGCCTTGTACGTGATGAAGAACTGGCTCGAGTTGGTGTTCTTGCCCTTGTTCGCCATGCTCAGCGTGCCGCGCGCGGCGTGCGTCATGGGGCCCTCAAACTCGTCGCTAAAGTACTTGCCCCAGATGCTCTGCCCGCCCTTGCCGGTGCCCGTGGGGTCGCCGCCCTGAATCATGAACTTGGGGATGTTGCGGTGGAAGGGGATGTTGCGGTAGTAGCCCCGTTGGGCGAGCCGGACAAAGTTCCAGACGGCCTTGGGCGCGTACTCGGGGTGCAGCTCAATCGTCATGTCGCCGAGGTTGGTCTCCATGCGGGCGTAGCCCTTGATCAGGACGCGCTTGGGCTTGAGCATGTAGTCCTCCTCGGACAGCAGGGCGCGCTCGCCGCTCGTCTCTGGCGTGAGGCCCGTGCTGGTGAAGCTGGCGGCGGCCTTGCCGGTCGTGTAGGCGGCCGAGTTGGCGGCCAGCTTCCGGTCCTGGATCATGGGCTTCCGCGCGACAGCCGCCGACGCCGCGCCGCCTTGCCTGGCCAGGGCCGCCGAGTTGGAGCTCCTGTTGACGTCGCCCCCGGTCTCCCGCGCGCGCCGCGCCTTGTCCACGGCGGCCTTGGCCTTGCTGACCTTGTCGCCCATGCTCCCCAGCGCAGCGGCGTTGATATCCCCGGCCTGGCGCTCCTCCTCCTGCTCGCTCGTCCGCTGGGCGTCGAGGCCCTCCTTGAGGTACTTGAAGTCGTCGAGGTTGCGGCTGGCGGCGTTCTGGGGGTCCTGGAGGGTGATAATGTCGGCGCGCGTAAAGGGCTGGTCGTCGACGAGGTCCTGCCACATCTTGGGCTTGATGTTCATGCGCTCGACCGTGTCCCAGGCGAAGACGTTGGCATAGCTGCCGTGGCGGATGGCGACAATGTGGGTGTTGTCGGTGAAGACCTTGAAGGTGACGGGGTCGACGAGGTCCCCCTTGCCGTCGCTCAGGCCGGCGCCGAGGCTGTCGCTGCCGGCATTGCGGGCGAACTCGAGGCGGATCAGGTCCTTGCGGTGCAGCTCGGAGCCGTCGACGGGGTTCTGGTGGGGGTGCTTGTCGAGCCAGGACGAGATGACCTCGACGTCGAAGATGGTGCCCGCGGGCGTGCAGACGGGGTTCTTGAAGGGTTGGAGGGAGGCGGCGCAGAAGTTGAAGGGCAGGCGGCGGAAGGGCGCGTTGGTGGACGATCGGACATTGGAGCCGACGCTGGCGGAGAAGGCGTCGGACGAGGACCACTCGGAGTGGGTGATCTGGAGGAGGACTGTCAGCTGTGTTTGGGAGGGGGTGCTGGAGCTGCGCGGGTACGTACGTAGAGCTTGTCTGTCCCCTTGCCCATGGTGTTGCTGTTGTGGTGGAAGTACTTGGACTGGATGGATGGACAAGTGACGAAATATTCAGGTGCCTGAAGCTGTCTGTCCTACCCTACAGCTGCATTACGTACCTGCACCTCAATGCTCCACTGGGCGCGGCATCCGGACCAACATCATCCATCATCTTGCTGCCTATAAGCATTGTCCAGCATCGCTTCGAGCCAAGCATTCAACACACTGATTCAGCGGTCTTTCGATATCCGGCCGACGACTGCAATCTCCAAGGGCGAACTGGGAGGATTCGTCTCGTGGAAGTGACATTGACGACGACCGCGCAATCCGAGCTGGCCTGGCTTGCTTGCTTACAGTACTGCTGGCTGCCCCTGTATCTGTCCTCTCTTCCAGCGCTTCGCGACGACGACCAGACCACAACAACCTCGATCGAAAGCTCCAAGTACCCGCCCAACCTCGATACTGCCTGCGTAGGCCATCCCAAAAACGATGAAGTCTCTTATGGGACTGCTGGCCGCGGGCCTGTTCCTCTGGACAGCCCAGGCCATGGAGATCCTCATGGTATGGACCTCCAGTACAGTAGAGCTCCTAGCTTCGGCTGACACTCGAAAGAACGAACAGGACGAGAGTCGCCAATACTGCGCCGGTAGGTCAACCTTTTTCAGACCCAGCATCGCGCACCGCAGAGGACTGACCACTTCCAGGCATGTACGGCAAGAAGACCTGGGGCGGCCCCGTCGACCCCTTCATCCTCGTCAAGTATCTCGACGCCGACAAGGACTCGGGCGATGACCCCATCACCAGCATGGTCATCTTCGAGTGGCGCGACCGCGACCTGGTCGGCATCCCGGACCCCGACGGCTGGGGCAACGTGAGCAACACCACCACATCTGCCAACGGGCTCATGGCGGCGATCACTTGGGCTGACAGACTCCAGCGCCTCGCCATCTGCAACGACGACTACGTCAAGGACGGCCTCTGCGACAAGAAGCACATTGGCGAGTTCGTCCTCGCCGCCAACGCGACCGACGACAGCCGCGCGACCATTGTCACAAAGGCCGTCCACCTCAAGGACTCGGAGCCCATCAAGTACATGGTCAAGAAGACGGGCTACTACTGCATCGTGACCGACCCCTGGAAGACGAAAAAGTACTCGGCCGTCGTCGAGTTCCGCAACGCCTACGGCGAGCTGGCGGCCACCCAGATCCCCAAGCTGCCCTTCTACGGTGCCATGACCATTGTCTACACCCTTCTGGCGGGCTACTGGGGCTTCCTCTACTACCAGCACCGGCAGGACATCTGTAAGCTTATACTCATGCTACTGACCTCTCTTGTGCCGACTGACCACCCCCAGTGCCGGTCCAAAACTACATCACCGCCATCCTCGGCTTCCTCGTCATCGAGATGCTGCTCACCTGGGCCTTTTACGACTACCAGAACCGCAACGGCTCCAACGTCGGGTCCAAGGTCTTCCTCGTCATCGTCGGCATCCTCAACGCGGCTCGCAACTCCTTCTCCTTCTTCCTCCTGCTCATCGTCTGCATGGGCTACGGCGTCGTCAAGCACACGCTGGGCCGCGCCATGATCTGGGCGCGCTGGCTGGCCGCCGCCCACTTTGTCTTTGGCCTCGTCTACTCGGTCACCAGCCTGCTCATCTCCCCCGAGGCCGCCGGCCCCTTTGTGCTCCTCATCGTGCTGCCCCTGGCCGCCACCCTGACCGCCTTCTACATCTGGACCCTCAACTCCATGAACGCCACCCTCAAGGACCTCCGCGAGCGCAAGCAGCACGTCAAGGAGTCCATGTACCGCAAGCTCTGGTGGGCCATCCTCGCCTCCCTCCTCGTCATCTTCGCCTTCTTCTTCTTCAACTCCTTCACCTTTGCCTCCGTCGGCGACCCGGACTTTGTCCCCTTCCACTGGAAGACCCGCTGGTTCGTCCTCGACGGCTGGCTCAACCTCGTCTACTTTGCCGACATTGCCTGGATCGCCTACATCTGGCGCCCGACCGCCAACAACCGCCGCTTCGCCATGAGCGACGAGATTGCCCAGGACGACGATGGCAACTTTGAGATTGGCGACATTGGCATGCCGGATGACTCGGACGACGAGGAGGCGGCCATTGGCAAGGGTGACGATCAGCACCAGCACCACCAGCCACAACAGCAAGGGGTAGGCATGCCCAGCGCTGGCCTGTCCAACCCTGGTCAGTCTTCAGGTGCGTCAGGGCACAGGGCGATCCCGCGTGAGAGTGTAGACGGCGAGACCCTGTTTGCGGTCGGGGACGAGGACAAGTTCTCCGACGACGGGAGTGACGAGGACGCCAAGCTCGTCAAATCGAAATGAGCTCTCTGTGAGAAGAGACGGCCGCCAGATAGAGGCGTTATATTATGATCGCACATGGGATCTCGGGCTTTCATGTTGTACGATGGACGACGAGTAAGGTCTGTTGAGGAAGCGTTGCACAGGTATTATTTTAGTCATTCATAATGGGATCAAATTTTACACCTTTCCTTTACCACTGTTATACATACGTACAATATCCAACACGATCTTGGTACACGGCCTATAAACTCGTACAAATCAGGCATCCGCCGTGACCTTGTCCCGGACATCGCCCCCAAAGCCCACCGGTCGCCTCTGCCCGTCATTCTCCGGCAGGATGGCCAGCGCCTTGTACACCTTGCCCATGCCGCCGGGGCCCCTATCTACCAGCCTCTTCCACGCCTTGTCAATGTTGGCCCGGGCCTCCTCGCCGACTCCCTTGCTCAGTATCTCGGCGCGCTGTCGGATCCCCATCAACTCCAGGAAGTCGCCCTGGCGTATCGGCCCGTGGACCTCGACACCCTCGCTCGCCTGCATGGCGGCCTCTGCGATGGCGAGAAAGTCCACGTCCGCGCTCAGGTCGACCAGACCCGGCGCCGAGAAGGGGTTGACGCGCTTGTGGTGGCGGATGCCGCGGAGGGAGTTGACGGGGATGGTGTCGGACGTGCCGTAGTCCAGGATGAGCGCGGCCCCGCTGGGTTGCGCCTTGGGCGCCGCCGGCGCGCCGCCGATGCGGTGCGCGAAATCCGTGGCGTAGAGCGAGGCGTCTGGGCAGACCTCGATGACGGACCCGGGGGTGTCCTTGAGGGCGCGGTAGCGTGGCGACGACTCGGGGACGTAGCGTGAGTGACGCGTCGGCGCCGAGGACATGATCAGCTGGAACTCAGGTACCGGCTCGCCCTGCTCTAGCTTGGGCGTCTTGAGGTCCTGGTGGGTGGTCCCAGGTGGCGTGGGGGAGACGAGCATCTCGCGCCACTCGGGGGTGGGCTCGTGCTTCTTCTCGCTCGAGGCGGCAGCAGAGGAGGTCGATGGACCAGGCGGCGGTTTGGTGGACATGGCGGATTCAAAGATGTGGATGGGGAGCGCATCGAAGAACTCGTGCGCCAGGATAAAGGGGGTCTTGTTGGGGTCTTTTTGCTGCATTAGTTCTGGGAGACAGGCTAGACCATGACGAGAATGACTTACTGACTGGCAGAGCTTTGATGGAGTCGGACCACTCGATTTTCTTACCATCGTATTTGCTCTTGCTCTCGAACCCAGCATCCGTCTTGCTCGAGGCCGCGTCCGGACCGCACAGCAGCGTCTTTTGCGCCTCCCTCAGCTCCTTGCTCGCCTCGACCATGTACACAGACTCGACGCTGGCGGCCATAGCAGGAAACCGCTGAATCGTCCGCAGCATGTCGTCCATGAGTGTGCCCCGACCGGGGCCGACCTCGATGATTTGCACGCCGCTCTTGGGACGGCCCTGGTTGATCCATTCCGCGATGAACCATATGCCGATGAGCTCGCCAAAGATCTGCGAGATCTCGGGGGACGTGACAAAGTCGCCCTTGGCGCCAAACTGGTCCCGGCCCTCGGCGATGGCGCCCGTGTAGTAGCCGCCCAGGTCGCCTGTGAGGCACATGCGCATGTAGGAGGATAGGGGAACGGGCCCGGTGAGGGAGATGGCCTCAAAGAGCTGCTTGGCGAGGGGCGTGGACCATTGTCGCTCCTCCTGCCGTCTTATACGCGTGCAGGTGAAGCTCCGCATTGGTTTGCTCGCTGCTAGGTAGGGCCCACGAGCTGTGAGAGGGCGGATGCTCCTCGTGAAGGCAGAGGCTGAGCGCATCATTTTGGTGGTCCAGGCAACATGGTCTTCCGTCGGTGTCGCTTGGGAGGGTGTGGTAAATTAACACTGTTGTTCTTGGTATGCAGATCCGCCAGTAATTAGATGCGCTTGCTCAGTCGCTCAGTATGTATATCTCAGGTTTGTGGTGAATGAGAGAGCTACCTTATGGATTGGAGACGTGACATGGACTTCACAGTGACGATTATGCGCCGCCCCACACCTTCACACGCCTTGACGGAAACAAATGACAAGGCACCATGTGAGCTTCGACATCAACAGCCACACCACTTGCTGGGAGCTCGATTCGCCCATTCAACATATTCCAACGCACAGTGAGTGGCCCCTCAGCTCAATTGCACCATCTCTGACCTCCTCAAGCTGCCACAATGCCACCCTCGCGCTGGGCCACCTCCGCCGAAGACGACGCCCGCCTAGCTAAAGAAAAGGAAGAGAAACGGCGTCGCAAAGCGGAAAAGGCACGCAAGCTCGAACAGCAGCAGAAGGAAGCTGAGGCTGCTGCTGCTGTCGCCGCCCAGAACCAACCCCAAGACGATGAGCAGTCAGAACAGCGGCCCAGCAAACGAAGACGCCTATCCCCCGAACTCGACGACGATGCGCCGCCCAAACTGCTGCGCTTCGACGCGGGCGGCTGGAGCAAGTCGCGCAGCGTGGAGAACTACGATAAGCTGAACGACATTGAGGAGGGCACCTACGGCTGGGTGGCGCGCGCTACGGACCTGACGACGGGGAAAGTCGTCGCGCTGAAGAGGCTGAAGCTCGAACCCAACGATCGGAGTGGTCTGCCCGTGACCGGCCTACGCGAGATCCAGATCCTCAAAGACTGTCGACATCGAAACATTGTGTCCATGGAGGAGGTCGTCGTGGGCGACGACACCCACCGCCTCGACAACTCCATCTTCCTCGTCCTCGAGTTTGTCGAGCACGACCTCAAGTCCATCCTCGAAGACATGCCCGAACCTTTTCTCTCCTCCGAGATCAAGCAGATCCTCCTCCAGCTCACGGCCGGCACCGCCTACCTCCACGCCAACTGGATCCTGCACCGCGACCTCAAGACGTCCAACCTCCTCCTCAACAACCGCGGCCAGCTCAAGATTGCCGACTTTGGCATGGCCCGCTACGTCGGCGACCCGCCCCCGGCCAAGCTGACGAGCCTCGTCGTCACCCTCTGGTATCGCAGCCCCGAGCTGCTCCTGGGCGTCAAGACCTACGGCGCCGCCGTCGACATGTGGAGTGTCGGCTGCATCTTTGGCGAGCTGCTCACGAGGGAACCCCTGCTCCAAGGCAAGAACGAGGTCGACCAAATGTCCAAGATCTTTGAGCTGTGCGGCGTGCCGACCGACGAGTCGTGGCCTGGCTTCCGGAGGCTGCCCAACGCCCGGTCCCTGCGCCTGCCCAAGAACACCCTCACCACCGGCTCCGTCATACGGGCGCGCTTCCCCAACATGACGTCCGCGGGCGCGGGCCTCCTGAACGAGCTGCTGTCGCTGGACCCGGAGCGTCGACCCACGGCCAAGGCTATGCTCCAGCACGAGTACTTTCGTCAGGACCCCAAGCCGAAGCCGGAGACCATGTTCCCAACCTTCCCGAGCAAGGCTGGTCAGGAGAGGCGGAGGCGTCACGAGCCCCACGCCCCTGGACGGGGGGAGGCTGCCTCGTTTGGCGATGCCGACTTTACGGGGATACTGCAAGGACGCGACAAGGAGGAACGCGGCGCTGGCTTCTCCTTGCGGATGGTGTAGTGGGCACAACGATATGTTGTCAAAGACTACTTATTATATGATTGTATCTCGGAACCACCAGACCATTATATCCAAAAGTCCACCTCATGCACCCCTGACCAGTCCCGGCTTTACTCAAAAATGCAACAAACGCCGTCGGAATAACCATGCTAAGTCCTGTCAAACACCTTTTCCAACACAAATCGCTCTGGCAAAACAAGTACGCAGCGGCAGTCGGAGCACTACAAGCCCCATCCACTGGCAAGGCACGTCAGTGTGACAACGGTCAAGGTGCACATGGTGAGAGCCAGCTTCAGCGACTGCTCCATCGCAGGTGCGGCCGCCTTCTTGTCGCAGCCATTGCACTCCCACTCGTTCCAAGGCACGTAGTCCTGCTTGTGGTACAGGCCAAACTTGAATGACGCATCGGCGCCGAGTTTGCCAGCAGAAGGGAACTCTGTAATCTCAGCATCCACGTCCTTGACGATGAGCGTGTACATGTTCGTGCCCAGCGGGTTCTCGACATTGTCGGCTTGGTCGTTGGTGTCCCAGACGTAGGCCACATCAGACTCCCAGGTCATGTTCGAGGTCAACGTCCACGTCTCGGTCGCCGCCGAGCAGGAGATGAGGACGTCGACGGCGGTGGGCTCCTCTTGGATGCCCGTGTAGTTCCATCCTAGCGTGACATAGTCGCCAATCTTGTACAGGATGGTGGGCACAGCCGTCGTATCAGGCGTCATCATGTTCACGCCACCCACGGCCGCATCAGCGGGGATGCTCTTCGTCGTGTGCTCGCTCGTAGGTGTGCCCGTTTCCTTGGCATCCTTTCCGCCCTTGCTCGTAGGCTTCGCCGTGTTGAGGTCATCGCCGCTGTCTGTCGATGTGGCTTTGCTGTCATCCTTCTTCTTGGTGCTTGTCTCGGCAGCTTCTGTGGCTGTTGATCGTGCACCAGTCTCGGCGGCTACCGTCGAGTTAGCTTCCACGCCAGTGTCAGTTTCTCTGTATCGAATCTACGTACCCGTTGTGGAATCTCCATTGTCGTTCTGGCGAGCAACCAAACTGTCCTTGTCTGGAAGCCACCCTGGCCATGCCGAGGCTAGTGGTGCGAGCGAGGAGAGGCAGGCAGCAACCTGAAGCACGGTCGGTGTTACGCGCATTTTGGCTCTGCAGAAGCTAAACAATCTCGTTTGGGCGTAATCGTTCGACGAAAATTCAGGTGGCGCGGTAGGCGTTCGTTGTGATGTTGTCCCAAGGTTCGAACCTAAAACAACAGGAATCGAGGCAAGAAAGCGAGCGTTGTTGAGTAGCGAGAGACTGGAAATAGTACTGGTGGCTCACAAGAAGCCAGTCAGCTCAATAGCGAGAGACGATGAACCGTTGGATGGATGAAAACAACACGCTGAATGAGAAAGAGGAGGAAGGATGTTGTGGTTTCAAGCAAAAGGCGAGAAGGGGGCCCGAATGACCATTGGACTGGGCGCTCGCTGCAGTTGCTTGCTTGGCGGGCCCAGCCTGAGAATTCGGGGTCGGCCTGAGCCGGCAGGGGGGCATTTGCGACAAGTTCATGCTGCTTGTGGCCCGATCTGGTTAGCCCAGCGGCATTCACAGTGGTCCAGATTGACCCGAAGATGTTGTGAGACTCGTCGTGATATGGACGTACGATAATTACTGACGCTGTGCACCATGGTAGACTGAGCTACGTCTGGCCTCTACTAGCTCATTAGACTCTCTGATCATTGCCAGAATCATCACAGCTGATATCAGGAACGACGCTCTGAGCCCAGCTCCTGGCTTCAGAACATATCTAAATAAACAACCCCTGTCAAGCGATCACCACTTCAGCAGGTGGGTGGATACCTCTTCACGTGATCTCGTGTTTCTCGAGCTTTCCGTACTGCGCCCACTTGGATGCTCCCAAAATAGCACCTTGACCAGTGTCCCGCTTGTTGCTCCATTCGTCAAACCCAATTGCAACGACGGTTCTGATAATCATTATTCGACGTCATGCGAATGTTTTGTGCCCAAAGGCCTCGTCCTGAGCTTCGCCGAACCTTCTGGGTTCCAAAGGTTGATATTCTGCGTCCTGTCATGTCATACGTATTGCTCGCCCTGAGTCAAGTTCTAGACAGATCATAAGCAAGGGCCAGTTGCCATCGCACTCATTTCGAAGGTCTTGCGGCTACCTGGCCTTTGATTCTTTTAGCCACGAATCATGCACAACTGCAACTGTCATATGAAAGCTTGTAGGACTACCGATGGCGATGCAAGATACGGTGGTGCTCAAAGGGGCAGTGTGTTGTTTGCTTGCTCTCATCTCCTGAGCGAACTCATCCATCTACTCGACTGACAAACACTCGAGGTCAGATTATCGGGAAAGCACATGACACCGCGAGGCACAGATGTCACGCGACGTCTCTCAGGTCTAGTTCCTCCTGGATGCCGATGTCGGTCACCGCCCATTGTAAAATGTTCCCTCTCTTGAAGATTACTTTCCACGGCGCCCCCCAACATGACATCGTTACGGACGAAGAAGACCAGACGTTTGTACACCAGATGTCTTGGGCTTCTTGCTGCCTGCTCTGACTCAGGCATGTTCAACTTAGATGGCGGGGGAAGGTGCCGATAGGCGAGGCAAACAAGCACCTAACCGGATGCACACCGTTTGTTCTTGCCTCAGGGTTGGCATTGGTACTACTTGAACTAAGAACTTGACGTTCAACTCTCCAGTTGCTTTCTCGTTTACATCTTGTCGTTTGAGCTACACAGGCCTCGTTTCTTTCCAAGATTCATCCAGCATGGCAGTAAGGTGGGTACTTGCTTCATTATTGGCTTGACGGGAGCACTCAGTAATGACCAGACATTTCTTAGTGCTTTCTCCCTTTGAAGACCTTGTCGTGGCTTCATTTCCCAAGTAACTATGATCACCTACGATGCAGATGTGCGCGGATGCCGTCCCTGAAGCGCTTGCGCTAGGCACACATACCGTCGTACTACACCGAGAAGAATACGAGACGCTCGTTCAGATATCACTACAGTACGGTAAGTTGGGGCTTTGATGTGACAATTGCTTATGACTTGGCTAACTGGTTCTAGAAAGTCTCAAACAGAATCTGATCCAAGGCGGTGTTTCATACGAGGCAATCGTGGTATGCCCATCACACTGCACCGATTTAGATCTGGGCCTTGTGTCCAGGACTGCTTTATTAACGTCTTCGATAGCTTCTCAGCAACAGCTCGCCGTCCGTTCCTCCCGCAGACACGACGACCACCACACCGGAGACCGAGTACGTAGAGGGCTTCCACGAGAAGGGAACAATTAGTTCCGAGTCTTCTGATGAGAGTGGCGTTCATGGGCTCTACAGAGGAAGCGAAGATAATGTGTGGGACAACGCAGACAGCCTCTCAGAGGATGAGGACTTCCTCCCAGACGTGCAATCCTGGTCACAGGAGCCTCAAGCATACGTAAAGTCGAGCCCAGAAGACACACCAGAGCAGCCAGACCGTGTTGCTCGGCGCACTCTTCTACTGTCCAATCTTGCCGAAGGCACTCGCCATGCAGACATCACCGCAGCAGTACGCGGTGGCAGGCTTGTGGATGTTTTTGTGTGGCACAGAGATCGCAAGGCCACTGTCTCTTTTTGTGTCGGAAGTGATGCCGCGGACTTTTACAGGTTTGTGTGCAAGAATGACCTCTATATCAAACAAAAGAGGGTAAGATGTCCAAACCATTCGGACACGATCGAAACTCACAATGAACCAGGTCGAGGTCTCATGGAACCTCCGCCAGTATCATCTCTCCGGCATAGTAGCATGGCGCGTCAAGAACGGAGGGACGCGAAATCTTGTCATCCGTGCGTATAGACATGAAAAGAGCGAGAAGGCAATCCGCGATGATCTCGATCATATTCACAACCTCGTCGTGATCAAGGTTGAGTTCAACAACGGTGACTGCTACATCAGTACCAACTCTATCTCGGCAGCGTCTTTTGCCAAGACCTGTATGATGAGCCGATTGTGAGTCTAACCCCGGCCGTCCTGGGCCAAGTCGCTGATCAACATCTGGTAGAAAGTACAAGGGAAGTCGTATCGACTTCGCTGCAGACGAATGCGCGCAGCCTCTGGAGAGCATACCGTGTCCTATAGCATCACGTCCAGACGGCGCCAAGGACTTTCAGGCAAATGCGAACGTAAATAGGTTCGCCTTGCTCGACGTGGCTGGATTCTGACGAGTTATCGGCCGAGAGCCGTAACTCAAAGACAACATGGTGTTTCAGGGCTGGCTGGCATTTCTAGACTATACACGGAACGAAATATAAGAATTGCTCACACGCTCAGGATGTTCGAGATGCAGCGATAAAGGTATGGTATTGCTATTGTGATCGCTTGATTCGCTTCGCCAAACTACCAGACTCATGACCCATCCTAGGTGTTGGTACTATCCGCAGCCCATGTGTACTTAATTAGGGAGAACATATCCCGCCTAGAACACCCCTCGCGGGCACAAACAGGACTCACGTCTCCTATCGAATACAGTAGTTGACAAGCTTGGCCCGTGAACCTTCAAAGCGTGTCTTATCCTAGCGTGAGGCAGTGTTGGTGACGGACTGGAGATAGTCAAGTAAGAATGTCTGTTCAGCGGGAGACATTGGCGTGCTTGTGCCTCCTCTGGCTGGAGAAGCTTGGCCAGATCCCATCTCGGCCACACCCGGGCCTGAGCTCGGCACAGGAGGCTGTTGCTGCATCCCGCCAAACAGCGAAAGAAGTTGGCGACGTTGGTCCTGCGATGGCTCGGGTCGGCGCTGTGATGATGCTGGCGAAGGTTGGGCACTCGCCACCGGGGGACTGGCGTAATGGTGAGAGCCCGCGGGTGATTGGACAGCATAGGGCGAGCGCGAAGTGGACTTGTCTTGCATGGGAGGGGCGTAGTTGATTGAATCGGCGGCTTGGCCTCGCTGGAGGATGCGGATGGGCTGTGCCGGCTGAGGTTGAGCCTGTGGAGGGGGCATCTGGGCATGCCGGGGCTTCTGCTCCTCGCGAGGCTTCATGGTGAGGAAGCTGGACAATGCAGCAGTGCTTGGATCGGACGCTTGGGGCGGTGTTGGTTTGGTCAGGGGCTGTGTTCCTTGAGGCCCGCCACGGAGTGCATCGAGGAGACTTTGCTTCTGAGCGGCTTGAACACCCGGCTGAGCAGAAGACGTGATGGGTTTCGGTGATGGTGACGCTCCTGCAGTCTTGAACATCCCAAGTAGAGACGAACGATGTTGGTCAGGCTGTGCGGAGGGTTTCGAGCCGGCGAGTTCCGATGGTTGAGGCACTTGAGATGTTGCTGTAGGCTGCTGCGTGCGAGACGTGGATTGGCTGAACAGAAGCGATTGCTGTGTTGCTTGCGGCGGCATCTGCTGCGGCGCGGGCGCGGGCATGGCTTCATGTTGCGCCTGAGGTGAGATGCCAGCATCTCGCTTGAATGCATTGAGCAAGGCCATGGACTGTCCGTTCAAGTGGGCAGGACGAGGGCCGTTATTCATGTGTTGAGGTTGGGACTGAGCAGGAGCTGGACCAGGGTTTGAAGCGGCTTGCCCAGGTCCAGCCTTGGCCACTGGTGCTTGGGCTTGGGGCTGGGTTGCGTGGGAAGAATTCTCCTGGAACGTGCTCTTGTTGAACATGGCACGTTGCACCTGCGGAGGCAGAGGCTGAGGGTGTACTAGCTGCGCAGCTGGAGCGGCGGCAGGCTGTGGTTGAGTCTGACGAGGGGTGCCTTCGAATTCGTGAGTAGATGCTTTGCCCTGCTGGCAGAATTGCTGCAGAAGCTGCTGAGACTGCTCTTGTGACGAGAGGCCCTGGCTTTGTTGGTAAGGCTGCTGGGATCCATGTTGGTTTGGTTGTTGAGCAACAGTGAAAGTTGGCCCATGGTGATGTTGATGAAGATGCAAAGCCGGAGGAGCCTGCTCCGCATGGTGGTGAGCATGGTAATGATGCTGGCTCGAGTGATGGTGAGGGTTGCGCTGGTGTAGCGCGCCGCCGGCAGCCATCTCCAGTTGTGTGTGCGACAGCTGGTCCTGCCCCTGTCTATACTGCCCCTCCGAGGCTGTGTCCTTGACCTGAAGGATGGACAGCAACGCACTGGCTTTATCCTCCATGTTCGGCTGCATCTGGGGGTTCTGCGTCGCTGGCTGTACGTTGAGCAGTCGCTGCAGGTCGCCTGTGGCACCAGCCATGGCGTTGGGAATGCCACCATGCTGATGATGATGAGGCGGCGGCGGCGGCGGCGGTTCTTGAGGATATCCGTCTTCTTCCGTAGGCGCTTCATCCACGGAGAAGTTCGCGTTGAGCTGGGAGCCATAGGGCATGCCCGCTTGCCTAGCGTCCATCTTCTTCTGTGTCGCTACCCACTTCTTGAGCTGGACCAAGAATGGAGCGACCATGTAAAACTTGTTGGTGCTGTTGGCCGCATCCTGACCCTGGTTCTTTTTGCGAAAGGCCGGTAGCTCTGAGAGCTTGTACCACTGGATCTTGCTGATCTCCTTCCTGGTTTGTGTCTGGAAATGGGTGTCCATGGGGACGTTCCTAAAAACATAGAGGCGGATCTGCTGCTCACGCATCGTGACTTCGAGAGCCTTGGGCGGTTCCTTGGGCACAAGGCCAGCAGCGCGCAGGTCGAATCCTGTCTCTTCCCAAACTTCTCGGACCGCGCAGTCCAGATCGTCCTCATCTTTGTTGATCTTGCCGCGCGGGAAGCTCCAGTTGGCCCCTTTTTTCCAACCTTTAACGAGGACGGTCGAGTCCATCTGCTCATTCAGCATAATCGCGCCTCGGACCGGCACTCTGGTCTTGTATTGTAGGAATTCCTCGAATGCGCGTACGTGGCTCTCGGCAGGGAAAGATGCTAGAATTGGGCAGTGTTGGAATATCCGGAGGCAGAATGTCCGCAATGACATGCTAGGTAGATTGGGGTCCAATGGACGGACAAAATCTTCGTAGAACCATTGTGCTTCTTCTACCTGAAAGCATATTCGGGCGACACTGGACAGGTCTTCTTGTGGGAGATTGATGATGAAGCGGACGCACAGATCGTCGAGCCCTGTCGTTCGTTAGCTATCCGCTTCAAGTGCTAACCTAAGGATAAGGACACGCACAGTCTTCCAGCTGCATTGGTTTGCCGGCCATCCTGTGGTAGCTTGAAGTGTGCCTTGATAAAGAAGGCTTCGATTGCACGGCGTCGATTTAGGACTTTGATGAAATGTATGCGACGCGTATCCGTGAAGGGATGCTGAACATGGCTGTGATACAGAGGTTCGGGATGGTGGGGAATGTTTCGCGATAGCGCAAGGCCGAGGCCTGGGGCGAGAGCGGCTGCGGCTAGTATGAGTGAAGGAGCGAAAGATGTCGTCGGCGGCGAGACAGAGGATGGGAGAGTAGCTGCTCGCGTTGCGCGCTTTGGGTCGAAAGGGTGTGGCTTTGTTGGTAGCTGGTCACGACAAGCCCAACTCGCGATAAATGGACAAACTGATCTCTGCAAGCCAACGTCAGCGCCCGACCGGCCGGTCCTTGTGGCTGAAATTGAGGCGTCGTGTGCTTGTGGCGCAGCACACACTATACCTAATCGGATTGTTAGCGTGACTTGCAAGTCGAAGCCAACTCACGCATAAGGCTGGCCTAATTAGATGAAACCGTACTGCAACAGGAACGGATTTGTATTTGTGCAGCAATGGCAGCTTTCAGTACATGCAGAGAGGCCGTAGAGCGCAGAGGCTAGCGTAATGAGGGTACCTCGAGGAAACAGAGACAAACACAGCGCTTATGGCGTGTTTGCACAAGAAGTCATCTTACTTACTCCGCGACCTACCGGCTGTAGAGGTTTTCCTATGCGTAAGTAGAAGCTAGCAGGCCCTAATCATTGCTAGATTCTTACCTCCCGACCTTGCTCATAAGCATCGTCTATTCATCTATTATAACACGATGCCGTTTCGCTACACTTCTTGCCGCTTCCTCGCCGCTCCAATAAGCCCCAGTTACTGTCCCAAGCCCTCGAGGCGGCGATGTGTGTTCGCCAGCGAACCAAATGCCACGGTCTTCTCCCATGCCCTCTCTAAACACTTCATAGTGCTCCGCGCAGTCCCCAGCGTTGACTGGACAATTAGTAAATGACCCATATCCCGCGAACCTGTCGTTCTGCCAGTCTGTTGATGTGTAGGCCACTGGCTTACACTCCGCCGAGCCCAGGTCGTAATTTGGCAACTTGGAGTAGTAGGGCCGGAAGTGCTCGTCGAGGATTTGGTGATATTCTTCGGAGTCATGGCTCATGCCCCTAACGAGGCCCGTGATGTGTCGTCCCCATTGTCCGTAGACGAAAAACATAATGACGGGTTGCGCCAGCGGCTCCGGCAAGCCTGAGAAGGATATGATCTCTGTGCGCCATCTTGCGGGGTTCGTGTCGTTTGCGTACGCTGGGCTGAGGAAGAGGGACTCGATGGGGAACGACGGATCCTTGTCGTGGCGTATCGAGTCGTCCCAAAATGCTTCGGGGAATCTGATAAACACCTTTTCTAAGCTTCCATACCCGAGACTGCGGATTGCTGTTTTCATCCTGCTCCCCAATGGCGGCACGAAAACATTGTCGCTGCGTTTGAGCCAGCCCAAAGGTGCTGTGACTATGACATCGTCGAACGTTCCTTGAGTCCTGCCCGCTGCTTCGATATCAACCGTGCCAACTGAGTTGTTCTCAATCTTGGTGACCTCACAGTTCAACTTCACGATGGCGTTGTCCGTGACTGCGGATAATATGCTCTCTAGGATGCCCTCGTATGTCGAAGCAACGAGCAGGTTGTCTTGGTACAAGTCAGCATTATCTGCGGATTGGTGTATTGTACCTCAGGTAGCGTGACCTGTAGCATACCTCCTTCCAGGTCATCTACCAGCCACATGTTTTTGAGGCTCTGGCGCTCGCACTCGTCGCCCATGAAAGCTCCCCACATCTCAACGATCTGTAGCATCAAAGTTTCGTAATAGTCATCTGTTTGCTTGCCTTGTGACGAGCGCCGACTGTGTACCTCGGCGCGGAAGAAGTCCATCATCTTCGCCGAGTCCGAAAGTGACGCAAACTCCTGCCGGCTCTTGTCCATGGCCAGGTCCAGGATTTCCCAGACTTCCTCATAATATCCCCTCGCCAAGTCCCGGTCGAGCCACGCGCCCTTTGAGTCGCAGATGGAATCAACAGCACCGCAAGGAATTGTCGTGGTCTGTGTCCTTTCTGCGAGGGCCACGATCGGATTGCCCTCTTCCCCGTGAATCCAACTTGCCCCGACATCCACGGGGCGGCCACCAAGCTGAGAACTTTGACGCACGCGCCCGCCGACGCGATCTCGTGCTTCAAGCACCGTCACTTGAAAGCCAGCAGCTGCGAGCAGTCCAGCGGCTCGAAGTCCGCTCACACCAGCTCCGACGACGCAGATTTTCTTATCTGACTTTGGCGGAGAAAGAGAGTCCCTCATTCTCCTGCTTCGTGGTAGACATTGAGAATGAAATGTTGAGATCAGGGAGTAAACTCGCGCCACGCCTCAGGTCGTGACTGTTGACACCCGTAAACGCGCACGCTCAAGCTCAATTCATGCATCTAGCCACGGTCTGGAAGCGTTAGATGTGTGGCTGTGCGGACTTGGTTCCTCAACAAATTGTGGCTGACCAGTCATGATCCGCTAACTTAGCCACACCTGCTCATCACGCTAGCGGCGGGAGCCAGCTGGCACGCAAGCCCTGAATGCCGGTCATTACATCATTGGAGCTCCAGTCGCAACGGGTGGTGACGCTTGAAACCTAGGAGCGATAAAACAAGAAAACCCAGCATCCCTTCCCCCATGGTGCCTTAGCTTTGACCTGGCGGTGAAAGAAAGAAAGCGCACAGCTCCCTCATCGTCAACGCGTATTTAGATTCCGTTTTCCCGCCCTACTCGCCACATCCCTTGGGATTTCCTCAGAAGCTCGCGCATGCAAAGCGGCCTCCTGAAATAAACAACGGAACCCACGAGCCCAACCGCCCACAACCCGACGAGAACCCTTGCGCCAGCACAGACAGTTCACCTCTCCAATCACTTCTCGCTCATTTGAGCCGTTGATTGAAGAATTCTTTTGACACAATGGCTGCTTTCGTCGGCAAGTTTATTGGCAAGAAGATCCTCGGGGAGACCTTGCAGAACAAGTTTGGAAAGGAGGTATGTACTCGCCTCGCGTCTCGTGGCATAACTAACAAGGTCTAGGACCCCTACTTTGAGTCCGTGCCCGCGACCCGAATCGATGGAAAGCTTGGAAAGCCAGGGAAGGTCAAGAGACGCAAGAAGGCCCTGCCACCTGGCATCTCAGAGCACGATGGACAGGTCCTGACCAAGGTCAAGCGTCGCGCATATCGACTGGATTGCTGTCTCTTCTCTTTTCTCGGAGTCAAATTTGGATGGGGAAGCGTCATCGGGATTGTGCCTTTGTAAGTTTGGGTCACGGCGTTGCGTGAACTCGTGCTGACAAGCCTTAGCATTGGTGATGTGCTGGACGCCTTCATGGCTCTCATGGTCATGAAGACATGCATGCAGATTGAAGGCGGCCTACCCAGCGGGCTCAGAGCTAAGATGATGTTCAACATCATCATTGACTTTGTCATCGGACTTGTGCCCTTCGCGGGTGACCTTGCCGACGCACTATTCAGGGCCAATACTCGCAACGCAATTGTTCTCGAGGAGCACCTTCGCCAGAAAGGCAAGAAACAGCTCCGACAGAGCGGCCTGGCAATGCCTGCAGTCGACCCTAGCGACCCCGATGCATGGGATAGTGTCGAGGACAGTGCCACACCGGGCAGGCGCTCGCATCCTCCTTCACGCCAGAACTCAGCCCGGTCTGTTTCGCGGACGAGAGAGCAGGCACCCACGCAGCCTCCCCCGGCTCAGACCAGGCAGAGCCGATCTGGATGGTTCGGACGTGGCAGAGAACCAGCACCTGATGTCGAACAGGCCCAACCATCTCGCTCGACTGTTCGCAAGGACGATCGCCGTAGCAATCGTCACTAAGAAGGTCGGTCATTGGATGACACCCAATGCACCAGTGCGATTCTCGAGTGTATGCCCTCCGGGAGGCGAGAAAGGCCTGTCTGCGGGTCAGCTGGTCCACATAAGGGTGGAGGCCTTCGATGTCGAGGATCTTTCATTTCCGTAGATATGTTCTTGGTCAAGAGGCGTGCGTGGAGTTTTGAGTCGTAAGTTTGGAAGCTACTGAGTTTTGATTCTGCCGGCATTGATGTTGAGGGACAAATACCCTATGCTCTCAAGTTATATAGTTGCTACATGATAGAAACAGAAGAGACCTATTGTTTGCGATCCCTGATTCACCGGTATGGCCGGGTCATTTCTACTCACCAGTATTGATTAGTGCATCTCGGCCCGATGCTCGCGTTGAGTACTTGTAGGTGGATCACAAAAGCACTTGAGTGATCAATTCGAACCCTGGGTCACTACCACGCCAGGGTTTTGAAAGGTTGCCTTCGCAACGCAGGCTGAAACGAAATGTTCAGGGCGGGGTCTTGGGATGGCTGAGTTCTTCGTAATGATTATTGATAGCAAGCCATGCTGACAAGAATCGCATCTCATGGCTTCTCGATACTACTTGTACAACGTGCGGACTCGACACACTGTCCGTACCCAGGTGAGCCACCAAAGACGCGCCATGTGGGCTCTGTTTTCAATATTGGCAGCTGGAAACTGATTGATAAGACGATGCATGACGTCTCGGCATACGCATCGCCTCCATTTCGATGGAGCATGTTGCTTGTCGAGACGCGTGAAAAGTCGCGTCTTTGGCAGTGGTGCAGCCTCGCGAGGGGGTTGGAGTGAAAAAGGGACAGGGATCTGAGCCTGCACGGCGTCAGAATCGGTCGTACCTGGCATGCAGTCTCCAATTACAAGGGCTGTCCGGCATCGCTATTGGTCACCGACCCCAGCCTGCTTAAACACGACCCAGACGCGTCGCCCACACGTGACAGCGCATCTTCTGTTCTACAAAAGCCGAAGCGTGCTTCCTCTGCCTAGCACCTCGACCATCGCGCTCACAACCACCACTGCCTCTGCAATTACCTTTCAAAAGACTACTCTGCACGCTTCTTCCTCTGATAGACACTCTCATTTTCATACGTTCTTCAACTCACATCACAATGGCCACCGAGCTCACTCCTTCGAAGCAGGTTAGTGACGTCGTTGCCACGCCAACTCTCGCCGCCCGCTAACATTCCATCTCTAGGCCGCTTCCGCCATTGACTCTTTCAAGATGGAGTCGCCCGTCAAGAAGCTCGATTTCAAGAACGCCGACAAAGAAAACAACCCCACCACCGAGAAATCATTGTCCGAGCGGATGGACAGCTACAAGTCCTTGGTCGAGGAAGCGAAAAAGGTTGAGGAGACAAAGAAGGTCGAGAAGACCGAGTCCAAGCCTGCTGTCGCTCCCGGCATCAAGGCCGAAGAGTGTGACGAGCCCATTCTCCAGGAGAACCCTGGGCGATTCGTCCTCTTCCCCATCAAGTATCACGAGGTATGTGACGCGTCTTGACGCGTAAAGTGGTTTCGCGTCTCGTACAAGGGTGTAAATTAACATTTACCCTACAGATCTGGCAAATGTACAAGAAGGCTGAGGCCTCTTTCTGGACCGCCGAGGAGATTGATCTGTCCAAGGATCTTCACGACTGGAACAACCGCATCAACGATGATGAGAAGTACTTCATCTCTCACATTCTCGCCTTCTTTGCCGCCTCGGACGGCATCGTCAACGAGAACTTGGTCGAGCGCTTCAGCGGTGAGGTCCAGATCCCTGAGGCTCGCTGCTTCTACGGTTTCCAAATCATGATGGAGAACGTCCATTCCGAGACATACTCGCTCCTGATCGACACATACGTGAAGGAGCAGGCTCAACGCCAGTACCTCTTCAACGCCATTGAGACCAGTATGTACCCTGACTATCCAATACATCGAGCATTGACTGACTCAAACAGTTCCTTGCATTCGCAAGAAGGCCGATTGGGCCGTCCGCTGGATTCAGGACAAGGATTCCACATTTGCCCAGCGCCTTGTTGCCTTCGCCGCTGTTGAGGGTATCTTCTTCAGTGGAGCCTTCGCGTCCATCTTCTGGCTCAAGAAGCGTGGCCTCATGCCCGGCCTGACCTTCTCCAACGAGCTCATCTCGCGTGATGAGGGTCTGCACACTGACTTTGCTTGCCTGCTCCACTCGCACCTGAAGAACCGCGCCAGCAAGGAGATGATCAAGTCGATCATCACCGACGCCGTCACAATCGAGCAGGAGTTCCTCACCGAGGCCCTCCCCTGCGCTCTCCTCGGCATGAACGCCAACTTGATGAAGCAGTACATTGAGTTCGTGGCCGACCGCCTCCTGGTTGCCTTTGGCAACGACAAGATCTACAACTCATCCAACCCCTTCGACTTCATGGAGAACATCTCCCTGGGAGGCAAGACCAACTTCTTCGAGAAGCGCGTCGGCGAGTACCAGAAGGCCGGTGTCATGAACAGCACAAACAAGAAAGAAGAGGCTGCCGCAGGTGCCAGCGAAAACAAGGAAGGGGGCGACTTCAGCTTCGATGATGACTTCTAAGTGTATCGCGCACTTTTCTGACACGAAGTTGTCATTCCGTATATACCCATTTGTTGTTGTCGATTGTACATTGCGGCGCGACGAGCCAAGGTCGCTCTGTTGCGGAGAAGGGTTGCTTTTTGTCTACAGGTACAGCAGGGAGACGGCGATCCCCATGGCGTTTCGGGTGTTGATTTACGAATTGGGTAACCGGCACGCTTGCGATGGATGATGATGGAATACTCCGGTTTTAGAGTACATTTTAAGATAATGCGAACCTCATGTGAACTGAGCACGACTCCAAGTCCTTTATCAGATTGTGATATGTCGCACGCAAGTGGCCAATATTTGAACTTATTGTGGTGAATCCTGTAACGCTCCCTATTTCTTGCCCTTCTTCTTTCTCTTGCCACCGCCTCCCGTCTGTTGTTGACCTGCGGTACCAGTCGGCGTCGACGCTCCCTCAGCGGCCGCCCCAGCCGGCGGCGCATCAGGCATCGCCTCCTCCACAGGCGGCTCCGGCATGGCTGCCATGCCGCGGCCTAACCGTCCCAGACTCGACTGGAACAAGCGCGACACCTCGGCCGCCTTTGTGGTGCGGTATTTGAGCACAACGCCGCTCTCGGGGTCGTAGGTCTTAATCACGAGACTCCCCCGCGGTGGTTTGGTTTCTGTCGTCGCGGCGGCATCGTCTGTGGCGCTCTCGTCGCCCGTTTTCGACTTGCGAGTGCGCGCTGGCTTGATGGAGTAGCGGGTTGTGATGCGTGTCTGGGTCCGGGTTAGCGGTGCGATTTCGAGGATCGCAAGGGAAAGGAGACTCACGGTCGCCGGACGGGCTTGCAAGAGGAGGTTGGATTGGTCAAGCCACTCTTGTGCGGTTTCGAAGTAAGGCATGGCTGCAACGACGTCTTCTACTCAATGGCCTTGCCGCATCCAGTAGATCTCGCGCGTCAGGTAGTTGGTGAAGATCAGGTAGCGACTGCAGGTGAACGCGCAAGTAGCTAGTCTGATGATGTTGGATGTTGGATGTCGGCCAGGCGGTTGAATCTGGGGCGGACAATTCGTGGTGGGGCTTGAAATTCGGAGGTGCCTTGAGGGGCAGCGGTGTTCCTTCACCTTGAGGAAGGTCGACCCCAGACATCGCGGCTACTCCAAGGCAAGAACCTTATAGTTACACCCCAAATCTCTGAATCGCAAGGGCAATTTTATCATTATAAAGAGTGTTTCTACTATTCGCTGCTTGTAGATGATTGTTCGCCTTCACAATTAATGCCCATGCGCATCTTACGTCGTTGCCAGCGCAGGCTGGTCTGATATTCAATTCCATGGGTATCTATTATATCTTCTACCAATTTGTTTTAGCCGTCTTGTAACTCCGGTTCTACTCGTTCCATCTCGCATGCGCGAGCCATCAGCTGTTAGGATCAGGCACCCAGAACAGCAATTCCTGGTCTGCGGTCGCAAAGAAGTTGTATCGCGGATTGAACGCCAGTACAGCTGCCTCTCTCTTATCAGGGAGCGTGTACGTCGGCGCGAGTACCTTGTGCTCGTTGGGTGCCGCGCGGGTATCCCACACCAAGACATCCTTCTTACTCCCACTGAGCACAAAGCGTCCATCCGGTGTGAAGCAGCACTCGCCACTGCTGTCCAGCGGCGATCCTTGACCACCGGACCCATTCGAGGACCCGACTTCGCCTGGCACGAGTCGTCGCGTGCCTCCATTGGGCTTGTGCAGGTATGCCTTGAGGGTCCCATCGAATGCATCGAGCACAAAGTGCCCATTGCCTCTCGTCCCGATGAGCAAGGACTTGCCATCATTGGAGAACTCCAGCTTGGTCCAGCCTTTGTTCAAATTAGCCGTGTCAATGTTTCGACATTGCTCAATCACGTCAATCGTCCCAAATGGCGACTTGTCAAAGTTGGCGTGGTCGTAGAGTAGCACCGTGCCAGCCGACGGACATGCCACGGCGAACACTTTGCCCGAGGGATCCCACGCGGCCAATGTTGCTCCTTTGAGGTTCAACTGTCCTTGCCAGTTCTTGGTTTGTGTGTGCCATATCCGCACCGTGTTGTCCTGCGCGCACGAAACGAATGTGTCCTCGCCTGGATGCACCGCCAGGCATGTTACGGGGCCCTCGTGTCCCTCAAAGTACCGAATGAAGGAGTTATCGTGTGTCGCAAGATATCGGATCGCGTCATTCTGCTTTGTACTCGCATATATTATACTTGAGCTGGTATGTGTGAATTTGGCAAGTTTGACGCCGTACTTCTTGCTGAGCAGGGTCTTCTCGTGGCGCCCTTCTTTGACGTGATACAGCTGGATCGTCTCGTCGGCATTCGACGTCATGAGGAGGTCGCCATCATCGTTGTAGTCGATCGACTGGACTTGAGGTATGGCCCTGCCGTCTTTGAGGTCTTCGCGCTTGAACAACTGTATCGCGTGAGCGCGCCGAGGGCAACCATCGGGCCGGGGTTCGGTGCTACCTTTGTTGGCCTGTAGTTGGCAATCACTTCGCTGAGGTTCGTACTGGCGCCACTGGGACCTGGTATCGATCTCTGGATGTTCAAGGTTGCTGAAGCCGGCCGCTCTGGTCGATCCAGGTCCATTGGCGTGCTTGCCATTGTCGCGGTCTTGTCGCGGTCTCGCCGCGGTCGTGAGGGATGACTGAGAGAGGGAAAAGTGTTCACAAGATGATCAATCTGTCGGCTCAGCTACTTGTAATTGTCGCTGGCAACGAATCGCCCTCTCAAGCACCTTTGTTGTGGAAGTCAGGGTTAAGTTCGATTCGTTCTGCGGATTCATCATCTCCAAGTGAAATCCGGTCAATGTGGGGTTGGCTCGGGAGCTCCCCCGGACCATGCAGGCTTGCACAAGATCCAGCGAACAGCTGGCATGGTAGACGAAACGAGACAAATAATATCTGGAACTGGAGGGGATATTCGTACAATCAATTGAATAATGTAGGATCTCGTGCTACTACGCAGCCCTTTCTGGGCGCAGATTATATGCTGGACTCACACGACATATTGCCTACTCATAGAGGACTGCATGTTAACTGATGCGTTAAGCACGACATTACAGAGTCGCCAGCGTCAACACCGCTTCACAGCTCGGTGATCAGTCGTACGTGACGGGTTGCAGACCAAGCAAAAGTAGCTCTGAAATTGTCAACCAGAAACCGCGGATAGCGGTAGTCGTGTCCAAGGTGACGCCTCGAGTTTAGGGTAGCCCAAGACGGCTATCCTCGGACGGATAGGGACGGTAATTGCTACACGTAGTCGAGCTCACCCACCGCATCGAGTGCTGCAGGTCAATTGGCCCTTGGCTGCTCGTCGTTGGAACCTCACCTGGTGAAGGAATCTCCGCCTGGCCTCTGGAAGCGAAAATTGCAGCTCGGCGCAACGCGCACGGGAATCAAGGGTATCTCGGGTCAGCCTCCCGGTGCAATGATGCAACAATGTAATCCAGCTCCGCATATGAGCGGCTTGAGCGTACTTCTAGGTCTATCAGCAGTGAAGTCAACCCTGGGCAAAGCCGCGTCAAAGCTTCATTAATTGGTTGGAGAGCTGGCTACGTACTAATAACTTAGCCTATTATCCAGCAGCATTACTCGACAAAGTTCGGCTCGAGTCGTGGGAAGTTAGAACTGGAGCCCTCATCCCCTAGCCTCTAGGCCGATCTCGGCTCTAGCCTTACGGCTTACTGTCTAAACTTTTGACGCGGTTACCAAAGGGCTTCCGTTTTCCGGCCTAGCTCTGCCTCCGAGCCCAACCCGAACTTCTTCTTACAACCCTTGTTAGGTGGCCTAGCAAATATTTCCTCCGAATCGTCTTTGCACGAATCACCATCATGTGAGTCCTATGCTCGAGCGAATTGGCATGATTTCTAACGTGCGATCTGGATCAGTGCTGCGGATGAACCGGCCATCCTCCTCCTGAGCGAATCCCTCTACCCTCACCGACCGGGCTCTAATAGGTCGAGCCTACCGACAGGCGCAAATAGTCGACGACTGGCATACGATCGCGGGGATTCACCGATACAGTGCGCGCTCTGCGAAACGCGGGAACCATGTCGACAACATTAGGGTACTTTCCACCCAATTCCCAAGCTCCGGCGCAAAACGCGGCACGTCACTGACAACCACCAGCGCCTTCATCGGCGGCGGTATCGCGGCATGCGGTGCCGTTACAGCGACTCACCCGTTCGAGACGGTCAAGATTCGGTGCGTACCATCAGGATGACCACGCGCCAACAACTCAGGCTGACTTGCGCGCAGCATGCAATTGCAGGGTGAACTACAGCAAAAAGGGGCCCAGCCTCTCCACTACCGCGGTCCGCTACATGGCGCCGGCGTCATCGTGCGGAGCGAAGGTATTCGTGCCATATACCGTGGTCTTGGATGCGCCTATGTCTACCAGATGGTCCTCAATGGCTGTCGCTTGGGGTTCTACGACCCGATGCGCGCCTCGCTAGCAGGCTTCTTCTTCAAGGACGACAAGAAGCAGAGTCTGGCGATCAACATGTTCTGCGGCGCATCGTCAGGCATGATTGGTGCCGCGGCAGGCAGCCCCTTTTTCCTGGTCAAGACCCGGTTGCAGAGCTTCTCCAAAACGTTGCCCATGGGGACGCAGCACAACTATCGCAACGCAATCGACGGTCTGTCGCAAATATTCCGCAGCGAGGGACTCGGGGGCCTGTACCGTGGTGTTGGCGCGGCCATGATCAGGACTGGCTTCGGCAGTTCGGTGCAGCTTCCCACCTACTTCTTTGCAAAGAGGCGGCTGATGAAGCACGCTGGCATGGAAGAGGGCGCGCCCCTACATTTGACGAGCAGTGCCATCAGTGGCTTCGTGGTGTGCTGCGTCATGCATCCTCCTGGTGAGTTTCCTGATGCGCTCCAAAATGAGACTTGAGCTGACTCGTACAGACACAATCATGTCGCGCCTGTACAACCAGAACGGCAACCTCTACAAGGGCGTCCTAGACTGCGCCCTCAAGACTATTCGCACCGAAGGTCTCCTCGCCATCTACAAGGGCTTCCTCCCCCACCTGGCCCGAATCTTGCCACACACTATTCTCACGCTTTCGCTGGCGGAGCAGACGAACAAGATGATGCGCAAGGTCGAGACGCTCATCATCCCTGATGTTGTTGAGGCCAACAGGGCCAAGGCTGAAGCCAAAGCCAACGCAGAAGCCAAGGCCAACGCAAAGGCAGCTTGATTGCGGACTGGTCGCGTCATTTCAATCGGCCGTTCTCTTGTATATACTGTTCATTTATGGCGAGGTGTCTGTTGGGCTTGTTTGCATTTCTCGCCGCCTTATACGTGGTGCGGAGCCCAGCATAAGCGGTATATGCCTGCACGGAGGACACATGCATACATTGGGAGTTCGAGGTCTGCGAAAAGACCGGAATAAATATAGAGGGGTTAATGTCCAACTTATCCGTTGATGGATCTCTTACAGCCATAGCATAACCGCGTTGTTTGCTGATTGTCTTCCTCCTCCCCCAACTCGCCGGCCCATCGGGAATCCCCTTGCTCGTCCATCGTCACGCCACACAGGCCACATTGCGCGTCTCCCCGTAATTTGGCCAACTTGCCCGTGGTCCGCACCACGTTCGCCACGATGCCAGAGAGCGACTCCTCGACGCCATCAAAGTACCGTGTCATGACCTCGTCTATGCTCGTGTCCTTGTGCGAGACCACGCCGGGTGATATATCAGTGTTAGACACTATCTCCGCAAGCGCCGGTATCAGCGAGTTGTAGATTTTGACTTCGTTTCTGAAAGTCTCTCTCATGGGGTGGTAGACGGGGAACTCGGTTTTCGACACGGCCTTTCCATCCTCGTAGGTGCACACTTGAGAGCGACCATCTTGGACCTGCCATGGCACGCTGAACCCTCTGCCGTTGGCGACCTCTGCCATAGTCAGACTCGCGAGCGCGGTGGTAGTGTATCCCAGCAGCAAAGCCCCGTACTCTTGCGCCATGGCCACATGGATAAGCAGGTGACGGGTCAGCAGGCGAAGTATGTCGGCTTTGGCGGTCATGGAGGGCAGAGTGTAGAACATCTTCTGTAGGCGTGCTGACGGTGTCCCTTGTGCGCCCAACCCTGGCAAGGTCGACCAATCCACCGTCTTCAAACTGAGGACCTCGCCCAGGTGGACACACTGGAATTTGACGTTTGGAAATTTCTCTCTGTAGCGGTCGAGCATGTCCATCGCTGGTGTCTGACCGTCCTGGTCGGAGAGGTCGGTATCGACGTGAACCGCCAGCACCTCGAATAATGACGACGACTTCTTGCTCATCTCCCGATGCGTGTGCTTGTCTAGTGCGCATACCATCGCGCTGGATGATGCACCAAAGGAGAGTCCAGCGACATAGCGCCGTGGTTCTGGAAGCGTTGACGTGCGGATGTCTGTGTGAAGTGCTCTTAGACCTTTGGCAGTCTTCTGTTCTATGTATAGCATGTAGCAGTCACTGTACCAATTGTCAGTAAGATGATGAAGTAGACCACGAAGTTGCAGTACGTACCGACATGTTGGCGCATTGCGAAAGTTGAAAGGCGCATCTTCATTCTTGCATTTCTTGCAGGGCTGAGATTTCGACCCCTCCATGGCTGGTAGAGAATACTGAATATTTGGGGACGAGGATTATTTGAGGCTGCTCTTGCCCAGGTTCAAGTTGAAGCTGGATGCTTTGGCTTCTGAGGTGTTACTACTCCGTGATTTCTTTTGCTGGGTTCAAGATGGCTCATGACTGTTGACCGGATACCTCCAGTTCTGGCCCACGAATCTTAAAAAAGGCATGCTTGCCACTGCTCAAACTGCAGGGTACCTAAAATCAACCAACACCAGAGGGCGGAATTTTGGACTACCTATAATTACACCAACAGACATGCTCTTCAAGATCTGCTGATCTTTCCTTTCCAGAACTAAAGAGGGCTGTATTTCGAAGTCTCACCAAGGAAGAATTCGGTCCATTATCCCTGCAGTGTCTGATGATAATGATTGTTTGATTAATTAATTACACGCGGATCACACTTTCAGGGCAGCCCCTAACCACGGCCAGAGGAGTCTCACCGGGATGATGCACGCATTCCATTGGCTGGTGACGTCAGTAGCGCCTGCCACCTCCCGAGACGCTCTGGTGAGACTCCAGTCCTATCCTGTCCTAGTCTAGCGGCTTTAATTGATGATTCGATGAGTGCAAGCTCCATTCCGACAAGCTCATGCATTCCCAATGATTGCATTCGGCACTCCAGATCGCAAACGCGACTCGATCGTCTCAACCAACTCCTGAAACGCAGTCGATGGACTGGTAATGCAGCTATCCGCTCGCAGACCTGCTCCGATCAAAGGACAGTCATCTGGTTGGCGAACGCACCATTCATTTTCTAGACCAAGGTAGTGTAATTAATAGACGCTACGCCAGCGTCCCGAACACCCACCACCAGCACGCCCGGCGTCTGCTGATCATTCACATTGCGCCATCATCAACCCGGGACGTCTCCCACCCTCTCCCGTTGTCTCGAACCGTGCCTTCTGCATCAACAACTTGACACACCAACCCGGAGCTTGTTTTGTCACTGCCTCGTCGACCAACCACTGGTCCAACCACGCAAACGTACCGCCTCGCATGCTCCATCGACAGCGCCCCCTTCTGCCTACGTCTACAACTAGGCGTCAACGATTCTGGCCGCCCGAATGCGAGGGCCCGCGGACACAGCTACAGGCATCGCACGTATGATCACAAGGCATTGCAGCTAGTCTGGGCACATTCAGTGTGACACTCGAAGCACACGACACACGACACACGCGAGCGCATACTAAAATACTCAGCGCCACACTCTACACCACCGACATCACCACCAGCCCGACCTGATTACACCTGTCGTTCAGTCCTTGACAAGTCCTTGACATGGCACAGAGCCTCGTTCAGGTCCAGGTCCAGAGACCCGAAGAGCCTCGCAGCATCGCCGCAAAGCTTGGTCCTGGATCTGGCCACCAAGAACAGCAGCCTCGCAATATGAACCGTCCAGAGACCGAAAGCTCGACGCCGGTCAATCAGAATGGGTCTTTTGCGGTCGACCGTGTCCTAAAGAGCGGATCGCTCCGCAGACGTACGCGCAAGACCAAGGTAATTCAATAGTCCCCCTCCTAGTCCAATTGGTTGTCGCTAACGCACTCTGTAGTCGTGGAAGTCGATCTACCTTGTCATGCGCCCCAACCGACTGTCGATATACAAGGACGAGAAGGAGGACAAGCTGCGACATCAGATCTACTTGAACGACCTGACTGCTGTCGCGTTCCTCAAAGATCCCAAACACAAGCGCGAACACGTGTTTGGCCTTTTTTCGCCCTCCAAGAACTTCCATTTCGAGGCGCCCACGCAGAAAGAGGCTGAGGAGTGGGTACAACTGATCCGCAAGGAGGCGCGCATCGAGGAAGAAGAGGAAGAAATGTCTTTAGCTAGCCCTGCGGCTCGCCGGCGTACACCTGGCGGCTCAGCAGTCTTGGGACAGCTAGGCGAGCATGATGAGTTCTTGCTGTCAAGCTCGCCCGAGCCGCTCAGCCCGTCCATGCCGATTCCTGTGCCTCGCCGGAGGAAGTCAGCACACATGGAGTCATCCGGGCTGTCGGGGCTGTCTGGCAACGAACTCGCGTCCCACTCCGACTTTTCTGACAACGAGGCTACCGTGCGTCTACCGGCCGCATCTTTTGAGAGCTTATCCGCCAGCGCACCACAGGCGCCGCCATTGAGCGACAACATTGGGGTCGGTTCATATCCTCGCGCCAGCCCTCTGAACCGCTCTTCAAGTCATCAAAGCACGGCAGCCGCCGAATTAGATCCCGATCGCGTCATTTGGCATGGCTGGCTGTACCATCTACGAACCAAGGGAGGCGTCCGGCAGTGGAAGCATCTGTGGGGAGTGCTGCGCCCTCGCAACCTCATCCTGTACAAGAACCAGCAAGAATACACCGCACAGCGGATCCTCCGTCTATCTGCAATAGTCGATGTTGTGGACATAGATCCGATGAGCAGGAGCAAGACAAACTGCCTACAAATCATCACCGAAGAGAAGAGCTACAAATTTGCGACACACGACGAAGAAGCGCTCGTTCAATGCGTCGGTGCTTTCAAGAGCCTTTTGGCCAAAAGACGCGAGCTCGAAGCTCGAATTGCCGCCGGAGGACAGCAGCAGCTTGCGCACTAATTAATGGTTTGGGCACATGAGCCCAGCCTCTTTACGAATTTACGAAAAAGCGACTTTGCGACATCTTTCTATATGTCAGCCTTTGTATTCCCTCAGACGCTGTCGCCTGGTCGTTAGTATCACAATCACCGGCCCAACCCGTGTGGCACAGACATTCTTGTACAAACCACCTTGTTAGGGGTTCGAGCTAGGAGTTGAGTGGCGCGCATCTGCTGGACAGCGCGGATAGAAACAGCGATCGTTCAACATGGGTTTTTATTTCCTTACTTTCGACACAGAACAGGGAATTATCCCGTGAATAGTTTATCGCTTATACCTACTACTAGTAATCCATCAACCCAGACACGCGCATGTGCACCATAACCTCTTGTTATCAGCTTGCATGTCCACCATGACTTTCTGTGCGGATGCATGACGTTGAATCCAGTCACGATTGACACCCTGAAAGCATTCGGGCAGCGTCAAACACCGGCCTAAGAGCATGCCTCTGTTGGCGACACCCATCACCTGCTTCAGTCATCAGCTCCTCCTACCCTCCCCCTCCCCCATCACCATGATCGCCACATTGGCTTTGTGAACATCCTTAGCGGTTGGACGTCCTTAGTGGTTGGATGTCCAAGGCAGCGCAACTCTAGCAGGGCAGAGTGGCGTTTCTATCATGCATGTCCCTCCCAACTGCCAATCAATCCTGGGCATTCCATTGCATCTGGACCTGCACCAATGTCGAGAACATGCGGACACTAACGAGCCGTCACTTTGGTGACATTGAGATGATCACATTGACTTTGATGGATGACTTGCGACGTGCTAATGGAACATCACGTACTTGGGAAAGGAGTGGTGAACGGCTCAGATGCTCGTGTTGACTTGGTCGGGTGCCGTCGTAGGTGCCATTCCTAGGTTGACCGGGAAGTCGATGCTACGCTGGGGTCATGCTCCAGAGAGGCGTGATTGCTCCACTAGGTGTATTATTGGTGAGCATAATAAACCAGCTACGGTACAGGCGATTGCCTCGATATCTACCTCCATGTCGTTCATTCCTCGCCCTGGTTATAGGAATCTCTACACCCACTGTACACATTCGACGCTTCCGCGATACCAAGTGCCACCCAAATGAAGTTGTTGCCCTTCGCGGTGGGGGCATTGGCCCTGCCGAATGTCCTTGCGCAGAAGCCAAATGTGCCTCTGAGCTCCTCGGGACGATGGATCGTGGACACGGACGGCGCTCGCGTCAAGCTTCGTTGCATCAATTGGCCGGGCCACATGGAGCCGAACATTCCCGAAGGTCTGAGCAAGCAGAGCGTCGACTACATCGCCGACTGGATTGCTGGCGCGGGGTTCAATTGTGTGCGCCTGACATTCTCAATTGACATGGCTCTCAACCCAGATGTAGACGTTGAGGAATCGTTTCGGATAGGCGCAAGCTCAGGCGGCGTTGACGAGGCAGCTTTGATGAAACAGTACAAGATGGCTGTCGAGAAGAATTCATTCCTCGCCAAGGCGTCGCGCATGGATGTGTTTGGCGTCGTGGAGGATGCGCTCTGGGAGAGGGGGCTCATGACTTTTCTGGACAACCACGTGAGCAAGGCAAAGTGGTGCTGCAATCTTGAGGACGGCAATGGCTGGTGGAAGGATGCTCCTGGTTATGTCCCGGCGAACAGCGAGTTTTTTGAGACGCAGCCATGGTTTGATGGTCTCGAAGCGATGGCAAAGTGGTCGGTGGGTCGTCCGGGTGTCGTGGGCATGTCTCTTAGGAACGAACTTCGCGCCCAGGTCATCCAGATCCCCTGGGGCGGCGAAGAGTGGTTTGAAAAGATGCCGGCTGCGGCTCGCCTGGTCCACGCTGCGAATCCTGACTTGCTGATCTCCATCGGTGGTCTTGACGGAGGCAACAACCTCGGCGCCCTGCGCGAGCAGAAGATGCCGACCGAGGACTGGGAGGGCAAGAATGTATGGGACGCTCATGCGTACAGCTTCACTGTCAACACGCCCAACTTTGGAAACTGCGGCATCGAAAAGGCGCAGTACGGCTTTCTGTTCGGGTTTGTGCTCGCTGATAGTACTGAGCAGCAGGGTCCTCTGTGGCTTTCAGAGTTCGGCGTAGGCATGACTGGTGGACCAAATGACGGCTTGTCCGACGAAGACCATGCATATCTCGAGTGTTTGGTGGAGTATCTTGAGAACAATGACGCGGATTGGGCTCTCTGGAGTATTGCGGGCTCATATTATGTTCGAGAGGGCATCATCGACCGTGAGGACTTTTTTGCTGCCGTTGACAGGAATTGGGTGGATTGGCGCAATGATAAGTTCAAAGGCATGTTAGGTCGGATGTGGAACGTAACACAAGGCCCATAGTCGACCTTAATTCGGAACGATTTTGGATTGTTCGTTTAATCGAGTCCACCAGGAATCATCCTAAGACCCGTTGGTTGGATCCATGTCCAAAAAGTCGACATGAAATGCGTCGTTCTGCCCTTCCATTCCATGATTGTGTGACTGACCACCGTCGTAATCAGCTTCATGGCTGTCCATAAGGTCGTTGAATGTGTTATCCTCAGTGTTGAAGTCGAAATCCAGCCCATCGCCGTCCCAAGTCATATCGGGCGCGGGGCCGGTAGTAGAGAAGTCAAAGTCATCCAGAGCCGAGGTGTCCGTGGCATTGCTTGCTTCGTTTCCATCTTGTGTGACCGTGTTAATATCGAAGGCTGGCTGGCTGTTATTGTTGGCAGGCTCGTTCGGTGGCATGAAATCCCCAAAGTTGATCCCATCCAAGGCGTTCGGTCCTGTGCTTCCATCGTTGCCCTGGGGTTGCCCATTGTTGCTTCCCTGCGGGCCGCTGTCTGTTGGCACCAATGTGAATTCCATGTTTGTGAATGCTGCAGAGTCAGCAGGCGTCGGTTCGCCCATGGTGGGTTCCTCGGTCTTCTCAGGCTTAGCCTCGCCCGGGTTCGAGACAGTCCGCTCGAGTTGGTTCTCTGCTGACATGGGAGCAACTGGGGGAGCCTCGAGCTTCGCTTGAGATTCAGACGGTTGCTTTTGCTCATCCTTCACCTCCTCGGCCTTTGGCTCAATAGAGTCCATACCCATGTCCGGAAAGGGGGCCACAATGTTGCTATCGACGTTTTGATCAGACATGTCGACATCTTGTTTGACGGCTGGTGGCGAAGATTCAGCATCTATTAGCAGGGGTGACTTGGTCTGGGGCTGGACTGGCTCTGGCTGGGTCACAGTTTGGGTGGTGTCTGTCTGCAGGCGGGTGATGTCGCGTTGAAAGACAGACTTTGCTTGTACCTGCTGAGGTTAGCGATTTCCCAAGTTTTGCCAACCCAAGTTCAAGACATACAATTTCGGTTTCCAGATTGTCCAAGGCCTGTGAGAATAGGCTACGGGTTTCAGGGAACTTTAACTGTGGTTGAGCGACCACCTGGCCTTGGGCCTCTCGGTGTTGCGCACGAAGCGCTTTCCCCGTCTGGATAAGCTGTGCAAATTATTAGTGTTGTGTATTCTGGAGGAGTCCAAGTGATTGCATACCACATCGTTGAAAAGGTTCTGGAGCGCGTCCAACGACTCCTTCACTTGAGGCTCCATTGAAAGTTGTATCAGCTCTCGTCAACGGAGACTAAAAGTCTGGCAGAACGTTATGAACCGGTCGATGGCGCGATGTTGAGGAAGTGTGGAAAAATAAAGGAAAATACGTTGTGAATCATATAGCATTTGATGTAGGGTGATAGTGTTTGTTGAACAGAACGTGCTGGCGGTGATTGCACGTGAAGTTGCGGCCCCATTATGATTGCCGGCGCGCTGCACAGCTCCAGCTCCAATTCAGTCACGATGTCTCCCGGAACAACCTCGGGCCACTTGCATAAGGCAGGCTTTATGCACGGCGGCTACCGTGTCCAGACCGTGACTGGATTTTGGTGGGGCTGTTAGCGCACTGATCCCGCTAGGATTGATCTCGGGACCCTCATCCTTTATCGATAAGCAGGCTGTCTCACCCAGAGCAGGTATTCCAGGGTCCAAGTCCGCATCGAGAGGCTCTTGGGAAGTCCCAGCGTCTGCAGTGAGCTGGGAACCGTCATAACTACAACTTTGAATAGTCCGTATTCGACTTAGAAATTGATTTGGACCTTGCCGACTTCTCGGTGAGCCACACAGGGGTCCTAGAGAAAGGCCAATTCAAATTGAAGCCAGATGTGACCAATCACATGATGCTACAGGGGCGGTCTGGTGGCATTTCCCCTCATCAGGCACTCCTGGTGCGGTCCGCCTTTCGAGCTCAGGTTGACTGGAGTTTCTGACCAGTGACCTCCACTCTTAAATGAACATACATTGAGAAAAAGGGCATCTTGCGATTCCAGGGCCAGGTCCTTCTTGTGTCCGTTTCCTTATCCTTTGTTCTGCTTTGCTGGTTTCTAGCTTTTCTTCCGTCTCCTGTCATCTCTCGACCATCATCAGGCGTGTCTTTGCTGTCACTTCTGCCAAGCTCCCAGATCTTGTGTTTATCCACGATTACGACCGACCTTTACTTTACGAATCTTTGGCTAGTCTGCTCTGAAACGACAGGTCTCCTAGCTCGGACACGCGCGCAAGCAAACGTATACCACGCTAGACACACGCAGCTGCATACCGCACACGCTTCGCTTGCGCACCGCCATCATCGTCAACGAATAGTAACACCTGTGCGATCTCAGTGATCACACCATTACCATCATGGCTGAGAACAACGCTCCTTCGACGGCCAGCCAGCTCCCTCACGGATCGCAACCCGGCGCAGGCGCGCAGGGCTTCGACAATGGTCAGAATGGGCAGCCTGGCGCATCCCACCTTCCGCCCCCACCTCTCCATATCCCCCAGAACACCAATCCGATCCCGACAGCGCTCACTTCCCCTATGTCAGGAGGCGACAATTCGGCCATGATGTCTCCAACTTCCGGGGGCGGCTTTCGACGCGCCGCGCCAGAACCTAACAAGCGGGCGCTATACGTTGGAGGGTTGGACCAGCGAGTCACTGAGGATGTCTTGCGACAGATCTTTGAGACCACTGGCCATGTTCAGAATGTCAAGATCATCCCCGACAAGAACGTGCGTTAAGATAATACACCAGAGGTGTTCTGTACTAATGGGTCTAGGCTAAGGGCTTCAACTATGGGTTCGTCGAGTACGATGATCCTGGAGCTGCCGAGCGCGCTATGCAGACGCTCAATGGACGTCGAGTACACCAATCGGTACGACCACGGCATCGGCTCACAGTCTGGACTATGCTAATAATCTTGGCCAGGAAATCCGAGTCAACTGGGCGTATCAGTCTACTACTTCGAACAAAGAGGATACGTCTGGCCATTTCCACATCTTCGTCGGAGATCTGTCCAACGAAGTCAACGACGAAATCCTTATGCAAGCTTTCTCCGCCTTTGGCTCGGTCTCGGAAGCCCGTGTGATGTGGGATATGAAAACGGGTCGCTCAAGGGGCTATGGCTTCGTCGCTTTCCGTGATCGCCCCGAGGCCGAGAAGGCATTGAGTTCGATGGATGGCGAATGGTTGGGGTCCAGGGCAATCCGCTGCAACTGGGCAAACCAAAAGGGCCAACCCTCGATGGCGCAGCAGCAGGCCATGCAGGCCATGGGACTGACGCCCACCACTCCGTACGGCCACCATCAGTTTCCCTCGAACGGCGTCGGTAGTTTCGACGCTATTCAGGCTCAGACGCCGAACTGGCAGACCACCGTCTATGTCGGCAACCTGACTCCGTACACCACTCCTCAGGAAGTGGTGCCTCTATTCCAGAACTTTGGCTTTGTTCAGGAGTCGCGTTTCCATGCGGATCGAGGCTTCGCATTCATCAAGATGGACACACACGAAAACGCCGCCATGGCTATCTGCCAGATGAACGGATACAATGTCAACGGACGACCACTCAAGTGCAGCGTAAGTTGAAGTTTATCAAGTGATCAGCATACGGCTGACTGACCGCGCAACAGTGGGGCAAGGACAAGACTCCTGGAGCTCAAGCCTTTGACCCATCCTCGCCATACAGCCCTCAGAGTGCGGCGACGCCTGGTGGTTTCCCCGGCACGCCCACATTCTACCCACAGTACGGTGGTAAGTGAATGATGGCGATACTCTCGTGGGATAACACTGACTTCGAGAAGCGCAATACAACGGTCAACAGGGCAACTTTGGTGCGCCTCACGCTGGATCTCCCGCCGGATTCCCTGGTTCCCCCATGGGGTACGCACCACCCCAGAGCGCTGGTGGTTTTGGTCGAGGCCAGCAAGCTCCTCAGACTCAGTGGTCCCCGCCCGCTGGGGGACAGAACTTCAACAATGGCTACAGCGGCTATCAGTCGTAAGACGCAATTGCCGTTCTTAAAACAGCGCCCAGACCGAGATGTGGACTGAAAGGGACAGACAGGTCCCTGAGGAGCATGCGTGGAGGAAGATTTGGGTAAGACTCGCAGTGATGAACATTTTCTTTCTTCGGATACCTTTCAAGTTTGTCATCTCATCTCTCTTGTCGTGACGGATCAAGTATGGTTGCTCGATATATGTGGAATTTCTCTTTGGCTATCATGATTTTGGTGATTTACTTCTTGTCGTATTTGCTCTTTTACCACATGCATTTCCCAGTTGCTGTCGAGCAGCTGCAGCTCCAGCATCAGCCCTTTTCTTCGCATGTCTCTCTCTTTTTATGTCTGGCTATAGTTTGATGTAGGATGCGACCACGATGACGACTTGACGAATTCAAACGATGTGGAAAAAGAGAAAGGCATTCTGCGAGTCAGATTGAACGGTCTTTGGGGGATGGGCTGTTGCACATGGGCTTGGCGCGTCTTCTCTTCTTCTTGCAGTATCAGCCACGGGCCCGCCGCCCACGAAGCTCAATATTTACTCTCCGCTAGAACTGTTGGTCATTCCTTGATTACAGTTGCGGCCGGAGACAGAGGCTTGAAAGCTGTAGCCTATGCTACGTTCTTGTGAGTTTAATTAAACACATCTATACATGCCTGTCTATCTGCCCGACTGTGGTACAGGTAAGAGAACATCAGCAAGGTTCAGCCAAATCTTGCAGAAGACGTGACCGTGGATGCCCTTGAGAATACGCTTCATCGACTAAGGTACTGAGCGCAACATCTGCCTCTTGCTTGACCACAGCAATTTCACGTGTTGCGTGGTGGTGACTGGTTCTCCGCAGAGGCGCGCTTCGTGGCGGAGAATTACCCAGCCCGGGCAAGTTTCACGGACAGGTCTCTCAGGCATTGGAAGAAGATCACAGGCGAGGCATCAGATACGTAGTACATGTAGCGTGTGGGTGCTTTTTACCTTGGTCCATTTGGGCTCTGACGCTCGCGGCCAGTAAAACCTAGCCAGTTTGTTGGCTGGCTGCCCAATCCCACATGTAACGCACTAGACGAACATTGATGCCTCCAGCCTTTATTTTAGGCCCCTAGCAACGTAGCCGCCCGCCCGCCCACTCAGCAGGGCCCGGCCATTACGACGTTCCCCACTGCCAGACTGGACACCAGCGCCTTCAGGCTTCGGGTCCGTCCACTCCAGTCGTTCCAGGTCCCAGTCCCAGTCCCAGTCAGGCCCTCCACGTCGCAGCATCCTCTCAACCCAGTCAGCCCAATTGCCGTCCATCTGGCTGAGGTCGACGAGCCTTTTCTTTCTCGACTTGGTCAGACGCCTCCTTGAGCCCTCGCGCTGTTTCCAGGCAAGATTGCTCCCAAACCGACCACAGCGACCGACAACAACATTGCCACCTGGTCCCTCGACCGCATTGCCTGTGTCAGACCACTGGGCTCTTTGCCCTCGTCGCAGTACTGCCTATCTTGAGCTTCGGCTGCCTGCCTGCCAGCCTGCTTGTCACCGCCGCCGCACAGTCGTCTGTCGTCGCTGGCTGCTAAAAACATTCCCGTCACGAGTCGTTTTCGTTCGGCTCCTACGCGCAGAAGCTCGCTCCAGCTTGCTTGCAGCTTCGTTTGCGACGATTGGTGGAGCGAATGCGATTGCGCTAAATACTTCATCTTCAGACCAGCTTCGTCACTGCGACAGTGACGACGCTGCCGCCGCCACTCGGGCGAGTCGACGACCGACGCCTACAGCTCACCAAGCCTGTCTATCGACCTTGCCAACCTCCGTCGACTCAACATGGATCCCCAGTGGCAGCAGTCCTATGCTGATTCCCCGGGTGCATCCCAGCGACACAATGGCATGCCGCACCAGCAGCAACAACAACAAATGCCCCGCGACTACGCGCCCCAGCATCCGCAGCAGTCGGCTCCACCACCTGCTGGGTACAAATATGACCATTATGGAACCCCCTCGGTCGGCGCCTCGACACCTGGTAGCAATCCGGCAACGTCTCCAATGGCGGGAGCTCCGCAGATTCGCGACGGCAACGGTGATATCGCAATGCACGACGCCGGGATGAAGTACCCCATGAGGCCTCATCACCAGTCGCACCCCTCCTCCTCGTCGGCCGCTCAGCGATACTCGCCCATGGATACCCTGACATCCTCCTCTCCCTACGCGCCAAAACCGCCGCAGTATAGCCAGCCTCCGCCTCAGCAACGGCAGTCTCCTTCGAAGCAAGGGGAGTACACTCAGAGCCCGTACTATGGTGGACGCCAGAGCCAGCAGCTACCTCCCCTCTCACCATATACGTCGACACACGATGGCTACCCTTCTTCGGCAGTAGCTGCCTTGGATGCGTCCTATGCCGCCGACCCCAAGTCGCCCCGTCGCCAAGCGCCACCGCCGATGCCTCCTTCGCGAGGACCGGTGCCCGAGTTCAGGAAGATCCGAGGCGCTAACGATTTGCGGCCAAAGAACAGCCAGCAGCCCCCGTTTCGCAGGGCGAACCCAGAAGGAGGTTTCATCAGCGTATGTGTGGTGCATCCAAATGGAAGCCATCCCCATGCTAACATCATCTAGCCTCTGCAAGCCTTGACCAGCCATCTACCAGCCACCTATCGCATCTGCAATCCTGAATTCAAGTACGAAACATCGCGGAACCCTCGACGAGTCTTGACAAAACCAAGCAAGGGGACGAAGAATGATGGCTACGACAACGAAGACAGCGACTATATCCTATATGTGAATGATATCCTCGGTTCCGAGGAGGCGGGACACAAGTACGTTGGTACTAAAATTACGAGAAGTGGTACTAACGTGGGCACTAGGAACCGATATCTTATCCTCGATGTGCTAGGTCAAGGCACGTTCGGCCAAGTCGTCAAGTGTCAAAACCTCAAGACGCAGGAAGTCGTGGCTGTCAAGGTCATCAAGAACCGCACGGCGTACTTCAACCAGAGTATGATGGAGGTGTCGGTGCTCGATTTGCTAAACTCCAAGCTTGACAAGAACGACGACCACCACTTGTTGAGACTGAAGGATACCTTCATCCACCGCCAACATCTCTGCTTGGTCTTCGAGCTACTGAGCGTCAACTTGTACGAGCTCATCAAGCAGAACCAGTTCCGTGGCTTGAGCACCACGCTTGTTCGGGTATTTGCGCAACAATTGCTCAACGGACTGGCGCTGCTGAACAAGGCTCGACTCATCCACTGCGATCTGAAGCCAGAGAATATCTTGCTCAAAAACCTCGAGAGCCCGATTATCAAAATCATCGATTTCGGTTCAGCCTGCGACGAGCGCCAGACGGTGTACACATACATTCAATCGCGCTTCTACCGATCCCCCGAAGTGCTCCTCGGCCTACCTTACTCATCTGCCATTGACATGTGGTCTCTCGGCTGCATCGTGGTGGAGCTGTTCCTAGGATTGCCATTGTTCCCCGGCTCGTCTGAGTACAATCAGGTCTCCCGGATCGTCGAGATGATGGGCAACCCGCCCAACTGGATGCTTGAAATGGGCAAGCAGTCTGGCGAATTCTTCGAAAAGAGGCAGGATGAGTTTGGTCGGAGAAACTACCAACTCAAGAGTATGGAGCAGTACGCGAGAGAACACTCCACGAAAGAACAGCCTAGCAAGCGTTACTTCACGGCCAATACTCTGCCCGAAATCATCAAGACGTACCCCATGCCCCGGAAGAACATGAAACAGAGCGAGATCGACAGAGGTAAGTGAAGAGCGACCAGGACTCGGATCAAGACAGTGCTAACAGATCCGTCTTCAGAGATGAACAACCGCATCGCCTTTATCGACTTTGTCAGGGGCTTGCTTACGATCAACCCGCTTGAGCGGTGGTCGCCCCAACAAGCCAAGATGCATCCTTTCATCACACAGCAAAAGTTCCAAGGCCCGTTCGTGCCACCCATGAACTTGAAATCGAGCTCGCTCAACCGCTCGCCTGCTCCGGGTACCCAGCAACAGCAGCAGGCTGAGGCTCTGAGTAAGCAAAGGGCCCAGGCAGCGCAGGCCCAGGCATCGACGGCGCAAGGGGCATACGGCCCCGTGGCTGGAGGTCAATACCCTCCGTCTGCCCACCCGCAGGCGCCAGTGTATGCCAACAACAATGTGTACTCACCCGGCGGTGGCAACATGCCTCCTGCCTATAGCGGTCAACAGAACCAGTACGGTCAGATGGTCATGCCGCAGCAGCAGCCGCAACAACCGCAGCAAATGCAAGGCGGTCAATACGGCAACATGCCTCAACCAAACGTGTACCAACAGCAGGGCATGCGGTCCAACAGACAGCGTGCCTCGACTATGGAGCAACAACAGAGCGGTATCCCGGCCGCTATCCAGCGTGTTGCTAGCCACTTGGATCCCAGCCACCCGATTCGCCTGCAACCGAGTCCGGCGTACTATCCACCGTCCGCGGACGGATCGCAAGCAGTGGACTCTTCAAGGGGTGCCCAGCGAAGGACGAGCAGGACTCAGCAGGGCAGCCGGAGCAACCGCGACTTCATACGAAACCTGGAGGAGCGAACACTTGAGGAAGGTTTCATGGGAGGTAACCAGAATCCATGGCATTGAGAGGCTGCCCTGGTGCGACAAGATCTTCCAAGCCTTACCGGGTGTCAAAGGGGCTAGGTCATGCTCCGATTCCAACTCGCAGCGGTCCGCAGTGTGAGGTGCGTCCAGTCGGCGCGCTCCTACGGAGCTGTAGCTCCATTTTGGAACAACCCAGCAACTTCCCACGGCATTCAAGTTCCATTCTGAAGGCCTTGAGAAAGGAGGCTATCGCGCATCTGAAGATTCCTCAGAAAGGCAGCAGGGGCGGCGGCCCTGCCAGCTGAGTTATAGCAATGGGCATCTTATACAAGCCCGGCACTGCGGATTGGGTTGGGGTTTTCGTCTCTCCGGTTGACGACTCGTCCGCCCATGTTATACTTTTCTTTTTGACGTTTTGACGTGCCCGTGCGTGGGGATCGGTATGTACGAAGATCAGGATGGCATGGCATGGCATTGCATAACAAAGGATAGGCTGATGCCACTCCTGGGCGTTTTCCTTTGTCGATGGCGGCAACGCTGTGTCCGACGGCTGTAAAGGGACATGAGGCAGCGAATATATACGATTTCCAATGTCAAAGGTGGTGGCGCTACGTAAAAAAGGGGGCGTCATGTGAATAAAAAGTTGACCCTAGGTTTGTTTGGATTATTGACTGCATGTGCCGAACCCCGAACGCCTGGTACCGGAATACCTTAACCTACCTACTCCTAAGTATGCACCTGTATGTCGCCCCTTTAGCCCAAATATCTCTTCGCGTGCGAGCGCTCAGATCAAGTATCTATCTTCCCCCTCGACCGCGCTGCCCACGTCCACGACCCCTCCCAGCTGAGTGGCTGACAATGTTATCGCTGTACAGCCTCTGAGTCTGTTTAGGGTCGGGGAAGCCGTGGGAGCCATCGACGACCTGCTCCTCGGCTCTTGATGCGAGTGCCGCCGTCGTGCTGGCTTTCCCGCCGCCGGTCTTGGGGTACATTTTGAGTTTCCGACCATCGGCCTGATGAACGAAAGTGTTAGTAAGTACGAGACTCAAGCCCTGAAGGGGCAAGCTCACCATCTTATCGTTGAAGGTCGCAATGACCCTCTCGCCTCCTTCCCGCGAAGCGAATACCATCTCCACCACCATGAACGGCTGTGTCTTGATGACTCTGCACTGCTCCATCGGCCCGCCGATCGGTGTCATGGCGCTCTCGACGTCCGCTGCCGTGGTGCCCGGGGCAAAGTTCTGACCCATCACGGCAAAGGGCCCCGCGAGGCCGCGGATCGATATGCCCTGAGGGGCGGTTCTGATGTTGGCTTGCGACTGGACGGTGGGCGAGTCGAGATCCATGCGGTCGAGGGCGGATGCGCGTCGTGCCGCCTTGTTGCCGCGCGGACCTGTGGGTGGTGCCTTGGAGTTGGCGCTGCCATTTGTGATGCGGGACTTGAGTGAGCGGGCGTTGTTGACGGTGTTGTGTAGATCGTGGGTCCATTCGCCGTTGACGTTGCCGGCGGGCGTCGGGGCTGCTCGAGAGCCCAGTGATGCACGGGGCTGCTGCTTCATGGTCAGCATAGATCTCGGGATGGGGGATACAGCTGCACAGTATTATGGGCAAGGGAGTACCTTCTTGACGCCCACACGGCTGGCTAGAGAGCCACCGGGGGTCTTCTGGGACTTGAGAGTTGAAGGAGCACTCTGGCGACGGGCCTTGCTGGAGAAGATCTTTGTCGCGAGGTCTTCATTTCGCTTGCGCTCGCGAGCTGGGAAGAAGCGCCATGTTAGCCTGGGTGGACAATCTTGTAGTCGACACTGGAGGACGGGGCGATCGTACCGTTTGTAACGAAAGACTGAAAGTCGTTGGCAGCGGTGGCAGCCTCGGGCTTGGCCTGAGACTTGGTGGGTGCCATGATGGGCAATGGCTCTTGGTTTTCAGGACGTTTTGAGTAGGAATCGTCTTAGGTGTGGTGGTAGAAGAATACAAACCGTCCACCACGTTGCGGATGGTTATAAGGCTGAGGATGATGATAGGGCGAAGTACGCGACAGAGAGCGCGCCGGCTTTACACAGCTGCGGCTTTCGACGTGGGGATTTATTTTATGGATGGGATTTCGGTGTCGCTCCCGCGCTAACCTGTCTGGGAATATACTTTACCTATCAGCCAGGCCAAATGTTAGCTTTAGCTTTGGAGACGTCTTGAACTTTTCCTGCCTACTGTGAAGCCGTATAATTACCGCTAGGCTTGCTATTGTCGGGGTCTTGTAATCATGTACCTCTAAATTGTCCCATTGCAAAACACTGATGCTGTTATAAAACCTCGGGACACGCTCGTGTTGGTTTGCTGCTACAAACGATGATATTGGTTCTTTCAAGTAATGCACAGTATCAGTAAATATAAGTACAGCGACAAAGTACATGTCGCAAGCTATTCAATGCCCTACAGCAAACATGGCTAGAGTTTGAACATAGTAGAAGCTTCCTGTTGGGTCACGTGCAGGGTAAGTTGTTCAGGAACCAGGCACTCGGCGTCAAGTGACGCACTAAGCCTTTCACACGCTAGGGGCGTCAGACACGCGACTGTCCGATAAGATAAGCTTTGCGATTTTCCGTCGAACGAACTCCATGTCGCCTCAAAATTCCGCGGCCTCATGCGCTTTGGCGACAGCACTGTCTTTTCCAACCCAGCCATGTCGCGCAACATATCGAGCTGCGGAAACTGCTTGCGGAGAGCTGTGGTGACAGCCTTGCCGGCAAGGAGCACGGCTGCCGGCGCTCTACCGACACTCACGCAGCGACAATACTCGTCCGAGCCTGCTTCAGCCCCAGGGGATGCCCCCAGAACATTGGACCTGGAAGTCGAGGATCCCGCCGCAGCAGAAACGAAAGCAAAGGCAAAATTCAACCGCGTTGTGAAGAATCAGCTGCAGCACATGTCGGATGACCCGTATGCGATCGCCCATTATGTCGAAAAGGCGCTTGACCGTGGCGCCTTTGAAGAGGCGATCACTGTGACCCGCAAGCTCACAAGCCAGGGGAAGCAGCTTATCGTGGCGTGGAATCATTTGATTGATTATCAGCTGAAGAATCAGAATGTCAAAGAGGCACTCAAGATCTTCAATGACGTGAGTCCATGACACCCCCCCTAATATGGCCAACGTCCCGAGCTAACCCTGTCCCAAAGATGAAAAAGCGTGCGCAGTTCCCCAGCGTGAGGACGTATACCATTCTCTTCCGAGGTCTTGCCAACTCGAAACACCCAAAGCACGCCGTCGCCGAAGCAGTCAAGCACTACAATGTGCTCCTGAACGACAAGCGCATCGAGCCCAACTCTACCCATTTGAACGCAGTCCTCAACGTGTGCGCCAAGGCTGGCGACATGGACAATCTCTTCCTCATCGCGCAGTCAGTCAACAACAATACCCGCTCGCCGACTGCGTACACATATGCGACGATTCTGCACGCCCTGCGCCACCATGCCACGGATGGCGTGGCGGATCTCACAGAGGAGCAGAGAATCACTAACCAGCAGTCCACTATAGATCGTGCTCAGAAGCTCTGGGTGGAAATCATCAGGAAGTGGAAGGACGCCAAGCTTATCATAGACGAGGAGCTCGTGTGCTCCATGGGCCGCTTACTGATCATGTCGCCCAACATTGAGGAGAAGCGTAGGGTCTTTCAGCTGCTCGAGCAGACTATGAACATTCCCAACCTCATCGAGAACCCGGAACTCGGCGCGGAGAGAGACGAGAACATGAAGGACATTGCCAGAAGCGCACCTTTGACCGTGCCCAATTCCCCCAAGACGACGTATGCCGTCCCAGGACGCAACACCATGTCGCTCATCATGGCAGCCCTGGCGTCGACGCGCGAAATCACCTCGGGCATCAAGTACTGGAATCTTCTGGTCAGCCACTATGGTGTCCTCCCGGACCGCGACAACTGGCTTCGTATGTTCGGCATGCTCAAGGTCAGCAAGTCCAGTGCCTACGCTTCTGCTATCCTCGACATTGTGCCCGCCGAGTATATCGATGGAAAGCACTTCAAGATCGCCATGGAGACCTGCGTCCGCGATAGTCTGAACCGAAATGCCGTGAAGAATGCCACGACCGTGTTGGACACCATGCTTCGACGCATGAAGGAGCCCGACCTGATGACGCTCCGCCTCTATCTCCGCGTCGCCCTCGTCACGCACAAGCAGATCCGTGCTCAGGCCGCAGCGGGTGACCTCGATGCCGCCAAGCGCGTCTACGGCGAGCAGATCACCCTCGCCTTGTCCAAGCTCTGGGAACCATATCGCCAAGCCCACTACCACCACTTTGAGCTCGTGAAGCCCATGAGCGAAGTGAGCAAGAGGATCAACTACAACAACCAGCGTGAGGTGATTGCCCTAGCGCGTGCCATGGTCAGTGCTTTCGACAAGGTCCTGCATGAGCAGATGCTGTCCGAGACCGATCTCAAGGAGATCAAGCACACCGCCGCCCACATCAACCGTCAGATCAAGGACTTTTACAGCACCCGTGAGGAGAAGGAGCCCAAACTTCCATCAGCGATCCAAAGGCAAAAGGACCGCGAAGATGAGGCAGATGATAACTCGCCAGCCCCCCAGCAGGAAGAAGGCGAGCACATGTTCAAGGGCAAAGAATGGGTATGGGACACCTACACTTCCCCTACGAAGCCGGAGCGCCCGCAGCGTGAGAAGCCGGAGCGAACCACCAACTCGCGCGAAGGACAAGCTCCCAGAAAGCCTCGTGAGCAGCTCAACCACAGGAACAGCAACAGCCGTTCGGGGTCATCTGGTGGGCTGGGCTCTAAAGCACGAGCACGCTATTCGCGAGAAGCTCAGATGGATCAGAAGAAGGACAGCCTGCAGCGTCGCGATCGGCGTTTGGTGGAGGAATGATCTGCTAAGTGCAGGGCGCGTTTTGGCATAGGCCCGGCTTGAGGCATACTTATATTCTTGCCATGTGTAACAATATGAGAGGGTCGGTGGGGATTGGACAACACCTATTGCATAGCACCGCGGCGTATTGGTATTGGGACTTGGGTCATCCTCACCTTTTCTAGTCATTGTGTAGTCGAGACACAACACGTTGTATACCTACTGTGTCATTTCCTTCTCAACCCGCAATCGGCCTACGATATCAATACTACTAAAGACTGTTTTCACCTTCTTTGTCTCTCTGTCGGTAATCGCACATGTCCAATGGTAACTCCTTTCCACCAACGCCTTGGGCTCGATTACAGCCAATGTCCATCACACACGTCCATGACCGAGGTGCTCTGTGACTGTGCGTCCTGTGAACCGTAGCTGGAGGTATCACTTTGGTCTTCCGAGCCAGTTCCCCGATCGCCGCGTCTGAACGTCGAGATCTGCTCTCCTATGCTATGCGGACCAGCTACGATGCTCGCTCGGCCAGCGGTCGAGGCCGGAGCAGCGATGACACGCATGATGTTCCTGTAGCTAGCCTCTTCAGAATCATCCTTGAGAAGGGCTGGGCCAGCACTTGTTGTCTGCAGCCCTGAGGATGGCATCTTATCAGACTGACCCTCGGCTTCACAACATTCCAGCGAGTCAATTGTAGCTTCGCAAGACGAAACCTCTGAGACTGTGCTCAAGGGCCTGGGGTGAACATCTCCGCAAACTCGCGTGGATCCTGGCACAGACAAGGTATAGTCATCTGCAGAAGGCGTATCTTCCTGTTCACTCAGCGAAACTTGAGAACTGCAATCGTCATCAGTCTCGGCAAGCGATGGCCCAGAAGAAGCGTCGGAAGGATGACACGCGTGCGTCTGAATGTCATGTTCCTGGGTGGCAAACTCTGAAAGCTTGTGTTGCTGACGGGTCTCGTTAGGGGATCTCTCGATTGTCCTGCGACGCCCAGCTGCTTTCAATTTGCTGACGTGTGGCGAACGCATCGGAATGGATTCCTCGAGTACCTTGTCAACGAAAGAAGCCGGGACGCGAGACGCTTGGCTATCATCCCGCTGAAGACCAAACGGCTGGAGACTGAAGCGATCGAGGTCTACACTGTCTTTGGACGAGAGTGAATTAGGTCTGGCCTCGACATGTCCTGCTCTCTGGGAAGATTTCGGATCTGCGAGTGAGAACTCGGACCCGCGAGACTTGGACCTACGATCCCAGCGAAGCTTGAACAGACTTGCCCGCGGAGGTGGCTTCGATACCACGCCCAAAGTCTGAGCGGCCGGTTTGTTATCAGGCTCTTCGATGTCGAATTTGCCAAAACCAGCTTTCTCCAAAGCACTGCACAAAGTGTCATCCGGAGTTTGGCCTGGGATGGCGGGCAACAGCCTCAGAGCAGGCGCAGTAGGGAACGGTGAGAATCCATTTCGAAACGGAGAAGTTTCTTCCGTAGTACTGCTGGAATCGTCAAGGGAATCGCTGAAGAGCGAATCGAATGTCCCGTGGCTGGACTCCGTAGAGGAACGATCCCGTTGCAATCTTGTTTTCACAGTTCGGAAGATTTCGCTCAGGCTACCTCGTCTCCGGACAGCAGCAGCCGGTGTTACTGATGGATCAAAGGTTAGTAGAAAGCTCGGCTAGCACATCATGGGTTACTCACCACGGTGCACTACAAAATCGCCCTTCCGAGGGCTGACTCTACAGTCGTCTGAGAACTTTACGCCTTTGACGGGCGTTGACGGGGCCGACGCAGGCCTCGCGCGCTAGGCGAGGGTGTGCGTTCTGTCTTTACCAGGCGGGCGAGACAACATTGAGTGGAAGAACATTATGCAGATGCAGATGAAGATGTTGGTGTAAGTGAGTGCCGGGGATGTAGCGCTACACGGCGGACGGCGCAGTGTGTCGTAGCTATAATGTTACGATGAATGAGCGAATGGAAGCTCTGCTTTGTCGGGGTATGGAAGAGTGTTGATTCCATTGTTTAGTCGAGATCTCCTCATACTCCTCGGCAATGTGGTGGCCTGCACCTGCCTGATGCTCAAGAGTCAACCCCGACCAGGTAGAAAGCGCAGGAGGAGCAAGATGGATCCCCTTGCTCCCGATCAAGGAAGGTGGCTGCGATTCACAACATTGCGCCGAAGAAGGCGACTTGACTTCTCAATAAATTGCGAAAATACAAAGTCTCTCCGTCCGATTGAGAGAAATGTTAATGGCTGTCGCGACGTTGATCGTGCACCTCTCAAGGTTGCTAAGACGAATGAGTTTGGTGATAGCCAACGTGTTGATCAGCGTGTTGCTGTACTGTGTGCAACTCCGATGCAAGGCATGCACTAATCGCGAGTGCACTTGAGATACATCTTTATGCACAGCTCTAGTGGGTCCACAGAGACCCCTGCTCGACTGGTACCTCCAGGGGTTGCATGAGGTACTTCCTCTGGTACGTACTCGTCTACGTAGGGCACTTTAACAGGTGCAGGGGTGGGGAGATAGACGCGACGCGTCGACGCGAAACCTGGTCGCGCTTCCTGCTCACCTTCCGCGTCGCTAATTAATGGGTTCTCTGCTCAAACACTATCATCACAATTAATACGCAGCGACTCGCTTCGCTTGCACCCGCTGCTCTGCTTGTTCTGACCATCGATCAACGGGCCATCCATGACCTGAGAAATTGCCACACAATTTTCATCATGCCTAGGCCAAACCACCGTGCCAAGTTGGCCGAGCTGGCCGCCCTGCGAAAGGCAGGCAAGAAAGCGTTCGAGACCTATCAGGTGGACGATGTCGATGATGTGTTTGACGAAGTTGATGAGGCTGGTTACAAGAAGCTCGTTCGAGAACGTTTGAACGAGGACGATTTTGTTGTCGACGATAATGGCGAGGGCTATGCTGATGATGGCCGCGAAGACTGGGACCGTGAAGATCAACGGTACGACTCGGATAGTGAAGCAGAGGATGTCCACAGGAAAGGACGCCCGAGCAAGGCTGGTGAGACGAATTTTGACTTCCTAGAGGAACAAGACTGACATGATATAGCCAAACGGGCTCGCGAGGAGGAACAAGCAAAGCGGGACGCCAACGACCGCGATATCAGCGAATATTTCACCAAGAACAAGCCACAAGCGAAGCCCAAGATTATCAAGACACAAGACGACGATGATTTCATGGCAGGCCTCCTCGGCGAGGTTGACACAAACATACCAGCACTAGCACCCAGGCTACCCAAACACGAAAGGTCGGGCGAGCGTCGTAAGGCGAGGGCACTGTCACCGGCACCCGAACCTGCGTCCAAGAAGAGGAAGTCCACAGCGGGTCTTTTGCCGTCATCCCCTCCCATGCCAGCGGTTCGTTTCGACAACGACGACGATGAGGGTCACATGCCCCATGCTTTCGACGACGAGCCTCAAAGCACACTGGATGTACCGATGAGCGACCCTGCCCCGTCTTCTCCGGCAGCTAAAGTTGCCGAACGAATGGCGCACATTAAGAAGGAGCCAAAAGCCGACGAAGATGAGGACGATGACATGATGGAAGTAGCTCAATTGGGAGGCATCGCCACAGCGAGCGTGAATCTCGCCGGCTCTCGAGTCATCAAGAAAATCATCAAGGAGGAGCCGCAGCTCCCTTCTCCGATCACATCATCCCCAATCAAGGGGCCCGAGACAGCTGTTGATTCGTCAGAATGGAACAAGCTCAACGACAGACTCAATGTGGTCGACAGTTCTCAGCCCGAAGCGAGAACTGTTGGCAAGGTTGACCACCAGGATGCGGTAGAAGATGATGGAAGCATCAACTTCTTCTGGACAGACTACACCGAGATCAATGGCAGCCTCTGCTTGTACGGCAAGGTTTTAAACAAAAAGACGAACAGCTATGTCAGCTGCTTCGTCAAGGTTGACAATATTCTGAGGAAGCTGTTCTTCTTACCACGACCCCAACGCCTCGCTGGCGAGGACGCTGGCGAGGACATTGAAATGATGGATGTTTACACCGAGGTTGATGAGATGATGACCAAGATGAATGTCGGCATGTACAAGATCAAGGAGTGCACACGCAAGTACGCCTTTGAACTGCCGGACGTGCCAAAAGAGGCAAAGTACCTGAAGCTGCTATACCCTTACACAAGTATGTTTCCTTGCCAGGCCCAAGATACAAGACAGCTTACTGACTCCCTGAACAGAGCCTCAGCTGGATAGCAACACCCAAGGCGAAACGTTCTCGCGTGTTTTCGGCACTAACACCAACCTCTTCGAGCAATTCGTTCTCTGGAAAAACATCATGGGTCCTTGCTGGCTGAAGATTCAGGATGCCGATTTCGGGGCCATCAAAAATGCTTCCCATTGTAAGCTTGAGGTTCTCGCTGAGCACCCTGACATGGTGTCAGTGATGAGCGAGTCGGACAACCTGGATGCGCCTCCTCTGACACTCATGAGTGTGGCCTTGAGGACCGTCTTCAACCACAAAGACAACAAGCAAGAGATTCTGGCCATCAGTGCGAGAGTCTACGACAAGGTGTCCTTGAGTGACACAACTCCCGCTGAGAAGCTACCATGCCGGACGTTCACCGTCATGCGCCCACATGGACAGGCATTCCCCATAGGATTCGATCAACTTGTGAAGAAAAGGAACCGCGCCCCCCTCATCCTCAAGAAATCCGAGCCCGAGATACTCAGTTACTTCCTGGCGCAAATGGATCTCACCGATCCCGACTTCATCCTTGGGCACCAACTTGAGGGCGTGGACTACAGCGTGCTCCTGAACCGTCTGCACGAAAAGAAGATCCACCAGTGGTCAAGAGTGGGCAGGCTCCGACGAAACCAGTGGCCTCATTCGATCACCAAGGTCGGCGGCAATGTGTTTGCGGAACGCCAGATCATGTCAGGCCGCCTGCTATGTGACCTGGCCAATGACATGGGCAAATCAGTCATGAATAAGTGCCAGACCTGGAGCTTGACGGAGATGTGCAGCCTGTATCTCTCCGGAGACAACCGTCGGCGTGATGTCGATAGTGAGGTTGCACTCAACAGCTGGGCGAAAGACAAACAGGGCCTCATGGACTATGTCACTCATTTAGAAGCAGACACCCACTACATCGCGGCTTTAGCCGTGGGCACCCAGCTTCTACCTTTGACCAAAGTCTTGACCAACCTGGCTGGTAACTCCTGGGCACGCACTCTGACAGGTACGCGGGCGGAGCGAAACGAATACATTTTGCTGCACGAGTTTCACCGTGGCAAGTATATTTGCCCCGACAAGCAATCCTTCAAGAGCCGCTTGCAGGCGGACAATGAAAACAACGAGGAGGCGTCAGCAGAAGGCAAGAAGAAGGACAAGTACAAAGGTGGACTTGTTTTCGAGCCTACAAAGGGGCTCTATGACAAGTTTGTCCTGGTCATGGACTTCAATTCTCTGTACCCTTCCATCATCCAAGAGTACAACATCTGTTTTACAACCGTTGACAGATTCTCCGTGGTAAGTCTGAGCGCTGTCCTTCACACGGCTCGTGAACTGACCCTTTTCTTAGAAAGACACCGAGGACTCCGTGCCAGCGGTCCCTGTTGACCAGGATCAAGGCATCTTCCCTCGGCTCATTGCCACATTGGTGCAACGTCGCCGTGCAGTCAAGAGTTTGATGAAAGACAAAAAGGCGTCCCCCGAAGAGCTCGCTACTTGGGACATCAAGCAACTTGCTTTGAAGCTTACCGCCAACTCTATGTATGGCTGCCTCGGCTATCCCAAGTCGCGGTTTTACGCTCGGCCCCTGGCTGAATTGACCACATCGAAAGGCCGAGAGATTCTCCTCAGCACCAAAGAATTGGCTGAGAGCAAGTCGTTGCAAGTCATTTATGGTGACACTGATTCCGTCATGATCAATGCCAATGTCGACTCAATTGGCGATGCTTTCAAGGTCGGCCATGAGTTCAAGAAGGCTGTCAACGATCAGTACAGGCTTCTCGAGATCGACATTGACAATGTCTTCCGGAGAATTCTGCTTCAAGCCAAGAAAAAGTATGCTGCCATCAACTTGGTCGAAAAGGATGGCAAGTTCATTGAGAAGATGGAGGTCAAGGGCTTGGACATGCGTCGTCGTGAATACTGCGCTCTGTCCAAAGAAATCTCGAAATATCTCCTCGACGAGATTCTGTCGGGCAACGAGACCGAAACCACAGTGGCTCACATCCACGAGTATCTCCGCGAGATTGCGACGAAGATGCGGGAGCAGCAGGTTCCGACAGCCAAGTACATCATTTACACACAACTCGGCAAGTCCCCTGAAGCGTATCCCAACGGCGACACCATGCCCCAAGTGCAAGTCGCGCTGCGTGACATAGCGCGAGGCAAGACCGTACGCAAGGGCGACGTGATATCCTACATCATCACTGGCGACAGCAAAGGTTCCGAGCCTGCACCAAAGCGAGCCTACGCTCCTGCCGACCTCAAATCAGACACATCCTTGCTGCCTGATGTAGAATGGTACATCGGCAAGCAGATATTCCCGCCTGTGGAGCGTCTTTGTGCCAATATCCTTGGCACGTCGACTTCACAACTTGCTGAACAGCTTGGTCTGGATATACGCAAATATAGCTCGCTCCAGACTCAGCAAAACAGCTCCGCTGACGACCTTGAGATCCACCCTCTGGAGTCACAGATCCCTGATGATGTGCGCTTCGCCGACTGCGCCCGCCTCTCTCTACGCTGCCGCAAGTGCAAGACATCCTCAGAATTCGAAGGTCTTCTGGGCTCCATGAGCCGCGTCTCTGCCAGCGGCATACTCTGTACTGGATGCGGCACCACAATTCCTACACTATCGATCGTTGCGCAGGTCGAG